TGGTGTCCTCCGGCTTGTCTCGCCTCCGTAGTTGCTTGCAAGGAGAGAGGAGAGGAGAGGAGAAAAGTAATGAAACTGACATGTAGGATCCACTGCATATGTTTTGCCACATCAGCAGAAACCCACTTTTAAAAACACAAGAGAAGTGAATTTGCAACGGTCTCTAGGGGGTGTTTGGAAACTAGGGACTAAAATTTAGTCCATGTCACATCGGATAAAATTTAGTCCCTGTCACATCGGATGTTTGGACACTAATTTAGAGTATTAAGTATAGATTAATTACAAAACCCATTCCATAACCTTGGACTAATTCGCGAGAAGAATTTATTGAGCCTAATTAATCCATGATTAACCTATGTGATGCTACAGTAAACATTTGCTAATTATGTATTAATTAGGCTTAAAAAATCGTCTCGCAAATTAGTTCTCATTTATAAAATTAGTTTTTTATTAGTCTATGTTTAATACTCTAAATTAGTGTCTACACATCCGATGTGACATGGACTAAAATGTTTTAGCCCCATCTAAACACCCCTTAATGTTTGGGGAGGAGTTATAGGGGAGTCCTAATGGGCGGGTGATCGCTCCCTCCCCTCCCCAGCGATCACCCGCCCCCCCCTCCTCCTGTACACATTACCTCCTTTCCCCCTTTCTCCTCCCCTTCTTCTTTTTCTACTACACCATAAAAATTAGAATTCAAATTTAAATTTGAAAACGGGTATGTAAACTTTTTACTTATATACTTTGGGTCTATAAACTAATATTTGAATTTGAATTCAAATTCAAATTTGAAACGGGTATATAAACTTTTGACCTATAACCTTTGGGTCTATAAAATAATATTTGAATTTAAATTCAAATTTGAAACAGGTATGTAAACTTTTTATTTATAAACTTTGGGTCTATAAACTATTATTTGAATTCAAATTCAAATTTGAAACGGGTATATAAACTTTAGATCTATAAATTTTAGATGTATAGAAATACTATATATAAAAAATATTTGAATTCAAATTCAAATTTGAATCGGAATATAAACTTTTGACTTATAAACTTTAGGTCTATAAACTTTAGATGTATAGAAATACTATATATAAAAAATATTTGAATTCAAATTCAAATTTGAATCGGATATATAAACTTTTGACTTATAAACTTTGGGTCTCTAAATGTGTAAACTTGAGGTGCATAAACTTGATAAAATAGGAAAGTAATGCGGTGCCAAAAAAGGAAACCAGGTGGAGGGAGAGAGAGGGAGGGGGGGAGCGAATTGATCGCTACCCCCACTGCCTGGCGGGCGATCGCCTATTAGCCTTTCCGGGAGTTATACCTCGTTTTATGGATGTGGGATACGATTCGGCCAAGGTAAGAGAGGAGGAAGGAGGTGAAATAGACTATTTTGGAACCCACGAAGATCATCGTAGTAGTACAGTACTCGTGTGAGCCGTGTCGCCGACTCGCCACCGGTCGGCATGCTGGATGCTGCACGCTAAACTCGAGCTCCACTCTCCACATGGCGGAGAGATCTTTTTGCCAACCACAGGCGCGCTGGGGCGCGGCATGTGGTCCTCGCAGGCGGAGCTGTACGGACGGGACGGGACGAGGCGCTTGATTATTGGGTTGGGCCTAGGAAACCGCGAGGAGGATGGAAAAGAAAGGCAAACCGAATCTAGCAGGCGCTGTGGACACCCGGACAGATGAGATGATGGAGCAGTGCCTTGGTTAGTTGGTTAGTTCGTTCGTTAACTACAACTCTATACAAGTAGATCATCGCCCATGCCTCTTAACTAGTAAGGGTGCGTTCTTTTTTAAAGGAGATTGGGGAGAGATTGGAGATACTGTCACTTATTTTCCACGTGTACGCTTTTCAAACTACTAAACGGTGTATTTTTTGCAAAAAATTTCTATATGAAAGTTGTTTTAAAAAATCATATTAGTCCATTTTTAAAATTTAAAATAGTTAATACTTAATTAATTATATACTAATGACTCACCTCGTTTTGCGTATCTTTCTAATTTTCTTAATCCCCTCTCCCTCAAACACAGCCTAAGTACTCCACGCATCAGACCACCAGGGGACGCCAGCTCTCGATCGAGGGAGAGGGATCGGACGGATCGGACGGCGGCTGAGCCGAGCGGCCGCGCCGCCACCAACCTCGTGCCGTCCGGATCGGGTGCTCGGCGTGGCTCGCGTCACATGCCCTTGCCGCGCGCGCGGCGCACATGGATCACCGTCCTCGCGTCCTCGCGCGTGGCGACGTGTCCTCTCTTCCTCTGATCGATCAACGGCTGCTGGTCCTCTTCCGTTTATTATTTGGTGCAGTGACTATTCGAAATGAATGAAAGAACACGGTGATGAAGAGCGAGTTCATACAAAAGGTAATTGCATGTCATTTCTAATTTTATCTATTTAAGCTCAGAGATAATATAGATACTTCACAATACATCTCATACTATCTCATAGTAGGTGTTTTTTCTTTTACGGAACAAGTATAGTACACACTATCTCTAACACATTAATCTCAACAATTTTATTTTACTTATTTGTTCAATCCATTCTTTATTTCTCTTTTTTCTTAAAGTTTGTGTGTTGATTATCCCTTGTATGAGGAGTGCCTTTTTACTCTGTATGTTTTTTTTCTCTCCTCTATCTCGTTATATACAGAAAGACACATATAGGTCGGTGCTATAGGTGTCGAAACAACTAAAACCGACATCTTTAGTGTTTTTTCCATCTCAACATGTTGAAAATAAAAAACAAAGACATCTTTAAGTGATTGTAGGTGTTGGTTATATAAAAAAGCCGACACCAATAATATAGGTGCTGTTTTTTTAAAAAAAACGCATATTATATATTATATGTATCGGTTAATTAAAAAACGACACATATGAAATATTCGTGTTTTTTTTAGGGGATTATTGATGTGTTCATGGATTTGAGACAACATTTTGGTATTTGGGGTATGATTTGGGATCAGCTTGATGACTCAATGTGTCGAGCCATTCTTTTTTGGCTTGTGTGCGCCTCAAAGGTGTCGGGTCTTCAACCGGCACCTTTGACCTAGGGTCATCATTGCCATCTTTTTAGTGTCGGTTGGAAAAACCGACACCGATGACGTTTTCGGTAGTAGTGATATAAGCTCATGCGAAATTTTTGGGAGGAGTATTTAGATGCTTAGCATTATTAGCCTTAATTAATTAGTTGTGGGGAGTCAATACCATCTGTTATGTTGATCAGCTACTCCCATTAGCTATATAGAGAAAAAAAAGAACCACATAAATACATAATTCTAGTGTTTTAACAGTATCTCTCCCACCAGGGTATCTAGAGTCTACAGATAATAGAGGTGTGACCATCCAGGATGAGCCGAGACAGAACCCCAATTGCCGGTAGCGTTTGTTCCATAGAGAACCCTTCATTCCCAGCGTATATATATGTCTCCGGGTGACAAAATTTGGCGTCTCGCTACCCGTCTCCTCACGTAAGGCCAAGCGGACAGTGATAAGAGAGCCTATAGGATTAGGTAGTATCCAACAGCGAGTAGTCACCAGTCCACAAGGACACAAAAATGAAACCGACCCATCAAACGCACACACACCACCCCCGGCTATTAGCAAACCCCGCAAAGCCCGGATTTATTAGCTCGCTTAATCCTAACACGCACACACGGTGCAGTGCAGTGGAGAAGGTTGGTGTCGTGAATGGCTGAATGATCCGGCATTCCGGTGCTGTGCTGTGCCCTGTGCGTGCGAAGACGACGAGAGCCAAATCAAATCAATCAGATCGCCGACACGCTGTGATTCGGTTGGGGTTTTCTCGTGTTTGGCCCGAGGCGAATGGACAGGTGAAAGGAAATGTCTCTGAAGTCTGAACATATACGGGCATCTCCACCGATAAAACTGATCTCTGTCTGTCGTACATGGTCAAAACCGGCCGCATTTCATATGTTGATCCGCGTCAAATCGAAGCGGCCGGCGCCGATCCCGGTAATAAGCAAGCAAACGGCAGCGTGGCTGTACAATGAAATAGATGGTCACCTTGATTCAGATTATTCAGGTTCAGTGTATCAGTGTGTGTGATAGCGTGCTTAAACAGTGCTTGGCGGCGCCATTAGGGTGGATAAATATTAATCTCGAGAGAGAAATTTCCAGCTGAAAGATTGTTAGTACTAGTTTTTTGTTTTCATAGGAGATTTTGCATGTTATCTCAAGCTATAGTGGATAAGCAATGGATGGATGGAGTACCAGTGCTTTTGCAACCTAACAGTATCATGAATGGAATCTTTGCTATAAAAATTGATGAGACTAGTAATGCAGATGCAGCTCAACAGGGCGCTCGTCAATTATAGCTTTCCATAAGCAGCAAGCAACACGGACAATGAGATCTCCATGACCGCATTTCTGTTCTTCTCCAGTGTGGTACATCAGCCATCAATGGAAACTCGCAAGCAACGTGACATTTGTACTGCAGAGAAGGATACCAAAAGATCTTGAAATGTCGTGTTGTTTACCCCCCGAGCTGAGCATTTTTTTTTCTTCTATAATATCTGCCATCCCTGGTAGGCCATCGATGGACAAAGCAGCAAACGGCAGAGATTCAGAGGAAGCTTTCCTTTCTCGTGATACCATAAAGCATCAAAATGACCGATGTGAAGGGAATTTTACCATGTCCTGTGCCTGCACTGTTCTTCATGACTTCACTGTGTTTTTACAGATTTACTGCTGTCATTGTTTCATTGAGGTAAGGGTAAAGATCTCAATCTGAAGAAAATAAATTGCTGCTACCACTACTCTGAACTCTGAAGAATATATATCCTTCCATCATAACTCCATGACGGTTGCTTAGTTGCCCTACAACCTTTTTACAGGCTATATTTATTAGTGCAGATGCAACGGAAGAAGCTCCACCTCAATGGAAGCAGAGAAAGGAAAACGTGAGGGTGACCATTCCTTCACACTTTGGACCATAAATTCCATCTTACAGCGTGTGTATGCAGTGTGCATGGTCCATCCATACATACAGCCATAGAGAGAGAGAGTGTGTGTGTGGCAGATTGCAAAGCCATTTGCACGGCATCCTTAATTCATTTTCCTGCGCCTGTCAATTGCAGCAAGATCACATGAACTCACCAAACCCCTCCATAAATTAATCACAAGGCACCAGCCCCACCCTCTCTCCATCTCCACGATGCATGTTCCACTGCTCTCTCTCTCTCTCTCTCTCTCCCTCTCTCTCTCTCTCTCTTCCTGTCATGGACGGATGGACCAGGGCCTAGCTCGTACTACTACAAAAGACGGCATCAGTTTTTTGGCCACCTCTCCTCTCCTTGTTTGCCTCCTTTCTTCTTCTTCTTCTTCTCCCTCATTTGAGCTGAGAAGTTAAGTTGGAACCAAGAACTATACTAGTTATATTATGTAGAGGAAACATCACAAAAGAATATCAGAAAATAAAAAGAAACCGTTCCATGCCACCCTGAGATTCTCCTACAAGCTAGCCCAACCAAGGAAACAGCAATTTTTAAGCTGTTTCTCTTGATACTCGATCTACATCTTTTCCCTTAGTTTAACACTCTTTTTCAGTGGGTTTACTACTCTTGTGTGGTGGTGGTAGTGGTAGATCAAGAGCCAAGAAGTCCGGGAAAAAAATTCTACTTGTTTCGTCCATTTGGTTTAGTCTGCCAAAGCAGAAGTCAGTGGCGAGATCTTGTTTCTACTCCATTCGCATCATTCTGCTGCCAATTTGCCCTCAGAGAAGAGGGAGATTCGGCAGCGGAAGAGAGCGGAGTATCTCCGGCGATGGCGGCGGCGCTGGAGTGCTGGTCGGGCCGGCCGAGCACCGACGAGGAGATGGTGGAGCAGGTGCTCATGAAGCCCCACGTCCGCTCGGACGATTCCCTCCCCACCTGCGCCGACGCGGCCTTCGCCGCCGGCGAGCCGACGACGGCGCAGGCGGCGCCGAAGAAGTGGCAGCGGCTGGGGCGCAACTTCGCCGGCGCCATCGCGGCGTTCAAGAGCTCGCTGAACCTGGACAACGGCAGCCTCCCTCGCGACCCCTCGCCGCGCGCCGTCGGCGAGAGGCCGCCGCTCCTCGTCCGCGGCTTCCAGCAGCTCTACTCCCGCGGCGGCGCCACCCAGCAGCTGCCGGAGAAGCTCGTCGCTGACCTCCGCCGCCACTTCGACGCTCTTCCCAACAGGTCAGTGTCTCAAAGTTCGCACCTTTTTTTTTATTATGTTCAGAGACCATTTTCTTCAAGAAGGGGCTGAATAACCAACAGTTTTTTTGGATCTATGGGTGGATGTCAAACTGTTGTCTTTTCAGTGGCAAAATGCCACTTAAAAGTTTAAAACAGCCGTTTTTGTTTTTTGCCTACTAAGAAACTGAAAATTCACAGATTCTAGTGATAACCAGATTAAAGGCTAGTGAAAGAATTGGTATTTAGTTCTACGATTTTTTTACTCCTGTGAATTTCGGGAGTGCCAATTGCGGAGTCAAGTACATAATTTGATATGTAAGCTGGTAGCATAATGCATCTCTGAATTGCGGAATGCTTCGCTGACAAGCAGAAATCTCCATTTGCAGCTATGCACAGGCTGGATTTGACATGAAAGATGTGCTCTTGCATGCCCGTCTTGTAGAGCAGGCAGCTGGTGAGGATCAGCCTGCAGTGAGTATTGAGGAAGTTCCTGGAAGCAATGGCAGAGGAGGTGCCAATGAAGGAACTGTTTTTCAGCTCACTTTTGCCTGCAGTGCACCACTTTCATGGCAGTCAATGTCAGGCTCACTTGATAGTCCTTCATTTTGCTGCAAGAGGATCCAGATCTTCGAGAAGAGAGGATTGACGCTTGGTGTTGTAATGATACTCGTGCAGCCTGGGAATGAGGTGTTCTTCAAGAACCGGGTCGACGCAGCACTGAAATCAGCAATAAAGAAGCAGCGGAAGAACAGCGGCGGTGTTAAGCTCCCATTTGGGCTCTGTGGTTGTCAAGAAGAAGGTTCAAGAAACTTTGATGAGGAATCTATGTTTGATCCAGATGATGGTCAGGTTCTTGACAATGAGCCAACTTGCAAGCCACAGCTGCCTACCCCACTACCACAATCATCAGTTTTTGTTTCTATAGACGAGTGGCAAACCATTCGATCTGGTGGCGAGGAGCTTGGCCGCTGGATGCTGAGCTCTGAGGAAATCGAGTTTATTGATTGGGTTGGTCCAAATTCATTCAAGGGTGTTTTTAGAGGAAGGAAGGTTTGGGTCAACAAAATGAGGGGCTGTGACATGGGAAGTGCTTATGATGTTGAAATCCGTCAGGACTTGTTGCAGCTGATGAGCTGTGGCCAGAGGAACATCCTCCAATTCCATGGGATTTGCTTCAATGAGAACCATGGGCTCTGCATAATAACAAGGATGATGGAAGGAGGATCGGTTCATGATATCATCATGCAGAGAAGCAAGAGATTGTCACTCCGAGACATTCTTAAGATCGCTATTGATGTTGCTGAGGGTTTGGCCTTCATGAACAGCTACGCAATTACCTATCGTGATCTTAACGCTCGGAGGATCCTGCTCGACAGGCAAGGAAATGCGTGCCTCGGGGATATGGGCATTGTTACCCCTTGTAATAATGCTGGTGAGGTCACCGAGTACGAGACTTCTGGCTATCGATGGCTAGCTCCTGAGGTTAGTTTTCTTGGGTTGATTTACTTAAAATTCACTAGTCTAGAAGTACAATCTCTGGAAATAAGCTGTTTACTGCAGCATTATCTCTTCATTTCTACTCATAGACATTATCTGGAATTATTTGTGAGACGTTTGCTTCCAGATTTCTGTAGCATGTTAGGTGTTCGCATAGGCATCAATCTGACCAAACTGTGTTAATGAACTACTGCTTGATCATGCAATTGGAAGAGTATTGATTGATCTTGCCAAGTTGAGGAATTATAGTTGCTCTACCTGTCAAGTAATATTTCTTTTTTAAAAATATTAATATTTCATTCCCATGGAGAACCATTATTTCATCCTTTTAACCTGACAAACCAATTTTGAGCTCCTATCATGTTCTTGTTCGCTCTTTGCCAGACAATCACAAAACGAACAGGTCATAAAAAACCTAAAAAAATCACAGTACCTTGAGCATACTTTTACAATTGCTTGTTCTTACATCGAAACCGTCCTGACCAAAGAATTTACTTCCATGCTGCACCAGATCATTGCCGGAGATCCCGAGAGCGTGTCGGAGACCTGGATGAGCAACGTCTACAGCTACGGGATGGTGCTGTGGGAGATGGTCACAGGTGAGGAGGCATACTCCACATACTCCCCGGTGCAGGCAGCGGTGGGGATCGCCGCATGCGGGCTGAGGCCAGAGATACCAAGAGACTGCCCTCATTTCCTCAGGTCACTGATGACCAGGTGCTGGGACAACAACCCTCTGAAGCGCCCCCAGTTTTCAGAGATCATCTCCATGCTGCAAAGGCAGAATGTCAGATAGTTTTTCTCCTTCTTCTTCTTCTTCTTTTCCTATGCTGCATATCTGCTTTTGTCTGGCTGTTTGCCCCAATCATGCAGGGAACTGCATATGAGAGAATATAATATATGTGCAAAGGCTTGTTATATTGCTCATCTTGCTTCTAAAAAAAAATGCTCTTTCCGATTTTTTTTATGATGTTGGTTACTTGTAAATGAACTAACCAACGTCGTATATTAAAGGATGATGGTAGTATCAGGTTGTATTGAGCTGGTCCATGGAATGGCATGAAGAAACCAAAGTGCATGAGATTTAATAGGAGGATCTGGGGGATAAGGACAGCGGTTTTGCCCAAACCTCCGCAACAAACTGTACTGTCCATATTAAAAGCTTCCCTAAGAAATGCAAATGCTTTGCACATCTTGGATGCAGATTGCTGATCTTGCTATATAAACAATGCTGGATCTACTGGGACAGGTCAAGATCTTGTGAGGCTCTTTGTTTGACCTGCTCATGATCTTTGATTGGCGATTTGGGTCCAAAGCTTTTGTTTCGGCCTCTCACTTCCACACCTGTCCCTCCATGACTTTACCTGTATATAACAGTATAACCATGTGATCTCCTTGGTCATCATTAGCGTCTTATTTTCAAGGAACAGTTGCTGCCTACGACTTTGTGTCAGCCTTGAACATGCAGGAGATGCTTTTTTTCTTTTTCCCTGGTTGTGTCTTCCATTTGAGGGGTCCAAAGCCCTAAAACGTCAAAGATGAGTGTGCTTATGGCTGTTGTAAGCTATGGCATGGTGGTGCCACCTCAATTATTTTCGGTTTTGCACTGCTGTGGCCTCGACAGCAAGCTGAATGCAGGAGCTCGTGTACTTCTGTCTTCATGTATGGGTAAATATCCTATAACTGTTGGCTACAGTACTCTCTTTGAACATTTTTTTTAGAGAATAGAGTACCTCACTAAGCAACGAAAATATCCTACCTATACAACAATCAGGGATGAACATAGACATAAGAAATAAAAAGGAAAAACCTAAAATCGTGCACATATCCGTAGGGCTGTGCCATCGCGCAATCTGCATCATTTACAGAACTGGCCTTACAATAATATCTTACATAACTACAGTCAGAAAAACATAAAAAAAACATGTGGCATTATCCATAGCAACACTTTTAAGGCCCTATTTCTTTCAGTTTGGGATTATTATAATCCAGATTATTGGGAGTAAGCTGAAAGAAACAGACAACTTATTGAAGTAGCTTATTATAATATGGAGCCCAGCTTATTATAATCTGATAAGCTTATTTAGGTGAGTTTTTTCCAGATTATTGGGTGAAAAATTACCCACCATGCCACCCCACTCCCTCTTTAGACTCGCAAACCCAATAATCTAGGAAAGAAACAACTAACCGCTTATTCTACTACAAATTAATAATCTAGATTATAATAATCTTAAACTGAAAGAAACATGGTCTAAGAATGAACGATCATTTATCCACCTATGTCGTCCGAACTAACTAAAGTCAGTGCTGTATTTTTATTCAAAAATAATTCAAAGACAACACTTACAAGGATTTTTTTATAGTAAAAGTTTTATTGAACTTAAAGTTTGAGAACACTCAAGCCGGCCTCTGCAAAGTGCACACAGCCACACCTACATGGAATCGATAAAACAAAGTAGTGTTGTGATCAACCTTTTCACCCTGGAAACCCCTTGTACCAATACTCCGTACCTTTGTTGGCGATCATAGCTCGAAAGGCTCCCCGATAGCAACATATGCACACGACAATTGCTGCTCTCAAAGAGACATTCCAAATATAAGATGCTCGATCCCTTAACTCCCTCTAAAACGTACGCAAATGGTCATGGTCTGATGGTCTCATGGAAAATTCCGAGTTTTTTCAAGGGAATTCTCTCTCTTGTCACACACATCACTCCACATCAAGGTAGATGAGACCAACTGTTTGTTTCGCGACAGCGACGACAGTGACTCGCGCGTGGTGACCGTTCGCCGTAGATGCGTCTGCGCCTGGACGGGACGGTCCCCTTGCGCGCGGCGCCGCTCCTGTGACTGAATCCGCGCCGTCGATTGCTCGGTTGGACGGCCACGATCCTGCACCGGGACGAGGGCCCGACCGACACGCCTCGCAGGAGACGCGCTTTGCTCACATGGAGCTGACACTGTTGGCTGCTCTCCGTGAACGGGCAAGGGTGACTGGATCGGCGTAAGAGCATCCAATGAAAAAAATCCTTGTACGGAGTACTACATAATTGTATCCGTAGTTGCATATTTTCATATACCGTTTGCCGTACCTATACAAATAGGGGAATATGTTTCTGAAAATTCCATAGAGAAAAGTAGAAAACCTGCATAAATTTGTGCAAATTTATAGTACTACATTATATTCTAAACTAGACATATGAGTAGTTCTTAAGTAGAGATAAATGGATCAGAGTTGAAATGAACCTACCAAGATCACATTAACTTCCCTGTCGAACTGACATGGATGCAACAGGATGAGCCGCTGAACTGCTATGTGCGTGTGGAGTATAGATGCAGCGATAATAAAAGGCTCAACCGTGACAGCATTCCACGGCACGATTCATATGCACGTACCTTTTGCATCATCAATTCTCTGCAAACGCCAGAATCCTCACGCAGTTCTCGCTGGCGACGCATTTACGCCCTTCTCGCTGGCAGTTTTGTGCGCCCATGCCGCCATGCCTCTGCATTGCGTCGGCACCCATGCCTTCGCATTGCGTTGGTAGCAGCGGTGAAGAAGAGCTAACCAACGTACTGGAAAAAATTGGCAGGTCGCTGCCGCAACCGTCCTTGCAAACACGGCACAGTACCGATCAGTACAGACCAGAATTCTGAAGCATCGAGTAACAGTACTCCATCAATAGCAACATATATACTCCAGTCCATACTCCATAGCAACATACGGAAAGCTAAAGTTTTAGAGGTCCAGAGGACTGAGGAGAGAGCGAGACAAGTAAGAAACAATGAGACTCCATGAAACGTTGCAAATCATAAGAGTAACATCATCGATCAACTTATCTTAGGGCTACAGCTGACTCAAGACAACAAGATTGCCATCCAACTCAAACAGTGTTGTTGATTGGTGAGAAAATCTTGCATGAGAATAATGACAAGCAGGATGAAAAGCTCAGAGGCGTGCTAGTCATCCGAAAAGAAAAATTCTGTGAGGACAACAACAAACATGGGAGATCATGAACTTGGTTTGTCGGCTTTTTCTCCTTATTTGTGAAGATCATTCATTTGAAGTAAAACCCTGAGAGGCTACTCAGATACGGGGCATGCACTCTCAAAATCTTGCTGCTCCTTACGACAGAAGTCAAATTCGTTGGTGTAGTAATACATGCAGCCGGCATAGGCGTCCATCTCCTTGGGGCACTTCTGGTGAAGTTCTTTCAACCTGAGAATGAGAATATTATCAGAAAGAACTATAAAGCAAACAAGCAAGTAGAGAGTGCAGATGAAACATAATGGTTTAACTACAAAATGCACGATACTCAACCAAAAGGGTCACAAATCTTCATTGAGTTTAAATGTTCATAAATGAGAAACTAGAAATCTTCATTCAATTTCCCATGCACACACCCTGCTGTGTGTAATAGAGAGTAATAGAACATTGTTAACATAAAATCAACTGACCATGGCAGCTTTACAATATATTGCATGTTGTCAGTTGCAGAAAGGTCAGATCCCAAGTAATAACATCATTATTTACTATCCTGCTCTCCAGTACTGTCTGTCTTGTGCAACATGCACAAAACTATGGTGAAGAAGCAAAGCCCGTGCATATTACTTCACTAACTTAAAATGTTCTTGAGCAATCTTCTATTATATTATTAAAGGAGCCTCCACGTTCGCTCTCATGGCCTAGAAATTCCCACATTAATCGGAGAAATATAGAAAAAGAAAAGGCAGAGTCCATATAGAAATACAATTTAGAAATAGCTGAAATTCGGAATTAAAAAATAAGGAATATTAGAAGAGGAGACTAGAGTCCATATAGAAATACAATTACGGAAAAAATAGAAATTCGGAATTAAAAATAAGGAATATTAGAAGTAGAGTATAGAGTCCATATACAAATATAATTAGGAAATAATAGAAATTCGGAATTAAAAATAAGGAATATTAAAAGTAGAATATAGAGTCCATATAGAAATACAATTACGGAAAAAAAAAGAAATTCGGAATTAAAAATAAGGAATATTAGAAGTAGAGTATAGAGTCCATATAGAAATACAATTACGGAAAAAAATAGAAATTCGGAATTAAAAATAAGGAATATTAGAATTAGAGTATAGAGTCCATATAGAAATACAATTAATAAAAAATAAAGATTCGGAATTAAAAATAAGGAATATTAGAAGTAGAGTATATAGTCCATATAGGAATTTAAACCTAACTAAAATTTGGAATAAACATAATTAAATTAAAAGTAGAGTTTAGAGTCCATATAAAAATACAATTTACAAATAACTAAAATTCGAAATTAAGAAAAACATGGGAAGAAGAGTTTAAAGTCAATATAGGAATACAATTTAGAAGTAACTAAAATTTGAAATTAAAAACTAAAGAATATTGAAAGATGAGTTTATATAGAAATACAATTTAGAAATAGCTGAAATTCGGAATTAAAAATAAGGAATAATAGAATAGGAGACTAGAGTGCATATAGAAATACAATTTAGAAATAGTTGAAATTCGGAATTAAAAAATAAGAAATATTAGAAGAGGAGACTAGAGTCCATATAAAAATACAATTAGGAAATAACTGAAATTTGGAATTAAAAATAAGGAATAATAGAAGTAGAGTATAGAGTCCATATACAAATAAAATTAGGAAATAATAGAAATTCGGAATTAAAAATAAGGAATATTAGAAGTAGAGTATAGAGTCCATATAGAAATACAATTAAGAAAAAAAAGAAATTCGGAATTAAAAATTAAGGAATATTAGAAGTAGAGTACAGAGTCCGTACTAAAATTCGGAATAATCATAATAAAATTAAAAGTGGTGTTTAGGGTCCGTATAAAAATAAAATTTACAAATAACTAAAATTCAAAATTAAGAAAAACATGGGAAGAAGAGTTTAAAGTAAATATAGGAATACAATTTAGAAGTAACTGAAATTAAAAATTAAAAATTAAAGAATATTGAAAGATGAGTTTAGAGTCCACATAGAAATACAATTAGAAATAATAAAAATTCAGAATTGAAAAAAAGAAATATTAAAAGACGAGTCTAGAGTCCATATAGGAGTATATATAATTTACAAATAACTAAAATTTGATATTGAAAATAATTAATAACTAAGACATATATAAAATACAATATGAATATTACACATTAGTAGTTTCGTAAAGTTATTGCAAAATTTAAAATTATGTTGTCATTTTAATATATTTGAATAATATAATGAGAAAACATATATGCTATTATATGAGAGAAAATATAATGATGCTAGCCGCACAATCTGCGCGGGCCACCATGCTAGTAATAATAATAATAACTAGTCTGCTTGGAAAGGCTAGCAAACAAGCACTACTGGAAAGGCAACAAAAAGAAGAAGAAAATAATTGTCAGCTCATGCAATACCAAATTACTCTGCCTCTCTGTGGCAAGACTAAATATTTGTGTAATACACCTAATCATAAAACCACATTTCCTCCATTTATTCACTGTAGTGATGTACTCTTTAATCTACACCACCTAAAATTCTATATCATTATAATCACAAAAAGGGTCAACACAAAGTAACATGAAATCAAGGATTCTTCAATAACAGAGCATGTTACTTGAGTAACATTGAAACAAGAGATAATAAACAGGAATGGCTGTTCAGACTTCAGAGACATAGCACACAGAATGATCAGAGTCATAGCCTCCAGTCACTCCTCAAGTGTACAAGCTTTCGACATATCAATAGTATTTAACTGTTGTTCATTGGCTTTTCATTTTGCTGCAAGCTCTATATTATGAACTTTGCACAGCTCTATCTCCTTAATAGTGATTAGTTGGACTCTTTTCCTGTTCTTTCAATAAAATGTTAGCCCAGTAACACAATGTTCTCTGTACATCCTGTGAGATACTGAGATACGCATAAGTTGTACCATCAAAGAAATGTTAAGTGTCATCTTTGCAACTACCACTTGAGGCCATAACTCATCATCGTACCTCAGTAGGCAGGCACTCCTGCAGATGGCAGTGAGTGGCTATTCCTAGAAGGCGAGAATGTGCTGCTCCCTATGTTTCAAATTACTTGTCATTCTAACAAATTTCACACTAACCAATGAGCTGTGGCAAATTACATTATTACCCTCATCAAGTGCATTTCAATTGTTTTTCCAAAGCAGTCATTCTCTAATTAGCTGAGACGAGCCAATGGGAGCTGTGATTGGATTGACGTGTGGTTGCATTGGGTAGGGTGGGAAGTTCACCTCTAAAAGTGCTCTGGAATGCGCGAATGACAAGTATTGTGGCAAAAAGAAAATTGAATCCTAGAATGATGAGTAATTTGAAACAGGGGGAGTACTTATTTCCTTGATTATTCCATATAAACAATAAAACAGTATGGATCAACAACAGGTATCCTTCTGCCTTTGCTATATGCTCTAAACCCAAAAAGTTCATCTGATCATTTAGCAGATGGAATCTAAATCAAGCAGCAACAATACATTTCATATTACTGAAAAACAGCAAGCGACTACGCGAGGTATCATGCTAACTGCTTAGCTGAACTAACTCTAGAGCAATGTAGTATTGTAGTTTAAGCTACCAACTTATCATGGAAGATTAATAAGCTAAATGATTCCTGGCTTACAGTGGAGGAGAAGGCGTGGTGTGCTCAGTCTGCACTGGTTAGTGGTCACTCATTGTGTACACATTTTGTTCTGGTCAGTGATCACTCCTCACATTTTGCTTTAATAAAATTGGAGAAGATAACAAAGTAATAGCAGGTGTCACCTTGTAAAGGAAGCAGGAACGTACTGTAAAATAAGTGAATACTAACTATCAACTTCAGCACTGTGGAGTCATATACTTGTATATTATCTTCTAAATCTCTCTAGGATATATTAGGGATGCTAGTTTGCACCATGAACTATGTTTGATTTTTGGACAAAAAAGGCACATACACACAAGTATATACTACAATAGTGTACAAATTGAAATGTCCAAAGATAAATGAATGTTTGGGAATCAAGTCCTAACACAGACAACTCGAGACACAAATAGAACAAGGAAAAACAGAAAAAAAAAGTCTCATCCGTAAGTAGATTTCCTATCTTAGGACTAAAAGTGAACAATATAAGCAAGTAATAGTCTGCATTGGCTGCATATAAGAATACATTATCTCTGGTTGAATGAAATTAACCTATAACATTAAGAAGTTATTTAAGTTCTACCACCGAGACTAAGAACAAAGCCAGCTTGCTGCTGAGTGCGATAATCCCAATAACTACCTAATCCCCTATGCTGCATAATCTGACCAGAAGGATAACAAATTTGTTTTTCTGAATGGAGAAGAACATTATCATGTATGAGCTCACAATTTCACACCTTTGTGAGCTGCAGCTAATCACTGAAAAGCTAAATTTCATATCAGCTCTGCATAACATATTCCTAAAAGACATACTACTTGCTACAGAGTTACCCTGTTATTCTAGCCCCCGGCATTAGTAAGAATGCACAACAATGAGAACGAACCCTACACACACTAGTCACTACAAACTATGGCACCAGCTAGTAACAACTATCACAACCACATTAGCAACTAGCTAGTGCGTGTATCATCGAAACAAAATCCACTCCCAGAAAATGCAACCCAGCATCATCACATATTCGTTAGGCACCAGTCGACTATGCACTGATACACTACCAAACACTGACCGCTGAAGCAAAAAAGAAAAAAAAAAACGTATTCCTACCTATCAATTTTATCTAACGGATTAGAAGAAAATTATCAATTTTATCTAACGGATTAGAAGAAAATTTAAGTAGCAGCACGGACTAAAAACATCACAGCGTTGATCGAAGCAACATTTCTCGAATCCCCGAGTTCAAGGAGGGGGCGTGAGGGGATCGGACAAAAAAGGGCGCGGGCAGCGAGGATGAACCGAGGAGGAGGAGGGGGAGCGGCGGCGAGGCGAGGCGACTCACAGGTCGAAGACGCAGCGCTTGACCTGGCGGCCCTTCTCGAGGCACTTCTGCGGGTTGGGGTCCTTCTTCTTGCAGTTGAGGAAGGCCACGTTCTCCGGCCTGCACCGCACGGCGATGTGCTTCGACGCCGCCATCAGCACCGACGAGGTCGGGATCGGATCCCCCGATGCGTCCACCGGCGCGCTGCTCGCCGACATCCCTGCGTGCGGCGCGGCGGGCCTCGAGGGCTTCTCGCCTTGGAGATCTGAGGAAGTCGGAGATGGAGATGGAGAGGACTGTGGAGGAGGAGGACGGAGGACGGGAGGAGGAGGAGGAGGAGCAGGTGGCCGGTGGTTTCGTGGGCTTTTTGCACTGTGGCGATAGAGGAGAACGAGTTGGGCCTTATATGGGCCAAACCTAGCGGCCTCATATTTTTATATTATTCTGGCCCACAGAGCTACGCTAAATATTACGCCTTCTCGCCACACGCACACTTCACCGCAACTCCGGCCGCCCGCCGCCGCCGCCGCCGCTCGCGTGCAGCAAGCGTTGTGCTAGCTAGCGCCGCCCCACCCCTCCGGTGCCGACTAGTTGCTGTGGCTGGCGGCGCGCGCCGCCTGACTTCCTCTCCTTCTCCGGTGCCTCACCTCAGGCTCTGTTGAGAACAGGAGGGGTGAGGGGGAAGATGCCGAAGAAGGGGACGAAATCGAGGAAGGGCACGGACGATGAGCCCAAGCAGGAGGAGAAGAACAAGCTTCCGGAGCACCTTGAGGTCCAGCGGACGCGTGTGGTCTGCAAGGGCGACGCCCCCGTAAATGTATCCATTCTTCCACGCTACTCTTCCTTTTGCTTCCGCGCAGTTTTTTTTAATTATTATCAGACACCTATATATATATATATATATGCATGTGTGTATATTTATTCAGTTAATTTTTTTGCTTGTTAGATTCTATTGCTTCCTGTGGAAATCAAGCGTTCTGATAATTTGTTCTTCAAGGAGCCTGATTTCTCATAGGGCAGCACTCTTTCTACGCTACTGCATGATTGCGTCTAATTGATTAATTCTCAGATAATTGGATATTGAAGGGGCCGTACTTTATGATCTTCTTTTTTATGTTCTATATGAAACAAAATTGGCTGTTTATTATTTCAGTGTGTGTACAATAGGCCTAATCTATTGTTTTATATGTTTAAAGACTGAAGGTTTTCAATACGCTGGTGCTTTTGCTGCTATGGGAATCGATAACAGTGTCTCAGCGGATAAGTTTTGCAAAAACTTTAAAGTCGTGGTAAATCGACTTACGGAAGATGATATGGAGTTTGATATGATTGGTATTGATGCATCAATGGCTAATGCTTTTCGGAGAATCCTTATAGCAGAGGTATGCTCATGTTGTCATCTGTACCATCGCGGAAGCTGTTTGCTGTATTCTAAATTTCTAATACGTCATATATTTGGGGTTCCATTTCACTACACGTACTTAGTTATTTTGAATTTACAGGTTCCTACAATGGCAATTGAGAAAGTTTTAATGGCTGACAATACCTCAGTTATAGCAGATGAAGTTCTTTCACATAGACTTGGCCTTATTCCACTTGATGCAGATCCTAGGCTTTTTGAATATATCTCAGGTCTGTAACTTAAATTGTTCTAATTCTTGTCTGTAACTTGGTTATTATACATGAATAATAGCTTTACTCTTCCGCTGTATTTTTTAGAAAATGATGTCCCAACTGAAAGAAACACTATTGTGTACAAACTCCATGTTTCATGTAAAAAGGGTTCCCCACGGCTTACAGGTACCTTACTTCCCTGCAACCTAGACTATTTTACAGTTTCCAATCATCTTATTAAGTTTTCCAAATGGATTTTTGCCCCTCTGATGTGTGTCATACAGGAGTGGTTATTTCTCAATATTCTGCTCCACATATATTCTTCTGAACCAAGTTTGTTCAATGCTTTTCAAGACAAATTGTCATATTTTGCTCACTTTCACTAAATAAGCTAGTAGCATCATGTTTACAGGTTTATCTTGAGTTAGATAATAGTCCTCATGTCATGGGAGACCCCTACATGTGCAATTTGCAATCAGATAAAATTAATATTTAATAACCATATTTGATTGATCCTGTTGGTAATCTTCAAAGAACCATATCTTACATAAATGGAGTATCCAATTTGTTATCCGGTTGATACATCACCCTATATGTTATGAAACTTACAGACAACTCAATCATTTAAAAACTACTTCGATGCCACATTAATCAGACTTTTCACTGTTCAGAGTAATATACAAATAAAAAAGTGTGTGTGTGTGTGTGTGTGTCTAGTGCTTGTACATTAATTATATAATATCTCATGTACGAAAACCCAACCTCGTAAACAAACTTTGGTGCGGATAGTCTGATACCATTCATCATTCATGCACATATCACTGAATCAAATAATGGATCCTTAGTTGTTGGTACTTCAGCTTATTCATGCCCATTCTGTTATCAGTGCTTTAACTCGGAAAGCTTTGACAGTCTATCATGTGATCTCTTGTGCTAATAAATCATCTAAGAAATTACTTTGGTAAAGACAAAAACATGTCAATGATGAATTAAGTATTCTGTTCTTATTTCTCTTGTTGTACTTCTATATAATTCTGAGCAGCACAAGCCTGTTGTATTTCCTAGAAGGTTGGTTGATATTTTCTACTGTATCAAGTTTTCACATAGTTTTTTTCACTACACAGTGAAGTCTGGTGATTTAGAGTGGCTGCCAGAAGGTAGCCAACTACCTTTGGCATCTCCTGCTCAATCTGGGGACAAACAAAAGACGTACACTTCCTTCAGCCAAAGCCAGAAGGATATCTTAGAAAAGCCTCTTGGTGTGAAATTTAAAGACATAACTATTGCGAGGCTTGGGCCAGGCCAGGTAACTTTGTTATTATGGTTATTTTCTGTGATATTATTATGATAGTCATAGTAGTACTTGGTAGCTATATTCTCTGTTATTTTAGACTTACTATTTGGATTAAGGTGCTTTGTCGAGTCCACATGATACAAAGAAGATTTCAATCCAGTCAATTCATGGAGTCCTCTGCTTATGTAGCTTTACCATTATTTTTATGAATACTTTTTTTTGGTTTAACTCATCAAGCCTGAGTTCATGTGCATGCTGATAGTCACTTTTGTAAAGATATTTTCTCATGGAAACATGCTACTCTGAAAATGTTTTGCTTATGTTTCATGGGTTTATTCTTTGCAAACCTTTGTGCCTTCTAATAATCGGCTCTATTTTAGGCTATTGAACTTGAGGTACATGCTGTTAAGGGAATAGGAAAAGTGCATGCCAAGTGGTCCCCAGTTGCTACAGCTTGGTATAGAATGCTCCCTGAGGTAAAATTCTTTCGCTGAATTTCTATGAAAACCGTGAGTTGCTACGTATTGCTTTATCTTCATGGCTTAGTGTCATATTATCACATAGGTTGTTCTTCGTGAAGAAATCAAAGATGCTGATGCAGAGATGCTAGTGGCAAAGTGCCCAGTCAATGTTTTTGACATCGAAGACCTGGGAAACGGTAACTTCTGTTTCCCTTAGTCGTTGGTGTGCTTATTTTACCACTGTTATCTTGGGATGGTACGGGAGTCGATGCCAAACCTAAGCTGCTGGAGTACTTATTTTACTATAAAAGTATAAGAGAAAGTAGCCGTGCTGTCTGTAATGTGTATATCTCATGCTTTTATAAAAAAAATTTCCCAGTCCGATTGAATGGAGATGTTCATAGGAGGTTAAGGGGAGAATGCAAAATTTTTCATAATAATAAACACCTATGACCTTGCCTTTTGTTAGGACTTGCCAGTCTTCACCATTTGACGCCTGTTACATCATATTGCCATTCATTTACTAACTTTCCATCTCTGTAGTCACTTTAATGTGTTCGCTGGACACTCAACAAAGGAATTCTTCTCATAATACCAGTTATCACTAGAACATGATTAACACACTTTATTTATGTAAACTTGTTTCAAATTATGCATGTTGAGAGCATATGTGAAAAGCTCTTATCTAATGAACACCTTGTTGACCCCCAATTTCTAAAAAGTTTCTTAAGCAAGATGATGGTTTTTTGAAGGCTTCCTAAGTCCTTTCCAAGTAACCCTCAATAGAAGTGAATATGAGTGGTAGTCCTTTGAATTTTGAATTGATTCAGACTTTCAGAGTTCAAACAATAAAAGCAGGGAAACAAACATCTGCCCATGAAAATTTGCAGTATGGTAGGTGCATAGAACTTTTTTATGAAGCTCTGCTAAAATTTGAAGGCACTAAATAAGGGCTAAAAGATCAAAAGCATTAGGTCAATATGGAACTGTCTCATTAGGTCAAAAGCATTGTTGTCTCTTTAGCCTTCGAACTCATATAATTCAAGCTATGGTTACTACCTGTGCTTTAATATCGCCACTTCCCTTTCCATATGCAGGGGAAAAGAGAGCGGTTGTTGCTAGGCCAAGAGCATGCACCCTTTGTAGGCAATGCGTTATGGGACCTACTGGGGAAGTTATGGGACCTACTGTGGAACAAGTAGAACTACGGCGTGTCAGAGACCACTTCATCTGTAAGTAGTGACAACCTGATTATTTGTTATTGTACTACACCTTTTCATGAATTTCACACCCTTATCAAATTTGTAGCTTCATCAGACTAGTTATCATGTTCAACTCACTTCTTCTTTTTTCCCCCTCACTAGTTACGATTGAGTCTACTGGAGCTCTACCGCCGGAGATGCTGTTCACAGAGGCTGTGAGGATCCTCGAGGAGAAGTGCGAGAGAGTGATATCTGAACTGTCATGAGCTCTCTAGTGGTCACTGTAGTTTTTCACGGTTATATTCTGTTGGGAGGGTGTTTGTGCTAAGATTTATCTCCTGACGAAGAGCTGAGTTGGTAATGTTTCTTATAATCTTGTCTACATCAGGCTGCTGTAACAGAAACAAATTAAAGCTCGGCATTGGTTTTTTGTTGTTCCAGTTTACCATGCACCCTAGTTGCAGTTTACAGTACTTGTTATTCAGGCACTACGATTTGCACGTCAAGGTCCCGGTGAGTAGGAATTTAGTACGATTAAAGATTTACTGCTATTTTCCGTCTCTTTAAGGGTTTGATCGAGAGTACTCTTTTCTAACACTTACTCCCTCGCATACTTCTTGAACTAAAAAAAATTCTATAAAAAAGTATTTTAGAAAATCGTATTAATTTATTTTTAATTTTTTTAGAAATATTTTTAATTTTTTTATTAATGCTACTTAATTAATCAAGCAATAATGAGAAAATTCATTTTATGTACGTGAGGGATTAGGGATAATTCCCAATACCTGTACCGAACGCAACCTAAGTGTATGCTAGAGGGTGTCTTGACTAGTGTGTGCGCACTTGTGAATTTGTGATAATAGTAGAAATCAGCTCGCCAGTTGGCGGGCCTCATAATTTATAACCCATGTGGATTATGAAAACTCTTTATATCAGAATTATTTTCAAGTCTTTTACATAATTAATTTAATTGTAGTAAAATCTCTATATTAATTTATTTGAAAATAACCCCTTTAATGGGCTCTTTGATTTTGTGTTTGTCAAGGGTTGAGAATTGGCGTGTAATCGTAATATATGCTAATTGCTAGGCTTCTATTGTGTTATGTATGGGTTATCGAACATTGTCATATATGTTTGTGAAAACGGTATTAAAAAGAAATGGATGTTTAGTGAAAAAATTGAGTGTAGCTTGCATAGATTAGGAACTTCTGTTTGAGAGTTTTTGATTTTTCAGTTGTTACCGTAATTCATTGGCTAGATTTAGCGTGGCACCTACAATCGTAAGAGTGGCTCAGGCACTGTTTCTTTCAGTGCAGGATTATTATAATTCAGATTATTGGGAGTAAGCTGAAAGAAACAGACAATTTATTGAAGTAGCTTATTATAATCTGAAACCCAGCTTATTATAATCTGATAAGCTTATTTAGGTGAGCTTTTTCCAGATTATTGGGTGAAAAATTATCCACCATGCCACCCCACTTCCTCTTTAGACTTACAAACCCAATAATCTAGGCTCTAATAATCTAGGAAAGAAACAACTAACCGCTTATTCTACTACAGATTATAACAATCTAGTTTATAGTAATCTGACTTAATAATCTAGATTATAATAATCTTAAGCTGAAAGAAACAGGGCCTCAATGTCGCTGGGGTCGGCATCACGTTAAAATATAGTTTTAGTTGTGTTCTATATTTACTTATTTTAATTTATACATGCTCAGAAATCTTTAGGATCTAGATAATATTGAATTATCGATTCTTTTAAGAAAGTCTTGGTCTTTTTTCCCTTTTGACCACTATCTGTTTTTTGTATTTTTATTATATTTTTCTAGTTTTGTCTAATTTTTATTTTTTCATTTCTCAAATGTGTCACGCCTATTTAGTACTAGTATTGTTGGAATCATTGGAAAGATCCAGATCTTTTCAGTTAATTTTACAGACCTTGGAAGTGCAAGGAGAGACACTGAGCAAGTTTAGTTAGCAAGTTTAGTTAATAGTATAGCCAACTATTAGCTCCAACTCATCTATAGTCAATTTGATAGCTAATTTATACAATAGTTGTTTACAAACATGTACTACACTATTAATATTTGGTCTCACATGTCATATACACAAAATCTATAGCCCATTGCTCTTCTCACTTCTCATTTATCTTCTCAGCTGGCTTATAGTCTGCTATTGTACTTTTGTAAGCAGGAAAGAGCATAAGCGCTTAGTTAGCTTCAACAGTTTTCTTTGTTTCATGTGTCAGCACCTTGTAGGTCCATGTGGACCAATCAACTGGCAAGAAACTTGCCAACTTGAGAAGTAGTGATGATAAGTTCTATAGATGAGATTTATTTAAGGAATTTTAAAAATAAAACAAAATATGTGGGCCCCTGACAGGATAGGAACAGAGAAGAGAGGGAATAAGGTGGAGGAAGTAAGGTCCACTGACAGGTGGGCCCCTACTATTTTTTAATCTTATGATTTGACTAACATGTGGACCCATATATTTGTTTTATTCTTTAAATTGTTAAATTTTATTTCATGTTACATGTCATATGAAGACCGAGTTAAATTAGCCACGTAGGCGCTACGTTGGATGAAACCGTCGTCCAAACCGCATTAGGATTTATGGATTTTGACAGTTGAAGGACCCGTTGTATCTTGTGGTTTTTCAGTTGAAGGACAAAAATCGGATTCATTGTCTAAGTTGAGCGACACATGAACTTGTTCCTTTATTATTTAACCACTACTTTTGCCAAAGTAACAAATTCAACTCTTATTTACGAAGCTCCGCAACGGGCTTAGATTGGTCCAATTTCCAGGCTCCCAGCCCAACCCATTTTACGGACCAGGATTCCAGGAGGGCCCAGGAGGAGGCCCACTCTAAGGCTCTGGCCGTCGAATCGCCAGTTTATAACAGCTGATTCTTGTGGCCCTTTCAGTTTTGAGATATTTAACCATTTGTTCAGTTTTCCGACGTTGTGCGAGATTTAATCGGATCGGACGGACGTCGTAGAGAGGGACGAGAGAAAAAAAGGGAAGGTTCGGAAACGGGATCCCGAGGCTGACATGTGGGCCACAGTTCCCGTCCGTTCTCGTCCGCGTGAGATGTAACCAGAGATGATCCAGAGAAGAGAAAATCCCCTATGTACCCATGAAAGTTCACCTAATCCCTTCTATATCTCTGAATTTTGTTCAATCCCCTACATACCCCTGAATTTTATTTTGGATCCCTTCCATGCCATTTCCGCTAGTTGACCGTTAGTTGACCGTTAAATTCTTTTGAAAAAGTCCATTTTGCCCTTTGCTATGAAGAAACATAATAAATTAATGAAGTAAATTGTTGGAATATAAAAATTTATCGGATGGGATTATTATATTTATGAATATGTGATGCACCATATTATTTGTGACAAGTTTATTTTTACATATGATATAGTTATTAAAAGTTCTTTTATGTAGCATATGTGTTTTCATAGTAATACAACAAATTTGTTTATTACTATCAGAACACATATGCTAAAAAAAATCTTTTAATAACTTAATAAATAAGTATTAATTTTTTATGTCATATATACAAGTATATTTATCGTAAATAATATGGTGCATAACTATCTCATAAACATAGTCTCATATAACAAATTTCTATGCTGCAACAATATACTCTATTAATTTATATATATGCTTCTTTATACCAAAGGGCAAAATAGACTTTTTCATAAGAATTTAACGGTCAACTAACGGTCAACTAGCGGAAAGGGCATGGAAGGGATCCAAACTAAAATTTAGGGGTATATAAGGGATTGAGCAAAATTCAAGGGTACAGAAGGGATTAGGTGAACTTTCAGACGTGCACAAAAGATTTTCTCTCGAGAAAAGGTCGGTTTGGTCTCGTCTCTCTCCTTCAAATCGATTCGGTGTCGTCGTCTCTCTCGCCGTCGCGTCGTCTCCTTGAAGCCCCCGAGATGAGCACCCTCCGTGGAAAGGGCAAGCGCAAGCGCCCCGAATAGCCGGCGCCGGAGGCGGAGGCGGAGGAGGCGGAGCTCAACTTGATCTTGCTCCGCAAGATGGGGATGGGGTGCACAAATATGCTGTCGCAGTCGCAGCTCTCGAAGATAAAGATGTTGGCGTCGCGGCCCGATATCTGCAAGAGGAACAGCCACCTGAAGCTCTGTTACAACCTCCGCAATCGCAATGTCTTCGTCCCCAACACCAACAAGCCACAGCTAGGCCCCCTCCACACCAACAAGCCACAGCTAGGCTCCCTCCAGTACAAGAAAGGGTAATCAAATCTAATCTCATCTCCTCCTTTCCTTCCCACCCCCGCAATCTTCAATCGTCGATGCGTATGTTGCACGATTTAATTTCCTCGCCCTCTCTACCTACGTATTTTGTATTAGGGGGTTGCTATAGATTTTTTTTTTTTACGATTTTGTTTATGGTAGGAATCTGGATTGGAATCCCCTTCCTCCAAACATGCCGTAATGTTTTTTAAATAACTTTTCCGGCCGATGCCCTAAATGGTTCACCATGTTCAGTTTAACATGAGACATTCAGTTTAACATGATGTCTTTTTTTTTTTGAATTAGATTGGTGTAATGCAATCAAGACTTGATTACCTATAAACATGTGAATGTTCAGAAAATTGATTAAGCTCTCTGCAGTCCACATAGATATGCATGCAATGCGCAAAATTCAGTTTAGACATTCAAGGGCAGTGGCAATTAGTTCCATTGAACGTGATGTACTCTGCATTGTTGGAACACCTGTAAACAAGATGTTGCATATTTAGGGAACAATTTTGCTATATATTTGTCGACAAATTTTCTCCCAAAAATTTGACAGATGTAATTACAGTACAATCGTAGTGTAATTACACTGTAACTTGCATGTAATTACACTGTAACTATAGTGTAACTTGTATGTAACTTTCAAAAATCTCTTTGTAATATGTTATTTCAGTAAAATGGAGGTTGTGGGAACAAATCCTTCCACATGTGTGTGCTGTGATTTTTTTTTTCTTCCTCACCAAAACAAATCTATAATAGATTTAACGATTCAAAATTACGTGAAACTTATATACAAGTTACACTGTAGTTACATGCAAGTTACAGTGTAATTACATATAAGTTACAGTGTAATTACACTACGATTGTATTATAATTACATCTGTTAAATTTTTAGGAGAAAATTTGTCGACAAATATATAGTTGGTCCCTTTAGGGAAAAATATTACGTTGCTCCTCATTATAAATGGCAACCCAAGAGCATTTTGTTGTGTTGTTTTAGAGCAGTTGCAGTTATCAGCAGCGTTTGCCAACCTGGTTGGTAATCCAATTTTCTGTGCGCTTGCTGACTAATGTTTTAACTGTTTCTCATTTCTTAATATAGTTGGTTTCTATCTTTAAAAAAAAGGAAAATTGAATCGCTCCGAATATAGTTTTTCCTTATGGCAGCTACTTACCAACAATTAACTGATGACTGTATTGTCTTTGCTCTCATTCCTTGCAGGAAGGAACATGTGTATGATGTGTCAGGGCAGACCCCAACATGCGCAAAGGTTGCTCTCGAACACTATAACAGATCATATGAGGTCTCTTCTTAAACACTTATCATGCTTATTCTCTATTATCTGTGCCATCCGAGTGCCCACTTATGCTGGTGAATATGTTGGCAGGATGAGTATGAGATGGTTAAAGCACTGGACAGCGTTTCTTCCTTCTTCAATGGTGTGTGGGTGCATGTAAATTTCCTTGCTAAACTCAAAGGGGCCACCCAATGTCCTGACCTTGTTCCCAAGTTCTTCTTTGCTGAGGTAAAAAGGGGTCCAGATGGAATGTCATGTGTATCTTGTGTTAAGATTGACCCAAGTATGCTAAATCACAATCCTCGATATTGTCATTTTCGCTCGTTTCTACTTTTTTACCCTAGCTCAGATACTGTAGCTTCAAATCTGAACCCTCCATAGAAAAAATAGATGGCCAAGATCATGTGCAGTTCTTATCTTGTAGTTCCTAGTGTAACTGCATTTGATCCGAATCCGTTTCGTAAATCAAGTTTTAATTCTGGCTTATTTCTCGCAGGAAGTCCAGAGGCAACACCAATTCGTGGTTGTGGGATTTGTCTGAATAATGCGATCTATTATCCTGCTGCTGGAGGGCACCGAGGCGACAGGAAGAATTCGTTTCATGCATTTGGTTCCCTTTGGTTTATGTTATGCACTATGGAGACTGTTGTTTCACGCAGTGGATTTATGTGTGGTTAAATTTCATGGTGTGTGAAACATGCAATGAGAACATCAGTTTGGCTATGGATGTTTGTTTCGTGCAATGGATATATGTATCGTTAGAGTTAAGACGTTAAATTTGATGGTCTGGTCATTGTGTGCAAAGAAAATCGCTGCACCATTTTTGTTGTTACCGAGTCTGGTATTTGCATCCATTGTTGGATGTTTTTAGACCAACCTAATGAAATTCTTTTCGCTGGTAATAATTTTGGTTGCAGACCAAAGATATAGGTACAAATGCGGTGATAGTGCATAATGTGAGCAAGCTACTAGATGTTTTTGTCGTTGCGCCATTGCACATTAACTTTGCTTTAGCTGGATTATATGTTTTGCTGTAAGCAGAGGATGAAAATTAGATACTCGTTGCACGTTTTTTAAACTGCTAAACGGTGTGTTTTGTGAAAAAAAATATTTTATATGGAAGTTGCTCTAAAATATCAGATTAATTTTTTTTCAAATTTATAATAATTAAAACTCAATTAATCATACGTTAATTTATGAGAGAAAAGAACATCTGGTCTAAGTAGTACGTACCAAATAAATATATGCGTTATTACATCTGATGGATAGACTTATAAAATACAACTTGAAGACAGCCACATATACTAGCTTCATGTATATCATGCACGGGGCGCGGCGTAGCGTGCAATCATTTACTAGTTTCTTACCAAGCGAGAGTACTATATATCCAAACGTGGCAGCAGTACGTATTCACAAGCACAAAGCAGTTGCTGCAATACTATCCCAGAGCCCACTGCCCAGCCAACAGAATGTACTTATATCACAAAGGAGCATTAATACATAATTTTCTAATCAGAGTGTTTCAACTTATCATTCCAATATTCCCAGACAACAGAATGTATACCACAAAGGAGCATAGATGATTTTGTAATCAGAGTGCTTCAGCTTGTTATTGCAGCAAGCTCCCTGCTCGATTGCGGCAGCCAATAAGTTGTCATCGAGATCAAAAATAGCATGTTCTATCCTGACTCTCCTAATATTATTCTAATTCAGCCCTTCATCTCTAAAATGCAATGCCTGCAAATGTAACATCAGGAACAATGGTTCCAATGATGTTGGCACTCTCCATAATGCCACGCCCACCATTATGGTACTCAGGACCCCAGTTGTTCTGGTAATCGAACAACCCAGTCCTACCCTGTGCTCCATAGCCGTAGAGAAGTAGGGCATGGGTTCGGACGATCGGGGAGATCATGGTCGATGGTGCGGATGGGACGCGATAAATTTCGCCCTTGGCATCCTGGAACGAGTCGTCGTAGGCGAACCATCCGTACACTGGACCTCCACAATGGATAGCGTCGATGATCTCGCTGGACGCACCTTCGTGCCAGCAGTTGCTCTTCAAGTAGAGTACTCGATAATTTTCAATCTTGTAATTGGGCAGACCCTGAAAGAGAAAGAAATAATAATTCAAAGTGAACTCCAGTAATTAATTAGCTAGTCTAGTAATGCACACATATAGGAGTACATGCACGCGTGCGCACACACAATGTGTGTGTGATTGGTACGCATGGATCCAGTAATTATGTATCTCAGTCTCTCTCGCACCTCCACATTCTTGACGAAGCCTGTTCCCAGGGGTGCGGCATCATACGCTTCCTTTGTCGTGACACCAATGTTCTTCAGTATTCTGAAAGCATTTTCCTCCATCATGACCAGCCTCTTCTGGTTCAAATTCGGGGCATCATCCAATTGGTCCCTGAGGATGTCGATCAAATGTTGGATCGACAGGGTGGGAAAACCCCCAATTCCCCTCTTTGCCAGCTTGATGCGAGCCCGCGACTCGAATGATTCCACCGCCGCGTGAGCACCGTAGAAGTCTGCTTAATCCAATTTCAACGTTGGTTTTCTACAGAAAACTTAGGTCCCCCAACAACTCCCCCCACCCCCCCCCCCAAAAAAAAAAAAAAAAAAAAAAACTACCCCATCCAATAGGCCCTATTTTTGGGGTTGGGCTTCAACAGAGGCAACAAAGAACAAATAGAGATCAGGAGACACACCACACGTATCGATTCAAGCAAGCAAGAAATAATTTGGGGTACCTTCAGGAACATCCGATTAAAAAAAAAGGAAATACTTTGGGGGAGAGATTGGGAGAGTAGTAGTACGTGCTGTCCACGGGCTGTCCCGTAACCGGCGGAAGGAACGGGACGCCATGCGCGTCGTTGCCGTCCCACGCGAAATGGCAGTCCAGCCTGGGACCTCTCGCCGGCGTCATGGTGCGGTGGCGGTGCGGTGCGGTGGTGGAAGAGGCGGACGGAGGAGAAGCAGATGAAACACAGCACAATGCAAATGCCCTGACTGAGAATGAACAGTCGTAGCTGGTTTCTTTCTTTCCATCGAGCGGGTCATCTGTGTCTTTTGCTTCTTCTTTTTTGCTCTGCACTGCACTGCCAGTGCCAGTAGCTGCTGCTCGAATCCCAAGCAGATACTACCCCCCAAAGTGGCAGTATGTACAACTTTTGAACCATGCATTTTCGAAATAAACGTGTGGGTGGTACACTGCACGGCTGCACCCGAGTGCAAGCTCGGCGCCGTGGAAGGCTCACCATGGGCAATCTTCTTGTTCACGGGCCCCACAACGTCTCCCCAAAGTCCCAAGTCCCCCGACTAGCCTTGGGTATCTTTCTCTTTTGCTTTTTCTTTTCTTTCTTTTGTTGGTGGGGGGTTGTTGGTTTTGATACACAAGGAATTCGACCGTACGTGCAATTGTTCTAGTGATCTTTAATTACTCCCTACCGATAAAGTGATTTGGTTCGCTTGGAAACCCTATGAAAATGTTACTTCCTCCATTTCATAATGTAAATTGTTCTAACATTTCTCATATTCATATTGATCTTAATGAATCTAAATAGATATATATGTCTAGATTCATTAACATCAATATGAATGTGAGAGATGCTAGAATGACTTACATTGTGAAACGGAGAGAGTACTAGTAGCAAGTTTTATCACCACCAAATAAATTTGGTAGAATACATTTGTTATTACCTATGCACAAATTTGTCTCTACCCAAATAACTACTACTATTTGAAACTACCAAATCTTTGCTAGGGCACAAAATGACACCCGGCCGTTCACTCAATCTGATCCTCGCAACAAAGATTGTTGCATTGTAATCATGTAGTACATTCCATATGACTGAATGAAACCATCCTTGTCAAGTTAATTAATTGTGTTTAATCTAGTATACAAACTAAATTAATACTCATATGCATGCATGCAGCCATGCACAAGGACAATGAAGCTAATATCGGCGCCTGCATGCATGGTGAGCACATATAATTTAAAAACCTCTATAGGAAAAATCGTTCCTTTTCTTCAGTTTCTTTCCCTGAAATTTCAGCATTTATATATTAAAAAGCATACGATAGGCAGAGTGGTTGCTATGCGTTGCATGTGATTCGTACGTAGCTAGCAACAGTCCCTGGCTCTCATGCATGTTCTCATGCAGCTAGCTACTTCCATAGTCGGAGACCACGGCAAAGGTTCGTCGTCGTTCAACATATATCTCGTACTTCGTACTTCCTCCGTTTCGAAATATTTGATACTGTTGCCTTTTTAGCACATATTTGATCATTCGTCTTATTCAAAAATTTAAGTAATTATTAATTCTTTTCCTATCATTTGATTCGTTGTTAAATATATTTTTATGTAGGCATATAATTTTACATATTTCATAAAAGTTTTTGAATAAGACGAACGGTCAAACATGTGCTAAAAAGTCAACGGTATCAAACATTTCGAAACGGAGGGAGTATATTGTTTTATCGTGTGGCCGTGCTGAATTCCATTCCCAAGCTGTCGTCGTCCATCGGCGCGGTACAGGCGGACAGCAGCGCACATCCAGGTCCAACTCCGGCAGGAGCTAGCGCAACTGCTCTTCGTTCTCGCTCCCGCGGCCTCTTACTGCGGCCGCGCACTCGGTGGCGCCTCCGGCCGGGTGATCGACGCCGTCGTCCGCCTTCGATCCTCTTGGAGAGCCGCGGCACGACGAATAATACGCCGCCTTTGCCGTGCGCGCCTCCACGCAGACCGCGCGCGGCGAGCGATATATATATATATATATATATATATATATATATATATATATATAACACACACACACACACACCTTGCAAAGCACGTACCTGCATGCTTCTCCGCGCGCTCCGTCGGTGGCGTCGTCGAGGCCGTACTCGATCGGTCATGCACCACCCAAGCCTCGTGCATGAGAACGTGCGTGCCGACCCCGACGGCGACGCCGCGATCGACGGCTCGTACGTAGACACCGTAGGGGAGAACTTCTGGAGGTACCCGACGCTCGAGGCGGCCATCGGCGCCGCTCACGTACGTACGGCCTTCTTGCCACACTCCGACTTCCACACGCTCTCGCCGCCGGCGCCGCCGATCGCGCGCTGGCCCACCCTCCCGGAGCAGAAAGAAGTAGCAGACGCTGCTGGTCCCTTTTGGGTTAATTCCCGGCGCCAGTCTGTGCTCGCTGACGAGTTCCGCCGCCGGATCGCGGGGAGTAGACGTCGGCGTGCGTGGTTGATGAGAGACGTACGATCCTCGAACTCGAACTACGGGACCCTTGCATTGACACCTCCTGACCTAGCTTGTTCCCAAGTTCATCTTTGCTGAAGTGAAAACGGGTCCAGATGGAATGTGTGATCATGTGTCTCTTTGTGTGTTAAGATTGAACCAGGTATGTTAAGTTACAGGCCATCAGATTAATTGTTGTTGTTGTTGGTTTACGTTCAGCCTAGGTGCAGCTGAAAAGATTCTCCTCCTGTTGGTTTGGGAAAATGATTTCATCCCTCGAGAAGAAGATAATCCTGTATGTCATATAAATAGTCATAAATTTTTTAAAAAAATGGTAAGATAGATTAATATAAATTATATCAATCCACAAACACGCAAGTTAAAATTTTACTTTGTCTACAAGTTGTAACAAAAATAACAAATATAGATGCGAATGTACGATAACTATTTTCAGTTTAATTTATTCTTTTTGTTATAACTTGTAGAAGTCGTTTGTGCAGTGATATATTTTCATATACTAATCTATGTTGTCTTTTTTTAAAAAAATTGATAACTATTTAGATGGTTGAAAATCTATGTCCCTGTTGGTTTCTCTTTTCGCTATTGAACGGGGCTGCAAGTTTGGTTCATTGTAATGGTAGGTTCTGTTTAATTAGTCGCCTTTGTTGACAGAGCCACACAAATAATTTGATAAGTGTGCACGCAACACTTGTGAGGTTTTACATATGCTAAAAAAATGTGAAGCAGCTAAGGCTTGTTAGTGAAAAACACATCTTCACATCTGCGTTTTGGGTAAAAGAACAAAATAATCTATTAACTTACGGATTTGCTAAATTTGTTGCGCCATATTTTTGTTGCTAATCACATTAAGATTTTAGACCATTGATGCTCCGTTGAGATTCGTGTAGTAGTAGTACGTGCGTAGGCTGTAGCGGTATACAGGAACCACCTATTTAATACTAGTAGAAAGATATAGGAATTCACATAAACAAATTTGAGTATCAGTAATTAGTATAATGCTAGTTACTCCCTCCGTCCCATTTTAAGTACAGACATAATTTTTCATGCACAATTTTGATCGTTCGTTTTATTTAATTTTTTTTAAAAAAAATTAAAAACTTAAGTCACGTACAAAATACTATTCATATTTTATCATCTCATAATAATAAAAATACCAATTATAAAAAAATTCAAATAAAACGAATGAGCAAAGTTGAGCGCGAAAACATATGGTTGCACTTAAAATGGGACAGAGGAAGTATATACCATAATTACTTCATATTTACACTGTAATTACATACTAATTAGAGTGTGTGTGTGTGTGTATATATATATGTGTGTGTGTGTGTGTGTAATTTTAGTGAGTTTAGGGACTTTTAATGTAAATACATGCTGCCGATTTTTTGGTGAAAAATTGACGCCATAAAATATAGCTACTCCCTTAACTTATTAATGTAATAGAAAAGAAGCCTCCACGATTGCTCTGACAGCTTAGAAATTCCAACATTACTTGGAGAAAAATAAAAAGAAGTGTCCATATTAGAATATAATTTAAAATAGTTTAAATTCGGAATTAGAAAATAAGAAATATTGAAAGAGGAGACTAGAGTCGATATAGGAATATAATTTAGAGCTAATAAAAATTCGGAATAAAAAATAAGAAAACTAAAAGAAGAGGTTAGAGACCATATAGAAATAGAACCTATAAATAACTAAGGAATATTGGAAAAAATAATATAGAGTCCATATATGAATACAATCTAGAAATGACTGAAATTCAAAATTAGAAATAAGGAACATTGAAAGATAAGTTTAGAGTGCATATAGAAATACATATATAATTTAGATCTAATTGAAATTTGGAATTAAAAAAAATAAAAAATAAAAGTAGAATATAGAGTCCATACAAAATTACCACTTAGAAAAAAAAAACTAAAATTCGAAATTTAAAAATAAAAAGTATTAGAAAAAGAATAGAGAGTCCATATAGAAATACAACTTAGAAGAAGTTAAAATTCAAAATTGAAAATATAAGAAATATTAGAAAAAGAAATTCATATATGAATATATGAATACAATACAATTTGGAATATAACTGAAATTTGGAATTTAAAAAAGAAATATTGAAAGATGAGTTTAGACTACATATAATAAAAAACAATTTATAAATGAGAGAAATTTGGAACTACAAAATAAGGAATATTGGAATAGGAGTCTAAAGTTTATATAGAAATACAATTTATAAATAACCGAAATTCGAGATTTTAAAATAAGGAATATTAAAAGAAGGGTTTAGAGTCCGTATTGGAATAAAGTTTGTAATAACATGACTACTGAATTAAAAAAATAAGAAATATTAGAATATAAGTTTAGAGTCTATATATGAATACAATTTAGAATTAACTACAATTATAATTTTAAAATAATTAATAAATATCATGCATATCTTACTACTAATATCATGTAATAACGAAAAAAGGATGAAAAAACAAAAAAAGGAAAGTCCGATTCAATTTGACGCGGAGAAAAAACATAAAAAAACGTAAGGCTTTCGTTCGTCCGTCGCCCATAATACGCACCCCCTCTCAAAATCCCAAACTATCATAATCCAAACAAAAATAAAATCTCAATCCAAATCGGAATCATCACAAAATCATCCAAAATAGATCATAGGACAGGAGATAATCTAAACGGACCATAAAACAGATCACATAGGAAAGGGAGGGGCGAGCGGGAGGACGTTGCCGCTCCTCGCCGGACCTCCACGCTGCGTCGCTGCCGGGAGCTGTTGACCGGCTACTGCGCCGGGGATCCGCCGCGCCGCCATGGAGCTGCTAACCAGCCGCATCGTCGTTGCGCTGGGAGGGATCCGCCGACTCACTGACGTACCGCCGTTGTTGCGTTGGGGATCCGCCACGCCGCCGACCAGTCGCACCGTTGTTGCGCCGGAGGGATCCGCCGACCCACAGCCATATCGCCGTTGCGTCGGGGATCCGCCAACCTGCCGCTGCGCCGGGGAGAAGCCGAGAGAGAGACGGAGGAGCCATATTCCGAGCCACCGCGCCGCCGGGGAGCCGCCGACCCACCGGATCTGGCGAGGAGCGGGCGATGGCGGCACCCCGACGTGGATGAAAGGGATTGCCGATGCGGGGAGTGAGAGCGCCGGTGGGGGGGGGGAGGGGTGAGCGGCGTTGTTGGTGGGGAGATCCTGAGAGGTAGCGGTGCCATCGGTGGGGAAAGGGGAGGGAAGGGGAGGGGGAAAGGTGAAACTAGGGTTTGGGTTTGTTGCACCAGTGATTTTGATATATTTGGAACTGATTTGAGCCGTCCATCAAAACGAATGGCTCAAATCGATCCCGCATTGGGCTGCTGTGCTGCTGGGCCATCATGGGCCGCATGGGCGCGATCCGCATAGAAGCAGGACGGAAGCTTTTGGGCCGGGCTGAAATCAGTTTATTTCTCTACTAAGTATTTTTTATTTTTATGAAATAGCATTAGTATATTTTCTTAAAGGCTCATATCATGAAAAACTAAACACTAATCAGCTAATAGTTTACCCGTTGCAACGCACGTGTATTTTTTTAGTACACTACAATATGAATATTACATATTAGTCAGTCTAGTCAAGTTAGTACATAATTAAAAATTATATTAATATTTTAATACTACCTCTATCTCATAATATAAGACACGGTCAAACTTGGCATGGTCTTCAAAACTAATCTCTGACTTATAATTTCTCATATACTATAAGGTTTATTGTAACAAAATTATAACCACCTTAAAGTAAATTTAAATATCAATCCGATGATATTAATTTTAGCAAATAAAATTTAATTTATATTATAATAATTGTTGGTCTAATGTTTTAAAAGTTGAATATTGGAATATGTGCACGACTTGTATTATGGAAATATTATGGGATAGAGTGAGTATATTTTAATAATAAAATATAAAAATATATACTATTATATAAAAAAATATAACGATACTAGCCGCTCAATCAATCTGTACATGCTACCATGCTAGTTTCACCTACTCCCTCCGTCCCAAAAAAAGGCAAACCCTGGGTTTTCGTGTCCAACTTTGACTGTCCATCTTATATGAAATTTTTTTATAATTCATATTTTCATTGTTGTTAGATGATAAAACATGATTAATATTTTATGCGTGACTTGTCTTTTTAATTTTTTTTATAATTTTTTCAAATAAGACGAATGGTCAAACGTTGGACACGGAAACTAGGGTTTGTCTTTTTTTTTTTTTTTTTTGAACGGAGGGAGTATTGTTTTATCTCTAGTCGTACATATGGCCAAACAAACGGCAAAACATGCGAGTATGCCATCTTCACACCATCACAGCCGTCCATACCAGCATCCAACGGCCACGATCCTCCCTAATCCTCTCCTCCTGTACTCCTGTACCATCCATCCCCTCCCCCGCTTGCCCAGCTTGCCGCAAAACCCCATTCCCCACGCCACGCGACTGTTATATATACTCTTCTCCGCCGGCATAGCATCCAAGCCGAAGGGAAGGGAAGGGAAGAGGCAAGGCACAACCATCCACAGGGTGGCGGCGCCGCGCGGAGCGAATCCCTAGCCGCCACCTTCCGATCGCCCGCATCCGGATCGGTCTCCGTTCTTCGATCCGTACTCTGCTCCGATCGCCATTTCCTGGTTCTTCCTGGGGGTTTTGTTTTTTTTTTTGAGTTTTCTTTTGGATGTTTGATTCGATTCGGTGGTGGCGATCGATGCAGGTGGTCCGTCGCGCTATATGCTTCCGACGAAGAGAGCGAACGGCGCTGAGGCTGAGAGCAGCAGCGACGCGCCGGCGAAGAAGGCGCGGGTAGGGGCATCGGCGTCGGAGGCGGAGGCGATGGTGGCTGGGGAGGCGGGCGGCGGTGGGGGTGGGGTGAGCGGCAATGGGAGCGAGGTGGCGGAGATCGACGAGGACCTGCACAGCAGGCAGCTCGCCGTGTACGGGAGGGAGACGATGCGGCGGCTCTTCGCGTCCAACGTCCTCGTCTCCGGACTGAACGGGCTTGGGGCTGAGATTGGTATGTGTCTCCCTCGATTTCTGATCTGGATATTTAATTGATACTCGCTTAGTAGTACTTTGTTGGTGTGATGTTGCTTACAGTTAGTTTTGCTGAAGTTTAATCTGTTTGATGTTTTTATTGTCATGTGGATTATTTTGGTGCATCACAACATATTTAGCAATGCAATGCGCAGGCATGTTAGATTTGTTGCACTGATGAATAAAATTTGGATGTTGTTTCTCATCGGTAGACAGTACAGAGAAGCAAACTAAGTGATGGCCTTAGATTGCGCATTTGAATTGAGTTTCAGGTGGAACTTACAGGAATGTGGATGCTGTTGTTGTTACTTTCTATTTGCGGATTTGGGGACATTTTGTTGCTTAAACCTTTAAGGGCCCGACTGTTTTTATTCCGTAAATCTTGTTTGGTGTTCTTTATGGGTGTAGGATGTATGTACATTGATAGCTCTATATGTTCACGATTAAAAAGGCAGGAACACCACTACTGACATCTGGTTGCTTTGCTGCTATGAAAACTCTGACCAATGCCAGGCTGCTGGTTTCTTTGGTGATACTACCTGATGTTAGTACTTAGTACTTTGAGTTCGAATTACGATTTTTTTAGACTTGTCCATTGGCTAGGTTTGGGTGTTAAAATGGACAGATGGCTAGTCCTAAGCCGGATATGTACCATTCAGCTTTGGCAGCGAGACAGGAAATAATTTGATCCAGCTGCCTTGGATATATTTGTTTTGATGCTGGCATTTGGCTACCCTTGCTCCCCCAGTTAAATAGTATCTGTTAGTTTTATTGGGATTGCTTTTTTGTTCAAAACATTTGTCCTCTCATGAAATTGAAATCGAGGTCTATTCCATTTTCCCGTTCCTGCCACTATTATAAAGTTTGAGACATGTATTGATGTACCAGATTGATGAATTATAATTTTTCCTTGGGAAGTAACATGGCCATTAATGTGTGGCTATATTCTTCGTATGTACGTGCACACATGCTAATGCTTGCGTGGCTTGTTGTTATTGGTATGGTATTATCATAACTTTATTATGACATGTGTCTATGTGGTTTGTGTGATCTTTGAAACTAACAATCTTTTCCCATACAGCGAAGAATCTTGCTTTAGCGGGTGTTAAGTCTATCACCCTACATGATATGGGAAATGTGGAAATGTGGGACTTATCAGGCAATTTCTTCCTATCTGAAGATGATATTGGAAAGAATAGGGCTGTTGCTTGCACTGCAAAGCTGCAAGAACTCAACAATGCTGTTCTTATATCTACTCTGACAGAAGATCTGACCAATGAACACCTCTCAAAGTTTCAGGTCTGTTAACTTTTCACTATGATAAAATCTGGTACTTCCATAAACTCCACAGGTTGCAAATCTACCTTTATTTTTCTGTGAATTCTGCTTGAAGTGACATGGAAAGTTATTATTTAGTTTTGTATGGTGAAGTTAATCTCGGTTTTACATGGTAAAAGGTTACTGAACTCACACTGGTCTTTTGGATGATCCTCTATTTTTCTGGACCCTGGTCTACTTTTCTAGGCCTACTGTAGTATTTTTGATTCAATTGTACACCCTCCGCCCCGTAAAAACCAAACCTAGTAAGGGATGTGACACATCCTAGTACTACGAATCTAGATAGAGTACTACGAATCTAGATAGAGGCGTATCCAGATTCGTGGTATTAGTATGTGTCACATCACGTACTAGGTTTGTTTTTTATGGGATGGAGGGAGTATGTGACATGGATGATGTGACAATCTATATAACTAGCACTATCTATTCAAGTGACCTGAATGTGAGCTATTAATAAACCTTTTATGACTGAAGCAAATATTTTGCTAACGCTACACTGCCTACACAGTTGGCTGTCACCACATAACTTTGTTGTTCGTAGTATTGCTATTAATCTTTGGTTTGCACTGTGTAATTTTGATTAAACATCCCTGTGTTTACCAGCTATTATACAAGATATGTTTATGTACTAAACATGCTTCTGGTTTTGATTTACAGGCTGTTGTTTTCACTGACATAAGTCTAGACAAGGCGTTTGAATTTGATGATTATTGTCGTAACCACCAGCCTTCAATTTCTTTTATCAAAGCAGAAGTTTGTGGTCTTTTTGGTAGTGTATTTTGTGACTTTGGGCCTAAGTTTACCGTTCTGGATGTTGATGGTGAAGAACCACATACTGGTATAATTGCATCCATCAGCAATGACAATCCTGCAATGATATCCTGCGTTGATGATGAGCGCCTTGAATTCCAAGATGGTGATCTTGTTGTCTTCTCAGAGGTCCAAGGGATGACAGAACTAAATGATGGCAAGCCAAGGAAGATAATAAATGCAAGGCCATATTCATTTTGCATCCAGGAGGATACAAGTAAATTTGGTATTTATGCAAAAGGTGGAATTGTTACTCAGGTGAAAGAGCCGATCAACTTAGAGTTCAAGAGTCTCAGAGATTCTATAAGAGAACCAGGGAATTTCCTTTTGAGCGATTTCTCAAAGTTTGACCGTCCTCCTCTTCTGCACTTCGCATTTCTAGCTTTGGATAAGTTCAGGAAAGAATTTGGGCGCTTTCCTGGTGCTGGCTGTGACCAAGATGCTCAAAGGTTTATTGAGTTTGTTGCTTCTGTCAATGAAGCTACAATTGATTACAAGATGGATGAGCTTGATGGGAAGTTGTTACGAAATTTTGCAAGTGGTTCTAGAGCTGTTCTAAACCCAATGGCTGCGATGTTTGGTGGCATTGTCGGCCAAGAAGTTGTTAAGGCATGCTCTGGGAAATTTCATCCTCAATACCAGGTGCATTTTATGAACTGTAAACTCTTTTATGGCTGAAGTAAATATGTTGTTTTTGTCTGATATAACTCTTGTCTTTGCAGTTCTTTTATTTTGATTCAGCGGAATCTCTACCAACCTATCCATTGGACTCAAAAGACTTGAAACCATTGAATAGCCGCTATGATGCTCAGATATCTGTTTTTGGTTCTAAGCTTCAGAAAAAGATGAGAGATGCCAATGTTTTTGTTGTGGGATCTGGTGCTCTTGGGTGTGAATTCTTGAAGAATCTTGCTTTAATGGGAGTATCTTGTGGCCTTAAAGGAAAGCTAACTATAACAGATGATGATATCATTGAGAAAAGCAACTTGAGCCGCCAATTTCTGTTTCGTGATTGGAATATTGGGCAGGCTAAATCTACTGTAGCAGCTGCAGCGGCTAGTGCTATCAACTCCAGCCTGCATATTAATGCTCTTCAGAATCGTGCCTGTCCAGAGACTGAGCATGTGTTCCATGACAAATTCTGGGAGGGCCTTGATGTCATCATCAATGCACTTGATAATGTTAATGCTAGGATGTACATGGATATGAGATGCTTGTACTTCCAGAAACCACTTTTGGAATCTGGAACATTGGGTCCAAAATGCAATACACAAATGGTAATTCCTCACCTTACTGAAAACTATGGAGCATCCCGAGACCCTCCTGAGAAACAGGCACCAATGTGCACAGTCCACTCTTTCCCACACAATATTGACCACTGTCTGACATGGGCTCGTTCAGAGTTTGAGGGTTTGCTAGAGAAAACTCCAAATGAAGTGAACTCTTTTATTTCCAATCCAGCTCAATATGCTGCTGCTATGAGAAAGGCAGGTGATGCTCAAGCAAGGGAATTGCTCGAGCGTGTTTGTGAATGCCTTGACAAGGAGCGATGTGATGGATTTGAAGATTGCATTGCCTGGGCTAGACTGAAGTATGATCTATTGTCTCTATACACTCATCTTTTAGTGGATCCAATAATTAATTTTTTTATTGTTTCACTTTCCATTTTAGCTACATGAGTATGATTTTGGCTTAAATATATAATCCAACAAACTCCCTTCAAATGCAATGCAATAACATATCCTTTGTTTTGACCAGATTTGAAGACTACTTCGCTAATCGTGTGAAGCAGCTAACATTCACATTTCCTGAAGATGCGGTCACTAGCACGGGTGCTTTTTTCTGGTCTGCCCCCAAACGGTTTCCTCGCCCACTGCAATTCTCTACTGTGAATTCATCTCACATTCACTTCATACTGGCTGCTTCCATATTGAGAGCAGTGTCATTCGGGATCTCCATACCCGACTGGGCAAAGAACACAAGTAATCTGGTCGATGCTGTTAGTAAGGTTGTAGTGCCTGAATTTGAACCGAAGAGTGGGGTTAAGATTGAGACAGATGAGAAAGCTTCTAACATCTCTAGTGCTTCTGTTGATGATGCTTCTGTTATTGAAGATCTTTTAACCAAGCTGGAAGCATCTGCAAAAAAATTACCTCCTGGATTCCAGATGAAGGCTATTCAGTTTGAGAAGGTTAGTTACTTAGTTTTTTTGGTAGCTTCTTTGTGAGCTGTTAAGACATTTGTTAAGACATTCTTTGGTACAAAGTTCATTATTTGAAAGTGTTTCCACGCTGGGAAACAACTGATTTTCTGTGGATATCAACTGATGAAAAAATTCACACCTGATAAGCAAAATATCAACAAGACATTGCCATGTGCTTTGTACTGAATCATACAGCTTAGTTGCCATATCAGTTTCCTTCTTCCCTTGTTAATAGTAATCCATTCTTGACTTCTGCCCTTCCCCGTAGAAAAAGAGATCCAGTCAGCATTTTTGGAGAGAATGAGAGTCATTTATCCCTTACACATTAGCTTTTAGTCTGTTTGATTTACTGGCATCTAATAAATATATGTGGTTTTCCTACCTAAAAGGGCTGTTGTTGGGTGTGATATGCGCTTTATTAACTTACCTCATTATTTTTGGTGTGAAGCATGAATTAGACATTTCATGTTTTTTTAACCAGGGGCATTTCTCGGTTCACAAGCCATGAAATTTGCATATTTTATAGGCATTTCTGTCAAAACTTTCTAGGTTTGTGTAATAAAGAAAACACTCCATGAACAGAAGTGATTGGTTTTGCTTATACATCATACATTGTTTTACAGGATGATGACACAAACTTCCACATGGATTTAATTGCTGGGCTTGCAAATATGCGTGCAAGGAACTATGGTATTCAAGAGGTCGACAAGCTGAAGGCGAAGTTCATTGCAGGAAGAATCATTCCGGCGATCGCAACTTCGACAGCCATGGCAACAGGACTTGTGTGCCTTGAGCTTTACAAGGTTCTGGCTGGTGGGCACCCCGTCGAAGACTACCGCAATTCGTTTGCTAACTTGGCAATACCAATGTTCTCCATGGCTGAACCTCTTCCACCCAAGGTGATCAAGCATCAAGACATGAGATGGACCATATGGGATCGGTGGTCTATCGAGGGCAACATCACTGTCGCAGAACTCCTCAAGTGGCTGAGTGACAAGGGCCTGAGCGCGTACAGTGTCTCCTGCGGCACTTCATTGCTTTACAACACCATGTTTCCGAGACACAAGGATCGAGTGAACAAGAAGCTCGTGGATGTCGCCAAGGAGGTGGCGAAGGTGGACGTTCCGGCATACAGGAGGCACCTGGATGTCGTCGTTGCCTGTGAAGATGATGATGGGAATGACGTCGACATCCCTCTCATCTCCATTTACTTCCGGTAGGTAGGATCATTCCTGTAAAAAAAAAGAGGTGAAAATAGATTGAGCATTCGTAAGTCTCTTCGTCAGTTCGCTCTTTCTATGCATTATTTAGTAGCCAGTGATCGCCGCAGTGTGTTGGTTGCTCGTGGCGATTCTCCTTGCCGTTTTATGTGGGTGTTCTCCCTTTGCTGTTGCATGCCGACTATTTGCAGGTGTGCAATGCGGCCCCATCTCATGGATGTTTTGTTGACTGAATGCATAATATCTGCAATTGGATTGAGGTGTTTCCCACTTTTTGAGTCCCACCCAAGCTTTGGCCCTACTACCACCTGCAGTGTTAGTGTTTTCAGTGTGGTCTACTCTGCCGCACGCTGGAAGCAGTCATCAGTTGACCATCAGTAAATGCTGTTCTTGATTGGTTGGCATTAAACAATGGTAAGTTTACCTGTGTTTACTAGTATGCTCCCTTCGATTAATTTTAATCAGTTCGGAGGCGTAGTTGCACAGGTGTACAAAGAAAAAGTCCGAACGCTAACACAGTGCACACGATCTGATTGCGTCCGGCGCATGCGTCGCGGTAGCAGAAGAGTGCGCGCTTGGTGCAACCAACGCTTTCCTTGTTGTTCACTCGACCACCCGTAGAGTGCAAAACATCATCATCATAGTGCTCCGCTCACATGCATGGGGACAAATGGACAATGCAGTGGGCAGTGGCCCGTGATCTTCCACTCTAAAAAGACACCAAAGCAATTGTTTTCTGCGGCATCGTCGTGATGTACTAGTACAAATGGCGAGTTGCAATCTACTACTGCTTGCTAGTACTAGTAGGTTTGCTTCCCAACTGTGTATAGCCGCACCGTACAGGTATGCATGGATTTCCCGTTCAACAGTCCACGACTCCACGAGCGAGTGCCTTCAACACCCCAACCAACATGCACCTCACGAAGTCACCACTCACCACTGCATTGGAGACTTGGAGTACTAGCGTCAAGAACACCATGGGTGTCCAATTATATCTTACTAATCTTATAGAAGTAGAATGTACCTATTTACTTTTAAGGATGAGTGTACGCCATGTTATAAGCGTTTGTGTTTGAACCCTATGTCTTAAAAATAAAGAGGAGAAAAAATATACTCTCTCTCCATTTCACGGAGGGGTACCTCCTAGGTCCCCTCGATCTCGATCTGACGATCCCAAACACGACGACCAACAGGGAAGGAGCTTAGCTGCTTAGGAGCGTGAAACGAACGAGCATACAACGTGTAATTTGGTAGTAAACGCCCTTTTACTACCTCTCGTGCAATCTGGCCCTCTCTAATGGTGCTCAGTACTAATTCCACCGTGATCAGCTAGTAATTGTGTATCCTACGGTTTATGCACTCACACCATTTTAACAAGTATAGACTCGGTTCGTTCCGACGATACACAAGTATATTATATATTATAAAATAAGAGTGAAATAATTAACTCAGATCAGTAGACTTTGTAACGGTCGACGACGTGATCCCTCAAATTAATAAATTACGAGCTCATTAGTTTACTGTGATGATCTCCTATCCAAATGTCTGCCATTGGCTGCAAATGAATGCCATATGTACGTGGTGTCATGTGAGGTCTCTAAACTAAGTTGTGCATATTGATTCTACTCAAAGTACCACTGGGAGGCAGTACAAGTAGTAGTGTGGTTAGTGGTTACTGATCGCGGTCCAGCAGCTGAGGCGTCATCATCGTTTGTGTTCGGGAGTTTAATGGCGATAGCGGCGTCTCGTTTCTTCTTTCACGTGATGTCTACTCCAACCACACATCAATTGTACGGCATCAGGACCAGGATTCGGCATACCGGTTTGGCCAGAACCGGTTACCGGCTGACATTTTCGGTTCTCTTTTAGTTAGAAAACCAGTCAGACAAAATTCTAAATTTAGATTAAAATTTTCTTATTATATACTACCTCCGTCCCAAAATATAACTATTTCTAGCACAATACATTGTCCCAAAAATAAAGCTATTTCTACATATACTTCTTCCTCTCTACCAATCACAATCATTCTCTTTCATCTACTTTATCTTCTCAACCAATCATATACTTCTTCCATTTATTCTCACCTACTCCCTCTGTTCTTTAATATAAGGGATTTTAACTTTTTCTGCACTGTTTCACCATTGGTCTTATTAAAAAAATTTGAAATTATTATTTATTTTTTTGACTTACTTTATTATCCAAAGTAATTTAAGCACAACTTTTCGTTTTTTATATTTGCAAAAAAAAAATTAAATAAGATGAGTGGTCAAACAGTACAAGCAAAATGTCAAAATCCTACTATGAGACGAAGGGAGTACTTTTTTAAAACATGTACCAATAAAAAAATACTAACACTTTGATACGGAGGTAGTAATCATTTGTATGCTTCTAGTCGATAAAACAACCTAGCACTCTTAATGGGAGCGTTCATGATAATTAATGCTCTTGCTACATATTACTTCCGTCCTATAATATAAGGGATTTTGAGTTTTTTCTTGCAACGTTTGACCACTCGTCTTATTTAATTTTTTTTGAAATTATTATTTATTTTATTTGTGACTTACTTTATTATCCATAGTAATTTAAGCACAACTTTTTGTTTTTTTATATTTATAAAAAAAATTTGAATAAAACGAGTAGTCAAACGTTGCAAGCAAAAACTCAAAATCCCTTATATCGTGGGACGGAGGGAGTAGAATTTTAGATAGGTGTCAAGAAATTAAAGTTAAACATAGATATTTTGAAAAATGTAAAAACAGATTTAAAAAAGAGAGTATGATGGTGTTTTACATGAGATATAACTCAAACAGACAACTAACAAGTTTGGCATTAGATTAGGGGAGAATGTCTTTTAACAAAATTTATAAGAAAATACTATGGTCATTGTGTGAACTAAGACTATTTATTTTTGGTCCATTCATAAATACTATGCATTGAGAAAAATATTTATATACTCCTTTCTATGCGATATAAATAAAGATAGACATTGCTATCGACATTACCCATTAGAAATGCTCTAAATTGGTCCCCTGCCGACCTAATTACGTAGCGTCGTTACCAGACCTCTGGGTTAAATGTCACTAATTAATAAACCTGTGATTTTCTGCGACTATGAATCCATGATGATAGAACATGTATAATCTATGAATTTTTCTCTAAATGTAACTTCTTTTTTTTTTCAAATTCAATTTACAATTATTTTTTTAAAAAAGAGAAAATATCCCTCCGTCCCATAATATAAGGGATTTTGATATTTTGGTGGCACTATTTGACTACTCGTTTTATTAAAAAATTTGTACCAATATAAAAAAAATGAAAAGTTATGCTTAAATTACTTTGAATAATAAAGTAAGTTAAAAAATAATTTTAATTTTTTTTAGTAAGACGAATAGTCAAACAATGTAAGTAAAATGTTAAAATCCCTTGTATTAGGGGATGGATGGAGTACAACATAAATATGGTTTGGTCCGGAATGATTACTCAATTAAATCAATTTGATGTCCATAATTAGACCAACAAACCAAACATGTTTAAAAAAATAAATAAAATAAAACCAAAGCTTCCTCCTGCTAGTTGTGGAGTCGCCTTCGTGCAGCCTCCTTTTCCCTCTCCTCCCCACCATCTTCCGCTGCCACTTTCGCCGTCGTCGTCGGCGCCAGCCACCGCCCTTCTCCCCAACCAACCACGCGCTTCCCCTCTCCGCTTCCACCTCCTCTCGGGTTCCCTCCCGTCGATGCCACCGCGCCATTCCTCTTCTTCTCCTCACTCGCCCTGCGGCTGAAGCAATGGAGCTCCCGTGCCCGAGGCTGCTGCTGCTTCTTCGTCTTCTTGTGTTCTTGGTTGCGGTTTCTTGGCCGCTCTGCGGCGCAGGTTTGGTTTTCTTTTTTTCTCAAGATTTGGATTCTTCAGGGTTTCTGGGTGTGCATTTGGGGATATGGTGGTTTACCTTCTTGGTTTGCTTCAGGGACTGAAGGCCTCGGAGTTGGAGAGGAGGGGTTGAGCAGCATTGGTGCTTCTTCTGGTTCTAGGTGGGTGCTCTGGTTCTGAGAATTTACTTCTTTGTTAGTTTTTAATCAGTAATTTGTAATTGTCGAGACCTGAATTGGAGAATAGATGGTTTTAGTGTTACCTTGTTGCCTTTCATGTCTGACAGGATAGCACAGATAATCAGTTTGGTATTCACCATGATGAATTCATGTGTGCATTTCTGAGTTGAATTGATTGGTTTTTTATGCATAGGGAGCAATTAATAGTGTTCTACTTGTACTACTTCGTCTGAAGTATGCGTCATGAACAAATCTAATAAGTCATGCCATGCTTCTTCTTTGCATGATTATCCCGAAAGTTTGTTGGCTAGCATACATCACCTGTTACTTTTTACTGTGTTCATTCGAGAAATACATGGAGAGTAGGTACCTAGGTTGGAGGATGCCGTTGCATACATCTCACTGATTTTTCAACTTGAATTATTATACAAGTATTGGAAAGAGAAACAGTAGTACACTATTTTTTTCAAAAGAACAGTAGTAGATTGAATAATCTAATCCAAAAATGATTTCACAAATTACACAAACTAATCAAGGAAAATGGGCCTTTTAACTGCCAGCTGCGGGAAAAAAAAAGGCACTTAGCTTGCTAATATAGCAGATATTTAGCTATATTCTGCCCAAAGTTTGCTGAACAGCTATATTTTGCTTATATAGCATTACTATTCCTTATTTAGGAACGTTAGAAGACTTCTGCAGACTGGTGGAGTAAACCAAGGTGCACCAGCTCCTCTACCACTTGAACAATCTCCATCAGGTAACAACTAATCTCAATATCTCATAGAGGAGATACAGCATCTGAGTTTCCACAGGACTAAATACTTTCTGATACAGCATCAGGACCGGTGTCTTCTCCATCACCCTCGCCATGGGTATCCCCACCGAAAGGCTCACCATCACCATCACCATCTTCAAAAATCATAGCACACAGATCTCCACACCATCCATTCACAACCCCTCCACAATTGGTTAGGCCTAAGCCTACAACTCGGCGAGCTGAGCACGATCATTCAGTTGAAACTACAGGTCGCTCTTGGTTTAAACGTTCCTGGACAACTTATGGTTTTATCGCAGCAGGGATTGCTGCTCTCCTTATCATATCAGCAGCTGGTGCATTCTACTGCCGAGCTAAAAAGATGGGGACTGTGAGGCCATGGGCAACGGGACTTAGCGGGCAATTGCAAAAGGCTTTTGTAACCGGTATGCTTTATTCCTACTTGCATATATAAGTATCTCGGCAGTTTTCCGAATCCATCACACAGCAATTGTATCTATAGGTGTGCCTGCATTGAAACGATCAGAGCTGGAAACAGCGTGCGAGGATTTTAGCAATATAATTGGTTGTACATCTACCTGTACACTGTACAAGGGAACTTTATCTAGTGGAGTTGAAATAGCAGTGGCATCAAGTTTGGTAACGTCTGCAGACGATTGGTCAAAAGAATGTGAATCTCGGTACAGGAGAAAGGTACTGTATTGTTAACTGTACTATCACCTTTTTTTGCAACATACTGTTACCTATTTCTCATATATATTTGTTTTGCTTACTCTGAATTTATGATTTTAGATCACAAGTTTGTCCAAAGTAAGCCACAAGAACTTTATGAACTTGCTTGGCTATTGTGAGGAAGAGCAACCTTTTACCAGAGTGATGGTGTTTGAATATGCTCCAAATGGAACACTTTTTGAGTATCTGCATGGTAAGTGTTCTTGTCAGTTATCATGATTCTCTTCATCATCATGTCCAGAAATTGTCGGTACATTTTTATTTGAACATTGGTCAAGATATCAGCAACCTCATAAAACAAACTGAACATCATAAAAAGGTCCTCCAGTGATAAACTATGCATGACCATGGTGAGCTGATAACAGCTGTTTAAGCTATGACTTGTTAGTTCATATATGTACGAATCAGCTGCATATGCTGCACCTATCACCAATTTGATTCATTTGATTCTGTTACTCTGTGCTGTGGGTCAATGTATTGAAATTTGACTGTGTTGTCACGGTTGTGCTGCAGTTAGAGAAGCCGAGAAGCTGGATTGGATGACGCGGCTCAGGATATCCATGGGAATCGCTTACTGTCTCGAGCATATGCATCAGCTTAAACCACCTGTTGTGCCAAGGAATTTCGACTCGACGACCATATACCTTACCGACGATTTCGCTGCAAAGGTGTCCGACCTTGAATTTTGGAGCGGTGCAAAGGAACCAAATCCAGCCACCAGCAACTCCAGCTCCTCCTCGGACCTCGAGAACACGGTGCGCAAGTATGGCATGGTATTGCTGGAGATGCTGACCGGAAGAGTTCCCGATTCTGAGGAGGACGGGCCACTGGAACGGCTGGCGTCTCGCTACTTCGATGGCGAGACGCGCCTCGCAGAGCTGATTGACCCGAGCATCGGTTCCTTCTCTGAAGAAGCCGCGCGTTCGCTGTGCGAAGTGGTGAGGAGCTGCATTGATCCTGATCCTAAGAGGAGGCCGACCATGGCGGAGGTTGCAGCTCGGATGAGGGAGATCACCGCGCTGGGTCCGGACGGAGCAACTCCGAAGGTGTCGCCGCTGTGGTGGGCTGAGCTGGAGATCATGTCCTCCGAGAGCTAATCACTAGCTGCATCAAGAATGGCATTTTTCTTAAAATTTTTGCGGGGAAAGAATGGCGTTCATGTCTGATGTCTCGTTCTGAAAATTCTTTCGTTTGTCGGTTGCCGCTAATCTTGCTCGTGGAATTTGTGTTCAGGTAGAATCTTAGAAGATGTTCTGAATGTTTGTTTCCTGTGCATAGCTGCAGATATAGTGAGTGCTACTTTACATGTAAAAGAGTGGTTAGTTTTCAGCAGACTGAACTGCAAACATTTTAGCTGACTCTGCAATGGACAAAAGAGTTCTGAGTTTCATCTTTGGCATGTTGTTCTGCACTTGTTTTCTTTCGGTCTAACACAATGATTCATTGAAGAATACTAGCTCCAGCTAAATGTTTTAAGAAACACTGTAGAGAGATTTTAATTCATTCATATTGTGGGACCCTCCACAAACAGAAGTGTCCCACAAAAAACATCATGCTGCATTATCTTTTTTTAAAAAATAATATTCTGCTTTGTGTGGAAAGCACTTGGTATGTGCTAAGTGCTAACCACGCAGCTCTGCGCCCTGGGACGCTGGCAATGCCTTCTATTTTAAAGAGTTCTCGATGAGACGGTCCTCCTCTTATCATCTGCCGGTATGGCACTAAAATGACGCCGCGGGAGTTGATACCAAAATAATAAGCTGCTATCTCTGCACGGCTGCACCAATGGCTGAATGATTAGTGAATAGTGACTACTGATAAAAGCTTTCAAGCTTTGATGAATGTATAGAATCATTGCCATTATCAATGTTCTTAATGAATAATTGGTTTTGTAAATGATTTATTTAATAAAAGCTGGTTAAAAATATATATGTAGATATTGGTGTGAGCGTGTGACACCGGCTTTGGTCTTGTATTCCATCCTACAGATTGATCCCAGTAAACATGGATGCCAGTGCTTTCTGGATCATGCTTCTCAAGAACACAAACAGTTCTTGAGATCACCAGACTGGATGATCTGAGCTGGCCGCACGCCGTAGCCACAACTCATGACAATAACACAATAACAGTACAGAGTTCTGCTGCTGAAAAAAAAGGAGAGGAATATCTTGCCTTGCCTGCATGAATGCATCATGGAAAAGCTTAAGCAACGAGAAAACGTGCCTCCAAATACAGATCAAAAGGCATTAAAGAAGGGGAGAAGAAAAGGGGGAAAAGTATGTGCCCGGTCTAATTAAAGGACACCGTTGCTTCCTCTTTAGCTCTCTCTTCTGGAGCGATTTGTTATCTTTGATGTACATAACAAATCTTCTTTTTTCTTTTGCCATTTACACAACGCTATCATAATTTACAACATGTTCATCTCCTGTGGATCTCTCTGTCTTCCCGGTGCCTCCAAGCTAGTAGGAGTAAGCACTGTAATACTTACACTCGTAATCATGTGTTATGTACTGTGTACCTTCTCGTGATCCTGCCTCACTGATCCGCAGGGGCTTCTGTTAATCTGTTACTTTCACAGCTCTCTCGAAGGAACAATCGTTTCATCATCCTGCCTAGAAAAAAAAAATCTGCAGCTGAATCGACGACGACGAAGATGGCGACGATGAGGTGGCATGGCGAGTGCACAGGTTATTTTACTAGCTTTGTGGTTCGGCTTTTGTAGAAGCTTTTCTGTACAGCTCCAGGGTGTCACCGTGTGTCGGGTCCAGGCAAAGGGCAGCCTCGCAGTCCCGCAGGGTGTTGGCGTTGTCGCCCATGGAGTCGAAGAATGCTGCCCGGAGATGGAGCAGCTGGAGGTCTGCCCTGAAAGCTATTGCTTGTGAGAGCTCTCCGATCGCCTCGTCTTCCTTGCTTTCGTCCATCAGAACTGAGAAAACACGCAAAAAGGAAAACGGTAGTATAGTATTGTGCTCCACAGTGCTATAATACTAGTTGTCAACTTGCGCATTCTTAAATCAAAAATGCAAACTGAAGAAGGTAGCAATGGCATGCACTACATCACTAGCCGTTCCTGTAACAGGGCATGAAATTCTTTTGGTAAGTATAAACTGTAACTTCTGTACCAGCTAATATCTTACTTACATTTTAAATGGTACTTCCTCCGTTTCATATTATAGGACTTTCTAGCATTGTCCACATTCATATATATATTAATGAATCTAGACATATATGTGTGCCTAGATTCATTAACATCTATATGAATATGAGCAATACTAGAAAGTCTTATAACCTAAAACGGAGGTAGTATAAATGCTAGGAGTATTAAAGATCATTTATATTCGTCAAAATGCAACTCGGAAAAACTGTGTAGTGGGATTGGAAGATATAACATCAATGTAGAGCTGTGGTCATAGAGAATACTAGACTGTAAATGAGAAGTACTACAAGATCCAAACGAAAACCGTTATGAGCCACTGAAATATAATGACCAGCTATGTCTCCGCAAATCTTCTGACACAAATCAATGGGTAGTAATCTTATCATGCAAATCTAAACAGAATGCAAGCCTTCTACAAATCCATGAGATTTGGTGTTACTAAGTCAAAGCGACTGCAACCATAGCATAGACATCAAAACAATGAAAGAAGTCCACAAAATATGTTTAAGCGCACTTACCAGCTGCTCTGTATCTGTAAGGGTAAGTCCTTGTAGGATCCAAAAGTGTTGCCATATTGAGATCACTTCTTGCTTCATCTCTTTCACCATATTCCGACCGTTTTTCATATGCCGATGCACTGTCTTTAGCTACCTTTATTAGTTCAGACATCTCTCCATACGCAGCCTTTTTCCTATTTTTCAGGTAATGGACCCGTGCCAGACCCTGATGCGCCCGTGTATGCTTTATATTCAATGCTATGTTGTAACATTCAGCTGCCTCATCTAGCAAATCACAATCCACATATATGCTCCCCATATTGTTATATGCCTGAAAAATGTATGGTTGTTAGAGCAAATAATCAATCGATATCATCATGCAAATGAGAGACAATGAATAGTTCTTACTTGTCCCTTGCGAAGATTGTCAGATGCACAACTATTAGCATGTTCTAGAAGTTGAACAACAGAGAGTGAAGATTCTGTGTCAAGGCTGGAATCCCCTAGAGCATATGCCTTCAGAAAAAAGGCTTCAAATGATCTTTGGATTTTAATCGATTGTTCAGCCTTGGCAAGTGCTTCATCACGGTGTCCAGTATCGTACAAAATCCATCCTTCGTATACAAGTCTCTCATGCTCATGAGCCGAACAATTTCGTGCAAATCTCAAACTACGCATCGCAGCCTTTTGACAATTTAGTCTACAATGAACGAGAAAGAAAAAAATATTAAGCCCATGAACAAAACAAACTACAAATTAGTAGTATCATTTTGGTTCTCTCCTTTTGTTATCAAATAATAATCTTCGATCCCCCACTTTTTTTTTATGTTATCACAAAAAAAAATCTGTACACGCACGGAAACATAGCTTAGAGCATAACTTACTAATGTCCATGAGCCTTCACACCAACAATCTTACAAATTATTTTCATTTTTGTAAATTTGGTTCCAATTTTAATAAAGCTTGCACTCCTATATGTAAAAGAAAGCATAGGCAATGATCAGCTAGTTAAATTGACCCACAAAATTATCAGACAAAAGGAAGCACACAAAGAGCTGTTCAATCAATTCTACTTTTTTTTATAGCTAATGAAAATATCAAACTTACGATTCAGTTGGTGGGATTAGTCTCGACAATTTTTTTAGAAAATGGGATCCATTGTCAAATGAAAAGAGAGAAAAGGTACATGCCTTAATAGGAGCAGTGATTGTCGGAACCGCAAGCTACTGTTCCCAGGTTCCCTGGTGAGCATCTGCTGAACGACAGCCAGAGAGCCGATGTCATCCACCTCTGACCACCGGTCATAGAGCTGCATCCAGCAATCCGCCATATCCCATTGCTGCACATACCCTCGGAGGATCTCGATCAGCTGTTCTCCATGCACTTTTCCATGAAACATCATGTAACTAGGATCCAACGTCAATATCGCCCTGATATCCCGCACTGCAGCCTCATACTCCTCAAGTGCAAGGTAGAACCATGCCCGGAGCTCAAGGCAGTCAGTCACCAGCTTGAATCCAAGGACCTTGCTGATCTCTGCGACAGCAGACTCAACCATGTCCTCCTCTAAGAACACAACGGCACGGTACTTGTATGGGAATGTCAGGGTTGGGTCGAGCTCTGTTGCTATATGGAGATCAGCCATCTTCTCCTTCCCAACACAGTACAGTGAACGTTCTTGGTACATCCACCCGGCCGGCTCGTAGTCCTCCATGATGCTGTTCATCATCTTGTATGCCGAGTACTTGTGGCCACGCTTGAACTTGGAGCGCGCCACGCCGGCGAGCGAGTACGTGTGGCCCTCGGCAATGGCATCCTCGAACCACCCCTGCGCGTCCTTGAATTCACCCCGCTCCAGCATCACACACCCGAATTGGTGCAATGCCAGCTGCTTCTGCCATGGTCGCTCCGCAGATTCACATAGCCTCTCCAGCAGCATCACCGTGGTGTTCGACCTGATGTCCTCCTCCATGGCAACGGACGAGAGGAAGTAGTAGAGCGCGAACGACGCGTTCCCGGCGATGTCGAGGCGCTCCCTGCCATCTGGGCTGCAGAGCAGGCGCGCGACGTCGGGGTTGGAGAGCGACTTGGGGAGCTCCCGGAGGAAGGCCTGGAGGCAGGCGGCGACGAGGAGGTGGGCGGCTTCCTCGAGGCCGAGGTCGACGAGGGAGAGTGCGTCCTCCACGCCGCTCACCATGGTGGCCAGCTTGTTGTCGCAGGCGGACTTGAGGCCCTCGCAGCAGAACTTGTTCGAGAAGGCGAGGAGCTCGAGGATGGTGTCGGTCGAGAAGTCGTCGAGGCGGCCGTGCCGGCTGTAGGCGGAGACGGCGCGCATGCCGCACGGCGTGATGCCGTCGCGGGTGAAGTCAATGCGGTCGCGCTGCGCCTCGGCGAACCCGCCGTACAGCAGTGTGTTGAGCGGCTTGGAGAGAGCGGCGATGCACGAGCGCTCGCACGCCACCTCCTCCTCGCCGATGACGAACCACAGGTCATTGGTCTCCACGTCGCCGTCGTCCTCGACCATCTGGTCGATGCTTGATGTGTTACGCCTGAAGCGGGATGAGGGAGGGGTGGGGGGAGGAGGAGGCGGGCGGCGGCACGGGCAGATGGGGTCGACGCCAGGGGACTCACCGGCGAAGACCGCGGCGCGGGGGCATTCGAGGAGCGGGGTGGTCGGGGTGCAGGGCGCGAGCGGCGGGGGCATCGGGTCGAACTCGTCCTCCCGGCGCTCGTACCTGAGCCAGGCGGCGAGGACGACGCGGCGGTGCGGGTCGGTGGCGTGGACGCGCGCGGCCCGCAGCGCCCGGCGCAGCAGCCGGGCGTCCCCGAGCGCGTGGAACAGCGCGTGCTGCTCCAGGAACACGTCGCAGAGGTCGTCGCCCTCCGCCTCGGCCGACGACATCCTCCGGAACGACGCGGCAAGCGCCTTGACGTGGTCGACGGGGCGCAGGCACGCGTCCAGCGCCGGCTCGAGCGCCGCCGCCACGGGCAGCCCGCATGGCAGGGGCGAGTCGGCCACGAACGCCCCCGACGTGGAGGGCGCGTGCGGGTAGCAGACCGACGCGGAGCGCACGGACAAGCTCCGCGGCTGGGGCGGCGGCAGCGGCTTCCCCGCCCCATCCCCGGAGCCCGACGTGGACGCGCCCCCCGCCGAGCTGAACGCGTAGATTTGCGCCGCCTTGCACCCCTCGATCAGCTTCAGGCTCCGTATCGTCGTCAGGAAGTTGTTCGTCATAATGACCCCCACCTCCCCCCTCCCCCCCTCCTCCCGCGCTGCGCCTCACCTTCCTATCACCACCACCCCGGCGATCATACCACAGCGGCGGCGCCGGCGGAACGGCCCGTGCGGCGTGCGCGCGCGCGCGTCGGCCTCTGCTCCGACCTCCCCGCGCGGCCGCGCGCTGCGCTCCCCCGCCGTGCGTGCGTGCGCGTCGATCGCTTGCGTCGCGCGCCTGCGGTTAATGCCCGTTTGCCTTGGTTGCGTGGGCGCCGCGGGAGAGCGCGGAGAGGAGAGGAAGGGGAGGGGCGCGGAAGTCGGATGGTTTTCCCGGTTCCCCTAGCTGCCATGCCACCGTCCGCTGCACGATCAAGCTCGGATTTTTTTAGTTAGCCAGCTTTCAGTTTTTTTTTTCTGATTTTCTCTCGCCAACAAAAGAAAATAGGAAAACGAGGGCTATATCTATGAGATAGTATCAAATATCTTAAAGAAATGTGCTCAAAATCTTCTGCATTTCTGAAGGGTGATTTGGTTTTATTTTAGTTCCTAATAACAAAATAAAATGTTGATGATGAGCCACTAGCAAGAAAAAGTGGGGGGGAAAGGATCAAAGGATACGAAAAGAAGAGAACAAAGGAGGAGACCAGACCAGACCAGACCAGAGGGGATGTTGCTGTATGTAACGTTGGTTACGATCCCATTTGCCCAAGTCGTTTTTAGGTTAAGTTAACGAGTCCACGATCCGGAACGCGTGGAGGGGCCCGCGGACGAAAGGGCGTACGTGTGGAGCAATCATGCGGAGTGATTGGTGATTAGCCCCCGACCGAGCGAGTGATTGGATCGGCGAGGGGAGGAAGAGCCCAAGAAAGCGGCCAGATTAGCTAGGGACGTCGTGGTGCACGCACGAGCCGCACTGTTTGTGACCGAGCCGGCTACATCACCCGCCAGCCAATTCACCGATTCGGGGGCTGCATTGCGGTGGCGGTGGTGTTCTCGGGTCGGACACGGACACACGGGTGGGCACGGTGCGTTGTACTCCCTCTGTTTAAAAAAAAAAACATAGATTGGCTGTCTTATATAAAATTTTTTTATAATTAGTATTTTCATTATTGTTATATGATAAAATATGATTAATATTTTATACGTGACTTGTCTTTTAATTTTTTTTTAAATAAGACGGATGGTTAAACGTCAGACACAGAGATCTAGGGTTTATTTTTCTTTTTGGACGGAGGGAGTACGTGGCACAGGCGCGCCGTTTCATCGGGCATTGCCTTGTCTCTCTCGTACCCTGGTGCGTCGTTGGAGGTTGGAGAGGACCGACCGAGGCTGGCGTGCACTGCGTGTCTGCATCCCAAAAGCTTCGATCGCTTCGTGTGCAGTGCAGGAGGCAGGAGCAGTACATATGAGTACAGTTTTGCGTCGTACGAGTACATGAGACCGGCAAATCGCGACACGACTAGGGGAGTAGGGGTCGGTTTCTTCGTGGTACAAGCCGATTTTTATCGGTACTAGCGGTACACGAGTGCAAATCGTGACACGGCTAGCAGCACAGTTTGCACGTGTAAGATGTTGTACCTGTGGGTGTGTGCGTGTACGCGCGTACAAATGGTCAGGCGTATATTGTATCCACTAATAGTCGAGTGTGAAAAAATGTGAAGGTAGGGAAGTGTAGTACCAAGACGCAATACTAGCTTAAAATTCTAAAAGATAATTGGTTGATAATCAATTTAAGAATTCCAAGAAGTTGGGTTCTAACTTTTATTTTTTTTTATTTCTAATTCTAATGGTTTGTTTTGGGAGATTCTATCAGATACATCTTCTCCCATATTTAAAAGCTCCCCAAGCATTCTAAGGGTTCATTTGGGGTCTTGGGGAGTTTCCAGCGGCTGTAACTTCTCCAAAATCAGAAAATCAGAAGTTAGCATAAATAGTCCAGTTTTTCATCCAGACTTTGAGAAGGTACAGTTGTATAATCCAACGAATGAATTAGAAGTCAAAAGCTGAAAAACCTAGCTTTTTTGGATTCTCAGAAACTAGATACCAATCAGATGATTTTCAAAATTTTAAGCTCTCTAAACATTTCTTACATTTCATCCGAATTATAAGAAAATGTAGTTATAAAATTCATAAAATGAACTAGAAGTGCTCCAGATTCTTAGAAGCTAACACTACCAGCTGGTTCTTATAATTTTAGCTTCTCAAACAAGTCTTATACTCCTTCCATTTCATAATATAAGGCACAACCACTTTTTTAGATGTTCCATAATATAAGACATGCATGTAAGCATACAATTAACTATGACATCTTCTCCACTAAATTATTATTTTTTAACATCCTCCACTCTCATGTTATCTAATCTTATTGGATACATATATTATATTTATTAGGATGATTCAAACTACAAGATGATAATAATTATTTCTTGGTTTTTGGGTTAAGAGTGGTTGTGACTTATATTTTGGAATGGAGGGAGTAACTCCGTTCTCAAATCAGAATTTGAATATTTTAGGACACTGCTTTAGAAAAAGCCTCCCTAAACAGGACCTTGTGACCCACGAGCTCTGGTACATTACTTGGGCTTGTCAGGCACTCAGGCCCAACCCAGCAAACTAGTCGTCTCGTCGGTCGGTGTCTCCGGCGCGTCGCCGTCACCGTTCATACTACGCCGTGATGCCCTAGCCCATCCGCTCCACCGGCTTCTCTCTCCACTCCACGCAGTTCAAAATTCAAATTTCTCCTCACGACTCCCAAACCCTCACCTCTCCCCAGCCCGAAACCGCCTCGCTCCCTTCCCCCAACTCCAGATCGATCCACTCCAAACCGGCAGGCGAATCCCCATCCCCATCCCCACGATCGCCGCCGCCGCCGCCGCGTGGGGACAAGGAGGAGGAGGAGGGGAGGCCGCGGTTGCTCGTGCTCGAGGTATACCTTATTCCGTCTTCTCGGTTCTAGCGCCCTCGCTTGTCCGATCTGACGCTGCTCTTGGTCGCCGCCGTTACGTACTCTTCTGGGTTCCGTACTTGAATCGTGTAGGATGCTGCGGGTGGATTCTATTTGAAGTTAGTTTGTTTGGCTTGTTTGATCCACAGGTTTAGTACCGTTCAGTTATCTGCATTTTTTTGTTCGATGTGGTTGGTGTTAGATCCCGAAATTCCTCAAAGAGATAACCGTATACTGCCTTTTAGATTTGGGTGTTCCGCGAGTAAGACGTGTGTTTAGAGTGTGCCTATTGTTAGTAACTTGTATATTCTGCATTGATGGGGGTTAATTGTTTCTAGTAGATATATTATTCGATGGGGGTATATGCATGGCAATCCAGTTTCAAAGCATTCTAGGAAATAATTCATAAACTACTCTATCGAATATTTTGTCGTTTCATCAGGAATAAGCAATAGGAAATATATACTATCTAAGCTGCCCAACCCTTGCACCTGCCCTGCAATTTCAGCTTCATCTACAGATTGCACTGTAGACGTATTTGTGGGTTTATTCCCAATATTTTATTTTTTTCCTTATAGTTTGTCACCGTATTGATGTGAAAAATGTCTACTGCTAAGCTACTGTAAGTTTGTAAGAGCATTGGGATTTTTCTTTATGACGATTGAAAGCAATTAACTATACAGAGCTCTTAATGTATATAGAGTTGTTTGGATTCTCTAGTATAAGAATCAGGTTAAATAAAGGTATTGTTGGTCCTACCTTAAGATTTCAAAGCAATAGATGAGAAACCAATTTTTGTGTTCTTTGTACTTGAGATCTTACATCCCTCCTGAATTTTCATCCTACTGCAGGTTTTCTAAATAGGAATGGATATCACACAGGTTCTGCTAGCTGCGCAGTCACATGACGGTCAGCTACGAACTGTTGCTGAGGAAAATCTCAAGCAATTTCAGCAGCAGAATTTTCCACATTTTCTTCAAACGCTATCAGTTGAGCTGTCCAATGATGAGAACCCTCCTGAATCTCGAAGGCTTGCTGGTATTTTGCTTAAGAATTCCTTGGATGCAAAAGAATCAACTAGGAAAGAGGAATTTGTACAACGTTGGATGAATGTGGATCCTGCAATCAAATCACAAGTTAAAGAGTCCCTGCTGATTACCCTTGGATCACCGGTGTTTGAAGCCCGGCGCAGCTCTTCACAAGTCATTGCCAAGGTTGCTGCCATTGAGATCCCTCATCAAGGATGGCCGGAACTCATAGTCAACTTGTTAACTAACATGACAAAGCCAGATGCACCCCCTTGTCTGAAGCAGGCTACCCTGGATTGCCTTGGATATGTCTGTGAGGAGATATCCCCTGAGGATTTGGAACAGGATCAAGTTAATGCTGTTCTTACTGCTGTGGTCCAGGGTATGAATCACGTGGAGAACAATTCTGATGTTCGCCTTGCTGCTGTGAAAGCACTCTACAATGCTCTTGATTTTGCGGAAACAAATTTTCAAAATGAGCTAGAGCGGAATTACATAATGAAGGTTGTTTGTGAGACTGCCATGTGTAAGGAGGCTGATATTAGAAAGGCTGCATTTGAGTGTCTGGTCTCGATAGCATCCATATACTATGATCTTCTAGAGCCATACATGCAGACTATATTTGAGCTGACCTCAAATGCTGCCAGGGTAGATGAAGAACCTGTTGCCCTTCAAGCTGTTGAGTTTTGGAGCACTGTCTGTGATGAAGAAATTGCTAGGCAGGAAGAGAGCAAAGAATCTGGTGTTTTCAGTTCTTCATGTCATTTTCATTTTATTGAAAAGGCCCTTCCTTCTCTTGTTCCTATGCTTCTAGAAACACTCATGAAGCAAGAGGAGGATCAGGACCAAGATGATGGAATTTGGAATATATCGATGTCTGGGGGTACCTGTCTTGGACTTGTTGCAATAACTGTCCAGGATGCTATTGTTCCACTTGTGATGCCTTTTATAGAGGGGAACATAACAAAGCCTGATTGGCACAGCAGGGAGGCTGCAACTTTTGCATTTGGTTCTATACTTGAGGGTCCTTCTGTTCAAAAGCTCACACCATTGGTTCATGCTGGTTTTGATTTCTTGCTTAATGCAACCAAAGATCAAAACAACCATGTCAAGGATACAACAGCATGGACACTTTCTAGGATATTTGAGTTTCTGCACTCACCAACCAGTGGGTTTTCAGTTGTGACAGATGCAAACGTTCCCTATGTCATACAAATACTGTTGACAAGTATCAAAGACTCCCCTAATGTGTCTGAGAAGATATGTGGGGCCGTGTATTTTCTGGCCCAAGGCTATGAAGATGCAGGGTCTATCTCATCAGTGTTGACACCGTATCTTGGTGAAATAATATCAGCTCTCCTTGCCACCGCTGATCGTTCTGATTCCAACAATTCCAGGCTTTGTGCTTCTGCATATGAAACACTAAATGAGATTGTCAGATGCAGCCATATCTCAGAGAACTTGAACATGATCGTGCAGTTATTACAAGAGATCTTGAAGAGATTGAACCAGACTTTTGAGATTCAGATCACATCCTCTGACGACAAGGAAAAGCAAAGTGACCTTCAAGCCTTGCTCTGTGGTGTTGCTCAAGTAATCCTTCAAAAGTTCAGTAGCTGTCATGAAAAATCAGCAATTCTTCATTTTGCTGACCAAATGATGGTGTTATTTCTCCGAGTCTTTTCATGCAATAGTTCTAATGTGCATGAAGAAGCCATGCTTGCTATTGGTGCTCTTGCTTATGCTACTGGACCAGAATTTGTGAAATACATGCCAGAATTCCACAAGTACCTAGAAATGGGCTTACAAAATTTTGGGGCTTATCAAGTCTGTTGTGTTTCTGTGGGTGTGGTTGGTGACATCTGCCATGCCTTAGATGACAAGGTGCTCCCTTACTGTGATGGTATCATGTCCACTCTTCTCAAAGATCTCTCAAGCCCAGAGCTTCACCGTTCCGTCAAACCTCCAATACTGTCTTGCATAGGAGATATTGCTCTTACAATGGGCGAACATTTTGAGAAATATGTCCCATACACTATGCCTATGCTGCAAGGAGCTGCAGAGCTTTGCTTTCGCATGGACGCTCCGGATGATGATAGCATAGAGTATCAAAATGAGCTCAGCCGAAGCATTTTTGAGGCCTACTCAGGCATACTTCAGGGCTTCAAGAATTCAAAGTCAGAGCTAATGGTGCCTTATGCTGGAAATATTTTCCAATTCGTTGAATTGGTCTTGAAAGACAACCTTTTAAGGTGAGCACATGATCTTTACTGTGATATATAGCGAATGCACTAGTCATGTTTATTTAAGATATTCCAAGAAAGAAATATATATAGAACAAATGACGGGAAACATGAATATATAATTGTAACAAGCAGATCTTCCCAGGTGTAACATTTTTTGTTTTCTTTCGAAATGCATCACTTGTTTATGCGTGTTTGCATCAAAAGAAGCCTTTGTATACCAAAGAAAAAGAATTTATGGTGACACTTTGTTCTAATACTTCGCAGGAATGAGAGTGTGACCAAAGCTGGGGTTGCCATGGTTGGGGACCTAGCAGACGCATTAGGGCCCAACATAAAATTGCTGTTCAAGGACTCCAAATTCCACTCGGAGCTCCTCGGCCAATGTTGCCAGTCTGATGATGAACAGCTAAGGGAAACTGCATCCTGGGTCCAGGGGGTGATCACACGCGTCCTGGTTTCATGAGGGAAGACTTCTCAAGTAAAACTGCTGGTTTCATGAGGGAAGACTTCTCAAGTAAAACTGCTGGTCGTGTACTATCAGGTTATTTTTCTTTTCCAATGCTAGGTGAATTGTTTTAGAAGTGCGTTACACATTTGTCCCGTTGTGTTGCAAATAGAAAACTTTTACAAAAGGCGAGAGGTTACATAACTTACATTACACAAGATGATTTTTCTACTGGCAGCCGTTTGCCATTCTTCAGAAATAGGCCGGTGTCCCTGGGTCTCTGTTGCGTTTTATTCAGTTGTCCATGTGGATCGATTGTAATCGCAACAATGCTATTTGGTTTGTTGCTCTCTGAAATGGTAAAGTCCTGTTGGCATCATCGCTCATTGCGATGATGATAGCGTCAGTTAAAAAGTTGTCTCTTGATGCTGTCTTGTCCGGTATTCTTTTGTTGCTAGTTTTTGATTGATGACCCCGCCTACTTGGTCACTCGAGTCATCAGTATTATACTACCTCCGTCCCAAAATAAGTGCAGCCGTGGATATCCGTGCCCAACATTTGACCGTCCGTCGTATTTAAAAAATTTGTGAAAATTTGAAAATATTTAGTCACACATAAAATACTATTCATGTTTTATCATCTAATAGTAATAAAAATACTAATCATAAAAAATTTTCAAATAAAACGAACGGTCAAACGTTGAACGTGAATAGTGCAAAACTGCACTTATTTTGGGACGGAGGGAGTAGCTATATTCTGTTCGATGATCTACACAATCGTCTGCTGATTCTACCAAATTTCTGCTAATGAAATTGCAACAATCCTGTCCTGCCAAGTGCTGACGTGCTCGTCACATTTGAGCAAATCTGCCAAGTTGACAAATCCTAAGCTGCTCAGTTCTGTTCGTTGATTTGCAGTTGCAAGAAAAAAGAAAAAGGTTGATTTACCTGCAGGTTGGAAGTTGGAACACTCGCGTTGTTAGTTGTTACAGTTCATCCTGCGCTTGGCGTGTAGCTCCGCGGGCTGATGGGCTGGTGGGTTAGAAGGTGCCGAGCTATCTGTTCGGACCAGGCCCAACAGTCTACGGCTGCGGCTGCTTTGGGTGACACGGGCTATTCGCGGGCGCCCCGCGGGGGGGGGGGGGGGGGAGGGGGGGGGACTTTCCAGGACTCGTTTATGTTTCAACCATCAGGTTGAATTAGCTCATTTGTCCCCAGAAATAAGGGGAAATTCAAATGTTCCAAATGGGCCTCAAATCCTTAATGCTTCTAACGTGCAATTCCAGTTTTTCATGTCAAGGCAAATATTTTTGGTGGATGATAATGCATGCATTCCAGGATGACTTCATACCTTGGATGATGGCATCATGGCAAGAATAGAGGCACAGAACTGAACCTGGTGACAGAACTGTTTGAAGAACTAACCAATCATATATACCGCAGAATGATTGAATGAACATAAGGATTAGAATCTCTATGAAAGTATCCAGAATATCATATGTACTGAGAATGTTTCGCAACTGAACTGAATAGCCAGGCAGCTGGAAACAAGAGGGGATTACAGCAATAATAACCATTTACTGACTCCAAAACAGATGATATGTTCAGTTGAGGCAATCAAGTCTCTCATCTTGCATTGCTGCTAACCTGCTATCAGTGAACTAATAAGAAGAAAATCTCATCATGTACTGTCCTATATCTGGCTAACCTTTCCCTGTAATCTAAACCGATGTAACTTTTGGCCGGAGCATCACGTCAATTGCCTTCTCCACACTGCAATTGTCCCTTGAAAAAAGTAGACTGGAATCTGGATGGCTACCATGGCCAGTCTACTGTCCTAGTTCCTCTGCCAAGAAACAGATGACAAACAAAAGTATCAGGGGATTGTGACCTCCACAGATTGTTAGTAGTATAAAGCAGCAATGGTATCATGAATAACAAATGACAAGTCCATCAAGGTGGGGGTTTCCAAAAAAAAAAAAAAGTCCATCAAGGTGATCAAAAGATCATTGATTGACAGTACAAGTACTTCATGCTCATTGGGCATGAACATTGCAATTGGGATTCTACTGAAATCAGATTGAGCGGAGCATCACAAGAAAGCAGTTTTTGCACGTGAGTAGTTTCAGAAATATCAGCATTGCCTGTTAATATGATGGATTAGTGTCTGACCAAATTTGATTATTACATTATCATGATAAGCTTTTGGTATCAGCGAAGTGCAAATTTTCCAGCCATGTTGTGCTTAAATTCTAACCAGAATCACGAATCATCAAACATGGTTGCTGTTGTGACCACCTAATGATCTGCTGTACAATGTGCAGATGCACAAACACGAAAAATACGGAATGAAATGACTCACCAACTAGAGGACGCCGCCGTGGCAGTGTCGGCGACGGCGGAGGCGGAGATGGCGACATCGACGAGAATCCGCATGCGCTCGATCTCGAGATCGCGCATGGCCTCCAGGCGCCGCTCCTCCAGCCGCGTCGCCTCCTTCTGCTTCGCCACCTCCACCCGCTCGTATGTTCCGGCGAGCCTATCCAGCGCCGCCGCCACCTCCGTGCACGGCGTCCCTCCTCCGTCCCCGTGCTGATGCCCCGAGGAGGAGCTCAACGGTAGCAACGCCACCGCCGTCCTCGGCCGCTTCGGCACCGACGGCCAGGAACGGGGCAGAGGAGCCGCGAAGGACTCCGCCTTCTCCTCTTCCTCCTCCTGCTCCTCCTCTCCCACCTTTGGCATGGCGCCGCCGCGGGAAGTGAATCCGGGGGGAACGGAGGGGGCGAGGCGGAGGAGCGCGCGGAGGCGATCGACCGAGGGCGGCGGCGGCGGCGGGGCCGGGGCCCCCTTGGACCTGGAGCGCTCGGCCTTGAGGCGCTTCTTGAGGTAATCCAAGCGATTCTTGCACTGGTCGACGGTGCGCGGCGCGCGCCCGGCGGCGGCGCGGCGGGCGGTGACGGCGGCCGCGCAGGCGCGCCAGTCGGCGGTGCGGAGGGGGCCCCCGGCCGCGCGGATGTGCCGCGGGCCCCACGCGTCGAGCAGCGCGGACGTCTCGCCGTCGCTCCACGGCTCCGGGGTCCACGCCGGCGGCTGCGGCGGCGCCGCGGCGCGGCGGCGGGTGGCCATGGCGAGTTGTTCGGTTCGGCGTGACGGCCGTGACCGTGAGGCGCGTGCGGTGCTCGTGCCCGTTCGCTGATCAACTCTTGGCCCCGCGCCCCGCGGCCTCTCTCTGTGCGTGGGCCGCCTCTCCTTATATACTTCCCCATCGTGGTATAAAATCCTATATTTTCATCAAAAATAGTAATCAAATAATTCATTCAAATATCATCAAAGTAATGGTGGATTTAGATTCATGGATTTATCAAGTAAGGAATACACAACTCAAAAAAAAAAAAGGAAAAATGAAGTTGTGCCAAAACAGATCGCAAAATCGATCACAACAGAGTGATTGCATCATACTAAAGGAGATAAAAACTATAGAATGTATTCCTAACTTAATCAGTTACTCTCAAATTTCTTCAGGAACTAAACCATTTTGATACTATATACCTCTACATTCTTTGATAAACGCAATCTGGCCTGGGTGAGCATTTTGAGCGGAAAATTTTGAAGCCTGCTTCTCCTGCGGTAGGGTAAACGAGAAAGGTTTTGATCTGCAGATCTGCGCGCACACGAACTCTTTTGGCCAAGCTGGCCTTTGCGTTGAGGACATACGAACCATATGGTCCATGCGCTCGCGAGAGAGCGGCGCGCGCGGCTTTGCGTTTTACGGTGCGTCGTCGCACGAAAAACTGAGCTGCTTTTGCGGCCCCGCGGGGTCGCGGCCTCGCTCGCGGGTGCGCCTGCAGCACGCCAGGGTTGGCTGGAGTTTGCCACGTTAATTTGGGCGGGTCGGTGTCGGTGTCGGTCCCGGTCCTCTCAGCGACGCGGCGGCCGGGGAGAGGAGCCCGGGGTCGAAGTGCCAGGGCATACGCACGCGCGTCGGGTCGGGGTGCGTGGCGTGGCGTTGGGTTGGGTACTTGGGTTGGGTTGGTGGGTTTGTGTTTTGTTGGCAGCCGGGCGTGCGGTGGTGGCCGCGTGGTTCGGGGCGTTCGCTCGGTTTCCTCCTGGGGTTTCGCTGGCTTCTTCTCGCGAACCTGGGCGGCGGGAGGAGGACGACGTACGGCGTAGGCGTCGTCGTCGTCGGCGGCAGGTGGAGACGATTGACACGGTAGGTAGAGTATTTCTTTTGTGGGGTGAATTTGGGTTTAAAGTGACGGTACAAAGTACAAGTACATACATAAATCAACGCAAACCTCCTGGCGCGTCTAAAACTACGTGGGCGGTACATCCGTACATGTTGATCCTAAACCACTAGTACTGTGTTCTTCGCCTACGTTCAGTAATCACTGACAGCATTGCTCGAGCAACAACATCCATCCCTGCGTGATCAGCAAATCAAACAGAAATAAGTTTTCCGCTAAACGAACAAAAAACACAGAAAAAGTGAAATATAATCAAGAACCGGGAGAGTGTAATCGTTGGTGATTCTCGACATTGAGGTGGAAGAGTATATATACGTTTATCGTGTATCCACTACTGTACTAATTTTCATTGGTATACTGCACTACTCATTGGTAAATATTTTTCGTTCCTTACCGTACGTATTCAGGTGTCCAGCTTCTCCTCCTTCAGCTTAACGGCTTCCTGCATGGCCTTCTCCATCTCCATCGCCACCTTCTCCTTCTCCACTTCCAGCCTCGCCAACTCCACGCGCTCGTACACCTCCGCCAGCTTCGTCACCACCACCCCCACCGGGCACCACGCCGCGGCCCCGTTCCTCGGCCTCGTCGGGACAACCCAGCGGCCCAGCAACCCGCCGCTGCCGCCGCCGCCGCCGACCGCCTCGTCCTGGCATTCCTCCTCCTCCTCCTTCTTGACGGAGGCGGGCGGCATCGTCTTGGGCGGGAAGCCGGGGGGCGGGCCGGCCAGGAGGAATTCCTGGAGGCGGGAGAAGTGGCGCCACCCCGACGGCGGCGGCTTGGCGAGCTCCCTCTTGTACCGCTCCTTGAGCGTCTGGACGCGGGCCCTGCACTGCGCGCGGGTGCGGTTGTGGCGGCGGCCGGCGGCGGCGCGGCGCGCGTTCACGGCGCTGGCCGCGGCGCGCCAATCCTTGGCGGGGAGGGGCCCGCGGCTGCGGGCGACGTGCGGCGGGCCCCACGCGTCGATGAGCGCCGCCGTCTCGCCGTCGCTCCACCACTCGTTTGCCCGCTGCTGCTGATGCTGCTGCGGCGATGGCTTGCTGCTGGACATGGTGGTGGAGTGTGCTAGCTTGCTTGTGGGTACACTGCTTGGTGAAGAGTGGTTTGCAACTGAACGAACGAGTTCGCGTTACGAGCTATGGCGGCGGCAGGTGCAACCCACAGCACGCACGCCTTTAATAAGCAAAGCTATTAACAGCCAACCAACAGTAATATTACTCAATTACAGCAGGAAATTTCATAGCTAGATCTGTAAAAAGAACATTTTGTAATTTCGTGGATGGATGTATATTACCCCTGTGAGCTACGTGATCTTTTGGTTGGGTTAAGTATCAGCCCACAGACTGTGCTTGTAATAATGGATAAAAGGAAAACTGTATTAGGGCATGTTCAATGGTAGAGACCAGTTGCTACCCCTTATGTCTCATCTCCTTTATTTGCTTGCTCGATCTACCACTATTTCTATTCATTCTTATTGGAACCTTTAAAAATTGGATTTTATAGTTTTTAGAGTTTATTGTCACGTTGGGTTTCATTTTTATAATTTCTAGATGTCCCGTCAAACGTTGCTATTATACTCCTCTACGACATGTCCACTGTTTTATCTCTTTATTGTCATTGAGAATTTAAAAATCGAACATAATTATCGTTTAAGTTCATTTTTACTTTTTAGAAGTCCCGCCAAACCGTTAGCGGCTTTACCATTTTAATCCTCTACGGCTCGCCCGCTGCCTCCCTTCTTTATTTCATTTTGATTTTAAAATCGAACATGATTATCATTGGTTTTTTTACTTTTCAGAAGTTCTGAACCTTTAAAAATTGGACTTGTAGTTTATTTTTAATAATTTTTAGAAGTGCCATCAAACGATGTCACTATGTCCCTGATCTACAGCCCGTCCGCCACCTACTCTTTATTGTCATTGTGATTCTAAAAATTATTTTTTTTTACTTTCTAGAAGTCCCGGCAACCGCCTTACTCGTTTGCTTCACGGCCTCCCTGACGTCTCTCCTTTTAATCGTCATTAGGATTCTATTTGGTGTTTTATTAACAATTTTTATATGTCATATCAACCGCCACCACTCTACTCCTTTATAGGCATATTACTTAATATATCTCGTCATGTGTTTTAGATGGTCTTTTATTTTAATAATCTTTATTTTTATCAAAAATTTTAGTTATTTATAAATTATATTCCTAATTGAAATCTTATTTTTCTTGTTCTAATTTTAGAATTTTTTTAAAAAAAATATTTAATATCGTATTGTGTTAATTTAATGTTTTTATTTTTTATTTTCAATTTCAGTTGTTTCAAAATTGTATTTCTAATTGAACTCTCTTTTATTGTTTTCTAACTTTGGATATTATTTTATTTTTTATTCTAAATTTTATTGCTTCATGGTCTCCCTGACGTTTCTCCTTTTAATCGTCATTAGGATTCTATTTGGTGTTTTATTAATAATTTTTATATGTCATATCAACCGCCACCACTCTACTCCTTTATAGGCATGTTACTTAATATATCTCGTCATGTGTTTTAGATGGTCTTTTATTTTAATAATCTTTATTTTTATCAAAAATTTTAGTTATTTATAAATTGTATTCCTAATTGAAATCTTATTTTTCTTTTTTTAATTTTAGAATTTTTTTAAAAAAATTATTTAATATCGTATTGTGTTATTTTAATGTTTTTATTTTTTATTTTCAATTTCAGTTGTTTCAAAATTGTATTTCTAATTGAACTCTCTTTTATTGTTTTCTAACTTTGGATATTATTTTATTTTTTATTCTAAATTTTAATTAATCTCGTATTGGGTTCTTATATGGATTCTTTTTTCAGTATGCTTATTTTTAATTCCGAATTTCAGCTAATTTTAAATTGTATTCCTACTTGAACTCTTCTTTTATTTTCTTTTTCTAATTTTAGATTTATTTATTTTTATTCCGAATTTTACTTAATCTCGTATTGGGTTCTTATATGGACTCTTCTTTTAATATTCCTTATTTTTAATTCCGAATTTTAGCTATTTTTAAATTGTATTTCTACTTGAACTCTTATTTTCTTTTCTAATTTTGGATTTTATTTTATTTTTATTTTGAATTTTGATTAATCTCGTATTGGGTTCTTATATGGAAACTTCATTCAATATTGCTTATTTTTAATTCCGAATTTCAGCTATTTTTAAATTGTATTTCTATTTGGACTCTCCTTTCCTTTTCTAATTTTGGATTTTATTTTATTTTTATTTTGAATTTTGATTAATCACGTATTGGGTTCCTATATGGACTCCTCTTTCCATATTGCATATTTTTAATTCCGAATTTCAGCTATTTTTAATTGTATTTCTACTTTGACTCTTCTTTTCTTTTTCTCCGATTAATATGGGAATTTCTAGCCCCCACGGCGAACGTGGTGCCTTCGTTTCGAGCTGTCTTAATAATATAATAGATTTAAAAAGGGAGAATCATCATTTAGCTATTGGTAGTCCAAATTATAGAATATTGAAATTTGTGAATTGCATTATACAAGGTACATGCTTCAGAGATGGTACTTTGTAAAAAGAATCCTTAAATTATGAGGCATATCCTAGTAACACTTTGAACTGTGCACTGCAACTTCCTTCTATGCAAACACACAAATCTTACCGCTGGCAGGTGCAGGCAGCTTTTAAGGTTAGTTACGTTGATAGGCAACTATAAATTGAGTTATGTTGCTGTACATGATGAAATCCCAAATTCTAAAGAGAGTCGTATTTGAAGTTAATTGATGCTAGGGCCTTAAAGAGTCATTTTTTATTGGAAACAATCCAGCAACTTAAAAAATAAATATAATAAATATCCTACATGGCGCAAAAGTACACACCTTTTATGGATTAGTATTACAGATTATAATTTATATACGTATAGGAAAATTAGCATTACTTGAAACATATAATTTACATATATACTTTTAATATTTATTGTCTTAGAGGCATATGCCCAGGTGGCAGTAACAGCAGAGGGCAATAACAGAATGGGCAATTCCTATGACATGCAGCATATAATGCAGAATATATATATATTTTTTAGATAAAATCATAGGATGGCACCTCGTTGTCGCTGCGGTCGCTAGCGAAGAGCCGAAGACCAACGCACAGCAATAAGCTCTTCAGGCCATGACCGGCCGGCGTCTGGCCGTCTGCGGCGGCGCCAGCCATGGCATGCATGCGTGTAAGTTAGGGACTACATGAAATCGATTTGCAAGCTCTATTCACATGTAACATCATGCATGAAACCCAGCTGAAATTAAACTACCAAACCTTTTATCATTAGACGCAAACGGAATTGATCGTCCTATCGCATGAACCCGATCAACTCAATTCCAAGGCATCCACCCAAAATGCTGATCAATCTACCGACTGATCTGAGATCATACAAATCAAAAGAAATCAGGAGATTGCCAAGTATTTAACTTACCTCGAAGTTGATGTCGTGGAGGTGGGGATGGAAGTGGATGCGGATGGTTGATGGACTTGATCAGCGACGGCAGTGGATGCCTGGGGATGGCAGCGTCAATGGGAGTGGAGGTAGTGATGGCGATGGACGGTGATGGCGGCGATTTTTGGAAGAGAATAGCGAGAGCGATGTTTGCGCTTTTGTGAGAGAGAAAGATATCGGAAGAGGAAGGGACGGCGATTTATTCGGAGAAGAGATGGGGAGCAAAGAGGCGTGACCTTTCTAGAGAGAAGGCGACCGGCGTTTTTTTATTTTTTTTTATTTTTACATTTACTCACGCGTGGGAGTAGATTAGATATACTCACGCAGGGGAGTATCCCCGAATCATGCCGCGCCACGTGGCGTTTGTCTCCGGCCAGGAACCTGCATGCAATTCGTATATAGAGATATGGCGTTGTATGTTGTCAGAATAAGGGCGGGTTAATCAGAGGTACTCAAACATGTACCTAACTAATGTGTACCGCTCTCTATAAAGAAAAAAAAAACACTAACTGATGTGCAGTGCCACCACAGGTAAGAAACTAACAACTGAGAATATCACTTACAGAATGTTAAGGGCATGTTTGGATCAAAACCCGTACGTAGTAAATCCCAAAAAGGTCCAGAGCAATCTTCCATCCAAACAAAGGTAATAGCATACGAATGAGAAAAATAATATATGCTCCACTTAAGAAAACTATGTTTATTTAACAGTTACAGAATTGTCGAACACACCGTGCATAAATTCATCAGAGCACATCAGCACAGCACATGCAACTGATCACATAGTAAGAATACATATCCTTTTTCCTGGAGAATACGTCCGTAAGAATATATCGCCTAAGCTAATTTGATGATATGAGACAGGTTTGGAAAGCAACCATTAAGCGGAAAGTAGATGCATAAATGCATATACACCTGGCCGTTTGACAAGCAAACTGAATTTTTCAAAGGAACCCACATTGGTCACTATAATTGAAGCTGTACATGCAAATCCTCAACAAACATATTTAGAATTCGAAGGGCCCGAATCCACTTGGAGTGCTATCTGAGCGCATTAGTTAGCAGGAGCCAACCTTAATACATAATATCCATTCAAAATTTGAGAGTCAAACCATCTTTGAGCTGAACCAGCCATGTTAATTGTTCACACCAATAATTTTACTTCCCATGGATGTCAGTAATGCATTGGGAGTTTGCAAACTTCATCAGAATAAAGAAAAATTATTAGGCAGATTTCTTTTAGGATTTAAGCTTCATGCGTCATGTCCTAAATCCCTGCTGTGGAGTTCACTGCGTCCATGAGTTTGTATCTTTTCTCTTGAACACCAGCAACACCCATTTGTATCTCAATTATTGTATGAAGTGGTATCTGGAGCAAAAATTTTCAGTCATGATGAGCAAAAATGCAAAATACGCGCATGGTGCTCTAGGGTAGCAGTGATATAAAATGCAAAACGTTGTCTCACCTCAATGTTAGGAAGTTCCTCCAGTGGTTTATCCGCAAAATATGCATATAGTGCTCTTAGCACAGCCTACAACAAATTTCCCTCACGTCCACAATTGCAAAGTAAAAGCGAAATACTTAGAAGAATGCTAAAGCCTGCGTACCTGGTGAGATATGACAACAACTGGAGCACGCTGCCGTTCAAGCTCAATAATTACAGGTTCTAATCTGAACAGAGAAGACTGTAAAGATAAAGTGCACCGATAATAGTTACAATAGGTGAATTACGTAATATATGTCTGCATGTGATAATTTCACATAGCCTGAATTAACCTTTGAATGACATCGAGGTAGGATTCTCCTCTAGGATAACGATACCTCAGCTTGTCCTTGCTACGTGATCTGAAAAAGGGCACATGAATGTAAATAAAATACTTATGGGGGTATTTTCGTATATAAAACAGTAAGGCACTAGCAGAGGATGATTCTCTAAGCAGGTAGTGTACTAAAATAAGTTAAAAAAAGGTATACTTTCAGATGCCAATATTCTCAGTTATGCTGGAATCAGTATTGATAACATTAAACTGTCACTTCAACAAACATCACAGCCACAATCTGCAACTCTTAGAAGAGTGATGAAATCGCACCGTAATTAATTACCTCGTTTCACTTTGCATTTTTATATATTGTTGGGGTGCCTTACATAACCATGCAAACTTAACATGGTAGGTTCCAATTTACTTGGCAGGACATGGGCTTACTCAAAGAACAAATGCAACAAAAGATAGCTTCAATGAAAAAAACAAAACAAAAGGAAAATCAATGAATTTGCGTACTCATATTCTTCAGGTTTAATTTTCTTTATTTCATCATACGTCATCCCATCACAGATGCCAGCGTTTATTTCATCAAGTGCACGCCATTGTATCTAGAGGACACATGGAAAACATGCCAGTGTCAGGTTTGATAGCTAAAAGTTGAGACAAAATTTTCTTACTTGAGTTTGGTAATTTCCTAGAGCAAACTGACCTTTGGAAATCCAATGATAGGCTGCGCTGTTAATATTGACCTCTGGAGTGTGCTAGTCCATATCTGAATCAAATGCCACACACAAGTTCAAGAAAGAAGTTTCTTTCTCAATTACAAGTGATAAAAAGCATACTTACAGATGCAGTTCTCTCAGACGCTAGCCGCTTTTCTATAAAGCTGGCAAGTTTCCTTGAATAAAGCGATCCGGTTTCACTGCACACCATTTGTTCCATCAGGTGGAAGCAAAGGAGGTCTCAAATATGACATATGCAAGCAAGCATGGAACTACTTTGTCTGTAGTCTGTACATTTTGACTACCATTATCTGGTTGTTGCATGCTTGCATTGATATATTCATGAATAAGATTAAAGGTATTCATTCACCATGCATGCTGTAACCCCTCATATTTTTTCTATTTAAGGTAAAAAATAAGAGCCCCCAACCCTGCTATATTCGTTGCATGTTACTGTCACATTTAACACTAGATCAATCTAAAGTCAAATAGACAGCTTTGCATGCTCTGGAGATATCGCATGATAAAAAGTTCATCGAAGACAACTTGAGAAACATTAAGATGCTCAAATATACAGTGCAAAAAAAAACCTTACATCAACTAGAGAGATGCATATCCACTTGTATCTTCCAGGATATGGATTATCCTAACCATGCAAAGTTCTTTGAGATTTGTGCAAGGGCATTGCAATGAATTGAATATGGTTGGATAGTTCAAACTTTGAAACTTGCATTGATCATGAGGCACATTTGGTGGTGGAGATAGTGCATGCAGATACGAAAAGGTATTGTTTAAGTAAAACATCATGTCCTACATGAAATAGATCTAATAAGTAATATTTTTTAATAGTTGGCGAAGTTTTTCTGGAAGACAAGATTACTGAATATTTGGACCTTATCATGCATTAATCTCTAATGTAAGATTATACACTAAATGTAATGTAGTGCAGCAGCAAATATTGGATGGCAGAATTGAAGGAAACACAATTAAAGACCTCAAAGATGAATCTCCACCAATCCGTCCTCTGACATTATCTAAACTTTCACCGTGTCTAGTTAGCAGGATGGGACGAGGTGTAAGATGACAGTTCACCTGTAACAGTACACGACAGTAAACATAAATTTACCTGTAAGAACATATTGGGATTAAAAAAGCAAACTCCCATACCCAATCCCACTACAATCTCTCTTATCTATACTCTCATTCCCATACACAACTTTTGTCAAAGGAACACAAAAACAATGAAGTGCATTTCAAGTACACATGCATTTTGTATTATCAGATGCCAACAAAACTCACCCAGGACAAAAAAAATACAAGCATGATGTCAACTTGAAGATAATTAAACAAGGGAAGCAAGAAGTTAATATTGATACGTAAGAGACAGTAATGAATAGCTCAAAAGGTACACATACAAAAACAATAATAGCTCGAAGGAAGTCCCCTGAGACTCAATCCGACATTTATTGAAGAATGTTTAGCAGATTAGGGGGGAAAAGAGAGTAAATTTCAAAATAATGTGACTATTTTGTTAAAATTATCAGTATGCTGCATCTTTAGCTAAACATTTCAAATAGATGCAACAATCTGGTTTATCAGAAAACTACAACTTTATATCTCTGAAAAATCACCTGTCATACACGTATGAAATACACATGCTGTCGCAAATCAGGCCCGCATGTCATACATACGTAGGGGATATAATTGCAGTTTTTCCAATAAATTTGTTTGCTAGAGTTGCAGTTTTGTGAAATACCTTGTTAAAATTGTAGAAAAGTGATAGTTTTGACCAGATAATTGCAGTTTTGTGAAATTTACTAAAAAAAATCTTGTTACAAATATTTAGAAAGCTGTGCAGCCAATTTAATACACCGTAATGTAGATAGTCTTTTAGGGGAAACCTGAAGTTAGGGGCTTGAAACATAGAATCAATAAACAGAACCCATATTAGAATTTTATAATTTGTCCAACACATAGATTCAAGGGAAATTGCAATTATCTATACAAAAGAAGTTCAGATATTGATAATATATACATACCAAGAAGAAAACAATCCGGCCAGGCAAGTAACCACTTATATCATTGATCTGGATGAAAAAAAAAAGTAGGAGGCTAGATTACAATCTTTGGAAAATAATGACAAGACTTCAAGTTAATGTTATAATATCTGTTCATCTCACAACAGTATATTTGCCTCTAATCCACATAGTAATATTTTTGTGTAAAACAAAGGGAGAAACAGTTCTCGGTTGTGTGCTCAAGTTGGCAATAGTTATTACAAAAGAGAAGAATTGTCAAATAGAAAATATAATTTTTAGTGACAATATTAGAGGCAAGCTAAATTTTGGATCTATTCAACATATATGGGGTTGGCTGTTTCACACATACCTGCAATTGGCCCCCAGTCCCACTGACCATATCAATCATCTTAACATATGAGCCTTCTTCCACTGGTTCGTATACCTACAGAGGTTTTTACTTGTTCACATTTAACTTTTCCAGATTATGTTAAAAAAAATCCTAAAGGTTACTACAGAACAAAAATTAGGAATTATTAAGAACCTTTTCATAATAGGCCAATCTCTCTTTGAAATCTCGAACACCAGCTTCAAAATCTGTCCTGTAACAAAGAAACAACAGGAATCAAATCCAAATTATATTGATGAAGATATACACAACAAAGTAAGACATCTCACTGTTCCGCATAATCAGGACTTCGTTGAACTTTCAAGCGCATATTTCTCTCGAGAACATTTTGGTCATTACATATTGTTTCCAAAAAGATGATCTGTAAAGTAAAGGGAAATACCCATGTGTTAAAAACAAATCAACAAGTTCCCAAAGACCCACACCTAGAAAGTAATAGCTTAAATGATTGTATCTAACAAATCAACAAGTCCCCAAACACCCAAACCTAGAAAGTAGTAGCTTAAATGATTGTATCTATCACCATGGATGCATATAGTGTAAATCCTAACAGAAAAATCGTTTGATGCCATTGTCATCACAAAATTAACCAGATATGTAAATGCGATCATAGAAACCTATATTTCACATGCCATATCACAATAACAGCATGAAGTAACCTTCAGTCCTTTGAAACGTTCACATCAAATGCTAGTAATTTTTTTTTAAAAAAAAAAACAAATTTCCCTCTTAAGAATGTACAAACTTTCCTCCTTGTATGCCCCACACAGTTAAATGTCAGATTACACTATGGCCAATCTTGAACAAGTTCGTCTAACTCTTCCCCGCAAAGTCACAACAAAAATGTTCACATGACTACAGATTCACTAGTCTGGGATTCCATTAGGATGGTAACAAAAGGAAGTAAGGAACATAAAGGGCCTAATTGTTATAATTGGTCTCTGCAAAGTGCCAACAATTGCCATTTCTCGAACTGTCTCATGCATTCTAAGTCTGTGTTAACCCGGCAAGAACCGGAGAGAGTTTTGGCCAGAGATATCTCTGCATGATAAGTCCGAGTTCATTAGATGTTGATGGTAGGATGAGAAGGTTGATGCTCTGCATGGTTCTAGCCATGGAAAATAGAGAAGGGTTAACTTGCTTTGCATGACTTATCATACATAACGACATGAAGGGATAAGCTGTTGTCTGTGAGCCGTATAAGACAAAAGTCTGCTGATGTCTCTGTTCATGTGGTGGCTTTCGTAAACTGGTTTTTTACAGGAATCTGTTCCTATAAAGAAACTAGTCTTAGCATCACTATACTGAATGCTTAGACAATTGGAGTTGACTTTGTTGTCACCGAGGGCAGTATCTTATGAGAATGTACAAAAAAAAAATGTTTGAACCATTGAGTAGATTTTCTTAATTTCTGCTGACTTACTGTACAAGAGTAAGCTTTATAAGTGCGCCTTTTTCTGTTTATATTCATTATAGGTACAATTATTAATTTAGGAGACTAGCACATGAACAAAAATGCTAACAAGGATTAGAACAACATTTGCCCCTAGAGTACATTTGCAATGTGCTACCTGTCACTAATAATACAAAGTGTGATATTTTTTCGATGCTGGCAATGTGGCCGGTGGATCATTGTAATGAAAAGTGTAAAGGTGATACATAAATCTAACCAATTGAACAAAGAATCAGTTATTACTGCATGGACAATTTCCAACAATGTCAATGGTGAGAAACAAATGATTCAAACAACCAAGAAAAAGGCAATGAACTGCACACTTATTCAGTTATACCTTACACTTGCCTTCCGCCATTTTCATCAGCATATTTCTCCGGTTTCTTGTGCTGTTTGTGGCATCAAAGATACCTACCTATGGACCAGAAAGAAGAATAAATTATCCAGCGTAATAACAGAATATCACCAAAACTTCTAACTTACCTGACCACCTTCCTGCATCCAAGATAGCATATCCTCCATTGCTAGAGCCGCCACCTGAAAAATACAAGAAAGATTTAGCCAAAAAACAAGAAAGGAACAAAAAGTGAGTACCACCCCATATTCCACATATAACTTGTCTTAGAGTACAGTTACATATTTTTAGTTTGACCATTAAAATTTCCAACGGTATCTAGACTAGCCACTTGAAGTTGTATTACTATATTCATGATGAAACATACTATACGCTTAAAAAGCAATTCATAAAAAAAAAACTGCTGGTATGTTATTTGTTTATTACTTTCAGGTAGCAGAAGTATGAGTGCACTGACCTCATTGCGTGCCTCCACACCTTCTTTGTTGTCTCCACGGAAGAAATCAGCAGTCTGCTCAACAGAATTAGATGCACTTAGAGAAGTCTTGAAGAATTAAAATTAAAGCATACAACATAAAGATTGTGGTTACCTGATTAATGCCATGCTTGAGTCGGCGGTACTACAATTGAAACGTAAGAAAACATGATTAGTGGCTAATACCATGAATATGAGCAATCATATAAAGAAACAGCTTAAGCTATTGCGCACCTTTCCAACATTGAAGTGTTTTGTTTCATGACCTAACCATCGAAGGTACCTTGTAAGCTTAGCCGCTGTAAAGGTCTTACCACGAGCTGGCAACCCAACCTAGAATGGCAGCACAATGGTTACAGAAGAACTGCAAAGGTAATTTGAAGCATAATAAAGTATTTCAACACATTGACAGAAATTATTCATTCTTCATATGTTTCTATTTCTATATCTATACTACATAAGAAGACAGCGGTGGTGGTTGGTGGTTCTGCCACCCCAACACCACCACCACTGATATGTGGGACCACTGAAGAGGAACGTTTACCCATTCCCTGATTCCATCCCACAACCTGCTGCTAGCAGGCTAGCTCCCAGACTATTTCCTTTCTTTTTTTTTTCTATTTGCCTTTTCAGTTTACTAGGAGGCTAAGAGAATGTCTTGACGAACCTCAGATTACGTTATATGGATCAAATACAGTTTTCTAGGCATATGGATAATTTATATCGATTGGTTGCTTATCAGTTGGGACAACTATGTAGCTGGACATGTAAAAAATGATACCAACGATGACCATAGATTTGAGAGTGAAAATAATTTTATTTTGCTACCATGTATGATGGGTTATTTTCTTAAAAACCCACTGCAACACACAGGCATTTAGCTAGTTTGAATCTAATTTTACAGCTAACTCGGGCACACATGTGCAGTATATACTTATTGCGAGGGGATGTTACAATTTATTTTATCATTATTAACACAGAACAATATCATTTTTGTCACTAACGAATGTTATTCTTCATATGTCAATATGGTTTGACTGTTACAAAATTCAAAACTAAATAAGAAAAAGAGAAAATACTTATAGAAATTCACAACGAAATATGATAACTATTGTAGGATCAGATTCAAACAGAACAATTAACCATTTGTGAAGATTTTTAAACTGCGTTTTTCTTAAAAAAAAAAACTACACTAGGAGAAACATGTCAAGTTTCTTCAACTTTTATGGAATACTATTAAAATTTAACAACGCTACTAATTCTGTTTGAATTTTGAAAGTTGGTCAAAAGTGGCCCTGATTTTTCCGGCGTGTTATGCTACATTTCTATGTCAAAACTCTTATGAAAAAAACTCAAAAGGAACGTTTTGAAGAAAAACTGTATCACGTTCAAGCAAAATAGTTGTTTTTTCACAAATATTTTACACAACAAAAACTTCTAAAATATACTAGAAAAAATCCTATCAAATTTCTGCATATTCTGTGGAATATCCTTAAATTTTCACTACCAAAATTGTTTTTGTTGAATTTCAAAACTCTATCAAAAGTGACCCCTGTTTTTTTAGTTTATGTTAATTGGAACAAATAAAGTATGTTTAATCATTCATGTCTAAACGACACAAATCAGTTAGCAGCCAGATAACTTCCGTGGTTGTTTGGAGGAAAGAAATTTAGTGGCCAGATGTTCTTATACATATAGAACTAAGAGGTTTTTCCTTGGGAGGCAAATGCGCTTCTATAGATTCTGGTATAAATCATCTAAGGAAGTGATCAATAGCCAACAATCCATAACAAATAAAGGTGGAAGATAAAGGAATGATTCATTCTAATAATATGAAAAGTACCAGCACAATTGCCAACTTGCGATCCTCCTTTGGGCCATACATTTGATCAGCTACAGCTGCTGCTGCAACAGCTCCTTCAGCTGCTGGCATGTCCTGCTAGTTACAGCTGTCAGAACTTAAGATGACAGAAAAGGAAACAACATATTTTTGACAAGTACAAAAATAGACAGTACCACCATTCTCAAATTATAGCGTCAGACATACTAAGAAAATCATACTTTGGATAGAACGTCAGTAAAATACCCTCTAATGTTAGTGCAAGAAAAATGAGGATTAGCCATTCCCCAATAGTGGCATACTGGCATTCGAGGATTTACCACCTTACATTACATCTCACTGAAATGTGGGACATGTGTGGTTCTGGTCCAACATGCCATGACATATGACTGGCAAATCATCAGTTGCCACAATTAGGGACTGGCAAATCATCAAATCTATCAACTCAAACAATTTGACACTGAAGTTAGACAAGTGGGCACAGCTGATAAATGCAAGTTGGGAAATATAACCTCACGAATGGGAAAGAGTCAAATATTTCTGACGAAAAGATTAGGTCAAAACAGCAAGTGGTTAAGAATGGAAGAAGCAAACGAAATATCCAGGAGATGAGTTTTTATACATGCAGGAAATAACTTCAAACAAAAGAAAGAATGAAAAGGGGAACACATATCCATATCCTAAATATTTCTAAGCAAATAAGAAAATATGCATTTGATACAGTTGAAGATTTAAGATATGACATAGTGTAGCTTCTTCATATGTTGCAATAATTTAGAAGTTCTAAAATCTACACTTTGGTGGTTAAACCTTTACACATGTTTAACACATATCAAATAACTGAATAGCTCACAACTTCTAAGCATGCACTTGCCATAAGCCCAGAGCTATTAAGGATTCACAATTTAATTATAGTATAAAAAATGATGCCTGGTGCTAAGTTATGGTACAACCTTCGCTTCAGAATCAAACTTGATGTTGCTCATTGAAATTGTTTCATTTGTGGGTCTTGCAAATTCTGGTGAGCCAACACCTCTATCAACAAAGATCGCCCTTTGTTCCTCCTGTGGAGGCACATGTCTCCCATCTGCACCCTATGGCAAAAGTATAAAGCACACATTGGTTATTTTATGTTCATGATGCTAAAGGTAGGCATTGGTAGTAGGATGCACATCCATTATCTGGAGCAGTTCAAAGATATGTCTAAGTGACTTCATGAAGAAATTCAATTTTACATGTGGCTTATGATCAGGCAAGTAAAGAAAGTTGGTAGCTTGTGAAGAAGTCTTAACAATAGCTGGTCACATTTGCAACATGGCAATTAAGAAAAGAAACTTATTCCTGGTTTAAAATACCATTAAATCAATTCAACCTTTTCTAGTGAAAAGAAGAACAGCTAATGTATATACTTGAGAGTTTAAAATGATAATATTGAACGAATAACTTCTACATCAACTCTTCAGGTTGCCTAAATTGCCGCATACTCACTAAAAAGGACATCAGCCCATTTTATAAAGAAAATACCAAATTAGGAGATGATGTGTTACATTCGCATGACTTAAGCTAAAGTTAATTGAACAAGAAAACCTAAGCTATACCTTGTTTTCACTAGCATAGAGGTTCGGGGATGCATCGCCTTTGATCGAGTTGTGCAAAAAGCCCTTTGTGGTATCATTGTTTGAGGAAATCCCCGTAGTCAATAACGAGCGGGGATTTTCAGTCAAGTTAGCTGCATAAACAACATCCGAGCCCATGTTTGGTGTCGGAACTACATACTTCTCTAAATCAAGCTCCAAACCAGAAGCGAAGCCATTCTGCTTGAAGGAACAAAACAAAATTGGCAGAATAGAAAAGGAAGCAGCACCGGTTGTGCAAATACAAACATAGGCAGCAGCTTTGTGGGAAGGCAGTTCTGATAGTACACAAATGCATACTGATCTTGAGTCATGACTTGAAAAAGGACTACTAAACTAATTTATTATACTTGGATATATTTTGCAAAATGGTTCTCATACTCCAAAGCAAACAGCTTTGGACATCAAAGTGAAGTATTTTCATTGGACCAACTTAAATTTTTGGCCTGTTCTCTTATACTCATTTTAAAAAATTACAAAAAAAAATATCTGCTAGTATTCCTTAAGTTAAGAAGTCTCTCAATTCACTTCATCGCATCGTATTTGCTGCTTAGTTCATTACCATTTAAGTGCTTGTAGCTCCTCCCAATGTAAAGGAATTAATATATACCGATGACGCTAAAGGTCAGGCATCTTAAAGACCATGAGAAGCAAAATGCATCAGGACCTCCTAACAGAAAGTAATATATTACAATTTACAAATATATTAACTAAAAAACATAGAAGTGATGCATACATATACTACAAATACCAATCAAGGTTCTGAAATACGCCAGAAATCTTCAACTCCACAAAGTAGAAAACTATACCTAACATACTATGTCTCTAGCATTGGATTGTGAACAACACGCACAGACCTAGCAGTGACCAGCCAAAAGCCCAAAACTGTTTCCCAGACCAAATTTATATAATGTTAAGTGGAAAGGTTCTCTGAGGATTAGGTTTGCGACTTCTTACTTTCTTGTGGTAACACCATAGGATCAACAAAAGTAGTATAAGATAAAAAGACAAGTAACGAACTACAAAATATATATCAGAGAAAAGCAGAGAAACAAAATCAAACCTTGGCCCTGGATTCAGAATCGGCATTCATAATGACATCATGGGCCCCTCGCACCCTCGGCTGGAGATGCTCCTGATGAGCCTTCCAACTAGCAGCTAGGTCAAATGGGGACAAAATTTCTGTCTCCACGAAAATCTTGCATTCAACCACACCTGTCTCATCATTGAATTTAAACAATGCATTCCTAATTTCCACCTCATTACTTCCACAAACTAGTGATCGGTCTGGCCCCTCCTCAACAATGCAATGTGAGCTATTGTCTTTTGGCTTCAATAGAAACTTGAAATCCAGTGTTTCTAACAAAAATAATAACAAATGGCGTAAAAGCTAGTCAGAATGCTCAGAAATTAAACAAACTCTAACTCTCTGCAACTCTGTATTTACACAAATAAAAGAAAAGGTCAGTTAACTAGAATCTAGAGCAGATTAATGATCGATTCACAAATCACTTATTCTTTTCGAGTTAACAAATCCTCACACTACATTGCTTTCATGGAGAATGAAAATTCACTAATTCATGTTATAAGTAATATGTACACCTTACGACTGTACAGCATCCCAATCAAACATTTCTCAATCCAAACTTAAACTAGCATATTTAAGCGGCATGCCACGAGAAATTAGCTCTTCCAAGCTCACCACGACTAATCCTAGTGCTATAAGCAGCGACCAAACCGTACGATCAAACCAATCAACTCACCGCGGTGAGAAGGGACGATGCAGCTGAGCCCCCACAAGGCGGCCTCCTCCTGCTCCATCAGCAGCTGCAAACAAAAAAGAAGAAGAAGAAGAAGCAAAACACATCAAAACTCGCACCAGAAACAAAGTGCCACGCGAACTAGAGGGGGGATCTGGAGCTCACGGCCTTGGAGGGGTCCCACGCGCCGGCGACTGGGTGCGAGCCGAAGACGTGCGGGACGAGGCCCATCTCAGCGAGTCGCGGGCACTCCAGCTTGATGGACACGAAGAGCTGGTCGGACATTCCACCGGAGCTCCTCGCCGCCGCCGCCATCGCCGCCGGAGAGGAGAGAGGGGAGAAAGGAGAACTGTGGAAGCGGCGCGTGGGGGGGAGTCGACGCGTTGGTATCGCGGTTTCGCTGTGGGGCCCACGGGAAGAACGTGATGGTTCTACGCGCAGTTTACGCAAGGGCACGCTGCTGCTGACACAGTAGGTGGGCCCAGCAAGAGGAGGCAATGGGCCAATGAACATATCAGGGCCCCACACGTCAGTGACTTATTCGTCGGATAAGGACAGGCAGGACGCGCCGGCGGAAGCGTCTCACTGGCATGTGGGCCCGGGGGACGAAGCCTAGAAAGCGACGGAGAAAGCAGAAGTCGGCGAACGGCGGCGGCAAAATGCTGTCAAATGGAGCTATCCGCGTGGATTCTCTGCTACGGATTCGCGGCTCGTCGCGGGGGCGAGTGCCGGGGCGTGAAAGGCCAAGCGATCCAGGTAATTCTTGTCCCTCATCAATTCCCATCCGGGGCGAAACTGCGAATTGCTGTAGCTGCCCTGCCTCGCGTGTTCCCGCTGGGCGGTTGTGTGATCAATGGGACTTGATACGGGTGGGTAATCGCCTGGATTCGATCATGTGTGTGTAGTGGGGACTGGCCGAGTGGGGGTTGGGGGAGATTGGTGGGCATAAGTTTGCCGGTGCACTGCAATGCTGCACACAGAAAATAAATGAGTAATTGGGAAGAATTTACATTTCAGAACAGAAGTTATGGTGTCACTATCATCCCAAAAACTATACTTTAACTTGAGCAAATTAGGAGAAAAAGAGATAAGCGGCATTAGGGAGTGGAGTGTTGTTGTAAAATAAAATAAATTTAACTTACTTTCATCTGTGCACAACATGGTGTTTCCACATTGCTACTTCATGGTACTCTTATTTTGTTTGATCTAGGGAGAAGCAAAGGAACAGATAGGTTGAAATTAGTCCCAACGAAATTTTAGAAATGGTCCTGAAAGTGAAAGGTGTACGAAATTAAAGGCTGCATGATGTATGTATATGCATATTGCATAATGTTAACTTGTATCAAAGTCCCAAGAGATCACAACCTGGATGAATAAATTAGGTTTAATACAACTGTTTACAAAATTATCCTGATGACTAGCTGAGTCGACTTGGAGCCAACCTCGGCAAAACTTTAATTATGTATTTTAATCCTATATAATTGTATTTGAGCCTTTTTTCCAATCCTCATCAGATCAATCTGACTTGCTTGCATACATCTTCAGTTCTTGGAATGCTTTCCGGCAACCTTCATCAAACCCACCTGCAAGCTGTGTTTGGTTTGTTGCAATTAGTTACCTAGCACTTTTGTAGCTAAGAAGACACAATACCATTTCAAAGTATTTCATGATTGAGGCGAAACTACCTGATGTATGCGGAAGGCAAAGCGGACACCTTGGAGAAGCAGTTCTTCGTCATTTGTGAATGGGTCGGACTTCAGTGCATTCACAACGCGGTTCATGAATTCTCTTGCTAGCTTCAATGAAGCCATCTTTAGCTGTTTAAGAAAGCAAGAGTATACATCAAACTGAAGGAAACTAGTAAAATGTCTACCAATAGGAATCAGTGATTAGAGGGTAAGGAACCAGATTCCTCTGTGTACCGGGTTGCTCAAACTGAAGACAAGTTAGTAAAATGCAGCAAGCTGTGGTTGCTTACTAACTGTGAATAAAGCTGTCATTAGAAGTATGGATTACATACTTGGCTTATGATTCCAGAGTCAAGCATCCATTCCCACGGGATCTTAAGATCCTTGTATCTTCCACTTGCACTGTCCCTTGCTCGCTCAGTATTATGAATACCTTGTTCAATTCTATAACAGAGTAAAGCACGGATCATGCTGTGTTGTTTGTTCAATATTAGCAATACGACAATTCCTGGTTTTGTTAAATGCACTGTAATCTACTCACTTATCCTGCAGAGCTTGCATGCGCTTGAGAGCCATAGGTGTGGCAACTCTCCTGTCATCGTGGAATGACGATGCTTCTGATTCCAGATTCTTCAGATCTCGGTAGGTGAATGCTGCTTCTCTCATGGTATCTGCTTTCTTCTCTGGCCAGTTTGGGAAATGCTTGAGCACTGCTCTTTCGTCCACAAGGTAAGATAGTTCCCCATCAAGCCACTTCACAAACTCTTCAACATCAGCTATTTCTTTGTATGCCGCATTCTTTACCTCCACTGCCAGGAAGTTAATGAATTCACTCTGATTTTCTACATCTGATTTAATCTGTTGTAGTGACATCATAAGCAGCACATATAAGATAAGAATCGCTTAGCTAGAAAATATGACAGCAAAGCTTGACTTAAAAATTGAGGAATCCAACATAAAAGACTTTTGTTGTAAAGGAATTACCCCCACCCGCAAAACAAACGAATTACTAGCAACCTTTACCACTAAAGAGTTGTGTGCTATCATCAAACTGAAAAAGAATGATGGATGACTATGTTATGGAATAAGGTGGTTTGCATTGTTTTTAAAATAGGAAAGATATTTAGAAAACACTCTCTTATCTATATTCTTTTTATAGAATGGTAAACAGACAGAATGAATATTATGCAATTCTCATGCTCATGTTTGTTGCATATGCTAAATTTGAAAATGATGAAACGATGGATCACCACATATGTAAAAATATAAATGCACATATTTTTAGAATAATAATATTTGTACTTACAGCTAACACATAAGCTGATTTGTTCTCTATCTCCCCGATCATCTCTCGGCTATTAGTAGCTGCCGGAATTCCCATGGATCCAGACTTTGCATCATTTTTGCCTTCTCTTCTAACCAATAACCGGTATAACTCGACTACATCAGGCACCCTTTGCACTGCCTTAGTGCTCTTCAGCAATCTGGAAGGTAGGGGAGGTGGCGGTGGAGGAGGAGCCATGCCTCCTTCCTTTCTTGCATTTACTATTGGTTGGGTGTAGGTTGGACTTGGCGGTGGATTTGGAACCCTTGGTGCTCTTGATCTCACCAGAGGTGCCCTGGAGAATTGCTGCCTGCTGTAACACGACGTGCTGTTGAGATCCATGGCTTCCTTTGCATCATTGTTGGGAACAAACTGCTTTTCCTTGAGGTAGCTGTTGCCAGTGGAAGAATTATCCAGCTTCTTCCAGAGCATCTTTCTATCAGTATCCTGGCCTTCAAGGGAGGATACTTGGCCTTTTAGACGACTGACTTGATGTCTCAATTGCTTGTTCTCCTCTTCCAGACTGCGGTTCCTCTCGACAAGGCCATGGAGCTTGCTTCTTAGAAGTGCAACACATGCATCTCCCTCCCTCATCATATCTTCTTCATAAGTGGAGGTGATCTTCTAGTATGGTGGTGCTGATTCCTCTCTTATAATTTATATATATGGCTCCTACTTCCTCACTACTCACTAGTATGACTCTATTGATAATTAAAGGAGATGTTTTAAAGTGAGACTCCGTACAATTGTGTTGAACCTAGCCATGAAAAACATAAAAATATGCAAGAAATAATAGGTGAGCATTTAAGTTAGGTAGGAGCTGTTGCTAGGGTAATTACTTCTCCTTAAAGTGATTGCTATTGGTAGCTGTCTTGTCTGCGGAACTTCACCGAAGAAAATCCAGTCATATGAAAGCTTTACATTGCATTTTTACTTTGTGCCAGTTCTATTGTTTCATTTAACTTGACATCTATTTTCCTAGAATCAAGTGCAATTTCAGTTCTCTTAGCAGATTTTTTTAAGATTAGACTTACAAAAGCTGGTAAGCTATTCAACTCAAACCAAGAGGGAAGACTGATATTATTTCTCCTTCTCTCTGGAATAACGTTTTTTGGTTCCATTGAATGATATCTTCTAACTGATCCATTTCAAAAACAAATATAGCTTGATTATGAGGTTTCTTCTGTCTCAAACCGTGTAAAGGGAACTCAGATGGAACTCCTTTACCAGCCAGGCTAATAAGACAAAGTCAAAATTAAAGTAGAGAAAAGGAAAACTGGGCCAAAAAAAATAATAAGGAAAAGAAAATCTGATGTGTCCATCTTTTAAAATATACTAAGATGTTCCATACTTGTATTCCTTCAACATTTTAACTCTTACTGCAGGAACCGTAAATCTTGTTAGGGTATTTGTTTCTCACCATCAATAATAATCCTTACTAGTAGTTGTACACCTTGTGAAAGTAATGCATGCTTCTGATTAAAATGAAACCTTCCCCCTGTTTATGAACACAGTTGGGCGTTTGCTTATGTTACCTAATGTGGGCCATAGCAGAGCCCCGTCATTGATATATTAGGTTTAGAAAAAGTAGTCCTACATATTAATGCGCTGAAACTGTTGTCAAAGATGACAACGCAGGAAGAATATGGTGTAAAGTGAGATAATTGTAAGCTGACATCAAGAGGTTAACTCTGTAATGTGAGATAAGTTATCTGGCTTAACATTCCCTGATGACCGGAGAATTGTTGAGTTCATTGATTCACTGTCTCAAGAGTCTTAAAAACATTATCAAATTTCCACGCTTGGTCACTGTATACTTGCTTGTGATTAGATTGGAATGCATAATGTACCAGAAGGAACCGGGTGACCATTAACCAAAGCTGTACGTGCTTTCAAAGAAAGAATCATCACCTGATTGATCAAAGTGCTGTGGTACTACATATTTGCAGTGCGGTTCATGAACTGTGTAAGATGCTTCATCAAGATCTGTTGATGGACCCATGGTTGCATGTGCCATTGTGCTTAATGGTGTATCTACAGTGGCATTCATAAATGTGAGGAACCAAAGCCATCTAATTGCCGGTACTGTAAATGGCTGTACGTGGGACTCATCATTTTTCAATTTGTATATCGATAAGGTCATCCACCACCGATTCTCCCAGGTGAGCAAAAAATGGCAATGCCTTATATTTATTAAACATTCAAACTGAAACCGACTGTCAATAATCAGCAGCATTTTCTGTAGGTGTTTTGCACGCCAAGATGGAGTGAACACACATACAGCCTGGCATGTTTTTCTTGTTAACAAAAGTTTTACCAAACATAATTACATCGGTGAAGGCAACTTGATACCTGCCACGGAAAAAGTGAGTTTTACTCCAGCTAAACATCGGTGCGTGGCTGTGACCGGGATGGCAACCCGTGTAGAAATGTGGGCATTGTGCGCATCAGCGTCAGGCTTTTCCAGTGAAGTTTGGGCGGTGCTGGATCTGAAGATTGTTCTGGCTTGGCTACTGGTGTCAGAGACACAGAATATACGAGATTTCTTCACGAAAGGTGACACCCTTGTATTGCATCAGCTCGCCGTTCATCTTTCGGTGAGTAATCCCATCAACTGATTTAGAGCACAAGAAAGCCTCGTCTTACCATCATCTGATTAAGATGACAAAGACTAGCTACATGCCATTGAAAGAGAATAAGTGAAAACCAGTCCATTGAACAAACCTACTCTTGCTTAGCCAGCAATGCAATGCTGTCTGCTGACTGTTAAATGTATCCTACATTCTGTTGGACCTCATTATCTAAAAAAAGAAAAAAAAATTGTTGGACCAGGAGAGGACTCACTACGTGCATCCTACCTGTTGTTCTTCGATTCTCAGTTATTGTTTTATCATGTACTACTCTATCAGTTTTATATTGTTTTAAAATATAAGTATTTCTATGATTCAAAATTTATATCACAATGTAAGTATTTCTGGGGTATTGATTCCGATGCACAAAAATCCAAACATTTTCAACCAAAAGCTTAGAAGGAATCAAAGCAATTCAAAATTTGACCGATAATGTAACTGAAAAGGATTTATTTTTCTCAACCTTAATCTTTACTTAACGAAATTGTTTATGTTTTGGAATTGAGGGAGGGAATGTGTTTTAAGATCGTAGTCTACCTTTTTTTTCTTTCTGATTTCTTCTTTTTGTCGTAGGTTGTTTGTACGATCCAACAGCTACCCGGGACTTTTTGCTTGACGGAACACACCTGTGTCTCACATTCTCAGTTTCTCACTGTCTCATATGGCTTTCAGGCTAGGGCAAATTGTCAATGTGGGGGCTCCGATCACATATGACACAACTGGACCTTACCGACAGCGAGGTCCAGAAGAGAAATCCTTCGGTGATGACTGATGATGAAGTAATTAGCAGAGCTGACGGAGACACGAGAGTAATTCTTGGGTGATGACTGATTATTACGGCCTTAATGATGGAAGAGACGCATGGTTTGGTGCCGAACCACTGTGAGCGGAAGGACGGGAAAGGGAGCAATGTCGCCGTCCGTCTGTCCCACTCGCCGAGCAGGACCGGTCGCCGGCCAGCCGTTGCCGGGACGCACGCCGGACGCGGAGGTGGGACAGCCGCAACAGCAACCTGCACTGCTCCGTGCTTAATCACCGACACATATGCTGGCTGCATCTGCAGTATTTCTCCAAGGCTGCTGCACGCCGCACTTCTTTGTTCTGATTTTCTCGTAGAGTAGTTGATGGATCCATACACAATATAACCAGTACTAATGATTTAATGATTGTTTTAGACAAAATTATGGAAACTGGGTAAAGGTCCCATTCACCGGAATTCATGGGGAAAACGTTTTTCTACCCTTTCCACGATTTAGTTGGGCAAAACGCCGAAACCTTGTCACCAAGACGCCAGCCAATGCACCGACACCGATTTGGAATAATTGTTCTCGACAATATTATCTGGATCGATAATACTTTATTTTGTACAAGGTTATTGTAAAAATTTAAAAACTTTGACTAAGAATAACATCCAAAATATTTGCCTTGCAGATTTGAATACGATATGTGTAGATCAATCTTAGAAAGTATTTCAATAAATCAAGATATGCCGGCCCAATTTTACGGATGTGCTTATAGGGGTAGGGGTGTGCGTGTGTGCGTTCATAAGGGGGAGTGAATACACGTTATGACTTATGAGCGCCTACGTTTGTAGTTTGTACTGTGTTTCTAAATAAATAAATAAATAAATCATATATGTATTGATATTTATATATATTGTAATAAAATATAGTGGTCAAAGTTGTTTATAGAGACTGTATTTTTATTCAAAATGACAATATTATTAACTGGAGGAAGTATATAATATCTTGACAACTAAAAACACATAGATTGTGCGGGTAGGAGCAGCCGGCCTCGAGTTGCTAGGGCGAAATTCTAGACTATTCTATCAGGGAAAAACTACAGCTGAGGTCCCTTATCTTGTCGTCGGATTACAAAATCATCCCTAAACTGAAAAACTAGATATAACATGCCCCTTAACTTACAAAACCGGGTTACTTTGAGTCCTAAAGCAATATTGCACCCGGTTTTGTCCGACGTGGCGTTTTGATCCGGTCTTCACTGCTAAGTCGACAAGTTGGGTACTTCGCTACTCTAAGTTTTTTTTTGAAACCTAAGCCAGCTAAACTGGTTTTATATTAAGTAGGAGAGAAACGGTACATAATCACCGAGGGTGACAAGAAGTAAAAGGAAAAACACAGGACATCCTGCTACATCAGAACTTGCTAAGGTATTATTATTCTCGCAATGTCCTTAGCTCCACATGCATACCAAAGCTTCACTTCATCCAGGAATTTCGCCAGAAGCATTGAGAGTTCTTTGCCTTTGAAGATCCGCCTATTCCTTTCGCACCAAACTTCCCAGCAGAGCAGCATATGCAGTGATCGCATTCCTTCCGTCTGGTTCTTGTCTTGCTGCAGTGTTCTCTTCTCCCACCAATCAATTAGCCTCTCATCTGGATTATACACCGGGAGGACATTGTTTTGCTCCATCCCCGCAGTTACTTTGTCCCAAATTTCCCGTGTGAACGGGTAGTCCTTGAAAAGGTGTTGCGCCGTCTCTAAATTCCTGTAGCATAGCTGACAAAAATAATTGTTTGGTCACTACCTGATTTGTAGACGATCGGCTATCCAAATTTTGTTTTGCAGCAGCAGCCACACGAAGTTCTTGCATTTGGATAGCGCCCATGCTTTCCAAATCATGCTGGCAGCCCTCGAGTCTTCGCTACTCTAAGTCGGCCTTGAGCTTGTGCGCCGCCATGTCTAGGTCCAAGCCAGCCTCAAGCTCACCCGCCGCGCCCTAGCTCCAAATTGCCGTCATCCATACTAACCAGCTTGCTGACTGAGCAGCGAAGATCCTAGTCAAAGCGTCACGTGGGATAAACCTGGGTGCAATATTGCCTTAGGACTCAAAATGATCCAGCTTTCTTTGTAAGTTAAGGATGCATTATATCTAGTTTTTTGGTTTAGAGATGATTTATAACTCGGCAACAAAGATGAGTGGCCTCAGATGAAATATTTCCCTACGTCAGATAGACGAGGCCGTTGAACGAGAGGTTTGGGCGCCATCAGTCCTCCCTATATGCCCCTAGCAAAGCTTTCAGTTGGAAGCCCATACAAAACCCACCTGGCGAAAACGGCTTGCAGGCCGTGCGAAATCGACCTATTTTCTCCTTGGGCTCTAGAGCACGGTGCTTCATCGCTACCCCTGTTGTGCCTCCATCGCGTGCATGCACGGCTGCATCCAGGTGAACAAGCAATATGAGATTCACACACACATCAAGAATTCATGCGGCGCCTGACTGCCTGTACGTCCTCTGTTTGCTTGCGCATGATGGAAGAAAGTTAGCGCGTCAGGAGACACAAAGGAGCTGGGCCACTGCTGCTGCAGTTTTTTTCCCTCTTCCGATCATAGATCGGTTTGCATCGCCCACGCTGTCGTTCCATCGAGATTAAGAGTGACTAGACGGGTTCGCGCGGCGTGACGCCACACAAAAGTGTGAACAAACAACTGTGATTCTAATTTGGTGTGTGCTTAACAACTGTGATTTGTGTATATAGGATTGAGTTAAAGTCTGATCGTCTTTTTCAAAGGTGTGTCTGTAAGAAAAGCGTGCTTAGAGGTGCTTATGTGACAGCTTGGATGAATACGTTTCTTGCACTGTGTGCTCAGTTCGTGCTTGTGTGGCAATCGGATAGGTATGTACGTGGCTTGTATTATAAGATTTTTTAATGGTTTGCACTGTATAAGATTGCGTGGTCAGTCTGAGTCCTTTCGTATAGTTAGTTTTGTGCTCATACATACATACATACATACATACATACATACATACATATATATATATATATATATATATATATATATGTATATATATATATATATATTCTTATCCAGATTCATCGAGGTGTTTATTTGGATGGTGTATGAGTTACTCCCACCGTTTTACAATGTAAGTCATTCTAGTATTTCCCATATTCATATTGATGTTAATGAATCTAGACAAATATATATATATCTAGATTCATTAATATCAATATGAATGTGGGAAATGTTAGAATGACTTATATTGTGAAACAGAGGAAGTAGCTTATTGCATGAGCATATGTGTTTAGAGGAAAATCAGTCTGCTTGTGAGTGAGTATATAAGTGCAGGTCTTGCTAGAAGTGGTAAGCTATACAATATTTTGGTCAGTAAATTATATATATTTCATAGGTTTCCATATGGATTGTTTGTGTACCAACTTTTATTTAATAAGTAGTATTGATTGGAGTAAAGCAATTCATGTCTTACTTTGATTATTCGATATAGGTCAATATATATACATCATGTTTCTCGAGTCATTGGTGGATATCTTGCATACGCGGTAGCAATTCTGCTTGTTTCGGAAAGACATGGTTAATTGAGATTGTTAAGGTGCAAGGGCATTCAGCTTTCGAGGCGTGCGATGCTGAAGAAAGTGCTGCTGCTTTGTTTGTGATATCTTTGCAACATTCTCACAAAGTTATTGTAGATGATATACACTGGGGGTATCGCCTTAATTATGAAGAGATCTTCAATATTGCTAGACAAGAATTAGATACACTGTTACTACTGAACGTGATGATCTCCGAGTTCTCCGTAAGAAACTGAAAAAAGGTTGGGTTCATGCTTTGGATAGTTTGTCTTATGTGGAAGAGACATGCAAAGAGATCTGTAATGGTAATTATGGAGACTCTAGTGGATCAACAATTGAACCAATAGCAGAGGATGTTGTGTTATATCAAGTGGATTGTCTGCGAGAGTGGACTCAGTGTAAAGCTGATATGGGGATCGAATGCATCAATTATTGATATTGCTGGTGGGTTAGTATAAGTTTAGATTTGATTTCCATGTTGGGGTTGTCGTCTTGATGAAAACTTCTTTTAGTTTTATCCCTTTTTTTTGTAAAATTATTTAAACAATATGTTCCACCATTTAAAATATATATAGTATAACCACCTAGCTGGAGATTAGAAAGGAACGTTTTTAGTAACGATCTTGTTCCATGTATGGTGTAATAGTATTGTGCTATATATGGTGTACAAAAAATTGTAGAAGTTGTATTTTTCAAAGTAAAATAAGTTGGTGCCTGGTCACGTAACGCAATGGATTGAGCAGCAAGCTTTACTTAAGCAGTATTGTCGTAGTTCTTTTTTGATATAGATGTTGTAGTACTTTCAACAGGGTGACATAATACTACATTATGCGTCATATATCTAGTAGTAATTTTAACACATAGAGTTTTGGTATAAAAGCATGCTGCATGTGATGTACATATGAAGTGATAGCACAGCTTGATTAACATAAGGACCATCTGCAGTATTAATAGATTTATCAACATCAACTCCAAGCAAAGTGAAAGCAAACAACAAATTATGTGACGTATCTCATAAAATGATTGCAATGGCTAGAACCATCAAAACACATGAGCTCTCTCAGAGGATGGGGCCATTCCTTGAAAACGGGCAGCGAAACACACCCTCGACAACAACACTTATTGTAAACACTTAATTATTCCAGGCGGGGGCTTGTTCTGGTGCGTCCTTTCATAATACCAACAGACAACACAACATCTAGGACAACAGTAATCAGGACCCCCATAATAATAACGACCATGATAAGAAGCTATACACAAGCAAAAAAAAAAAGAGACCACAATAAGAAAGTGTAAAAAAAAGTAATAAATAGAAAATCGTAAAAAAAAGTGAAAAAGAAGTACCTTTAAGCTAGAAAATCAGCATGTCCTTTAAAAAAAGAACGAACAAACAAGTAGATATGCATGAAGAGTTAACTGAGAAAATATGCCCTAAAACACATAATAATACTTAAATAAACAACATACAAAAACTTAAAGGAAAATAAAATAACATACCTGGATACGACGAAGCCGGCGGTTATTAGCCAAACGCCTTTTTAACCAGATAGAAAATGCCTCCATACGAGAAATACGTAGGAAACCACATGTTAAAAAAAGCGGTAGGTGAACAAAGAAAACTATCGAATGGACAAAACAATAGGATTAAGGAGAGGAAAATTAGTAACCACGCACAAGAGAAGGACGATAAACTATGGATTAATCTGAGAGTTGCTAACGAGTAGGATAGAATCAACGGAATGATGCTCAAAAGAGGATTCTAAAATGCAAAAAAAAAGTTTCGACAAGGAAAAAAATGCAAATATTAAGAAATTTATTAAAGGAAAGTAAAGGAAATATAGAACAAACCTAAATCGCGAGCAAGGAAACCGAAACGAGAACAACATCTTATTGCCACATGGTGCTGCCTTGCAACCGATGATGAAGACATAACGAGAGTGAACCGAATAAAAACAAGATCGAAGAAGTCACAACTACAGAATGAAGCTCAACCTGCAACGAACAAATTAAGTAAACAACAGTTTGAGCCGTGAAGAATTAGCAGAGCAAGCCACAAAGGAAATTTAGAAACAAAAACCACTAACCAATACCGACGGAAGAAAGCACAAGCTAGCATATATGCGGAAGAACGTACAAGGAAAAATCTAAGGGAGTGTTTGGCTAATGGGATAGGGAAATGATTTCCCACCCACCAAAATACATCTTTAAATCCTAACCATTTATTCTCCCCGTTCCATTTAATCAAAACCTTTCATTCATTTCCCAATCCCACTCCTCATTTCCCATTATCCAAACATACCCTAAAATCTTCAAACCAGTCAGGAAGTGAAGCTCTCACAGCATTTTGCGCTGGCGTGGACGCTCCCGGGTCATGACACGTCAGCCCAAGCTGGAAAACGGTGGGATTTCGCGAGCTCTCGTGCGGCCGCATTTACTTGATAATTTGTTATAGGTCCCTGGTCTTAATTCTAATGGAGTGAATTACACTTTGGGCCATATTTTATTACCAAAGTTTCACTTTGGACCACCCTGTACATAATCTTTTCGCTTTGGACTAGGTAACTTTACCTTTGTTGCACAATGGGCTACCCTAACTCTGTTCGCTTGTGATGTCTAGCATCTCTTTCGACAAAAGTATGTCATGCATATAGGTATGAAAGTTTGCTGGCATGCCGTTAACAATTTGCTCGAAGTCATCGAAGAAATGAAAATGTGTTTTGGGGTGGTCTATTGTGCAACAAAGGTAAAGTTACCTAGTCCAAAGTAAAAAAATTAGATAAAGGATGGTCCAAAGTGAAACTTTGGCAATAAAATATGGTCCAAAGTAAAATTAACTCGTTCTAATGTTGCGCGTTCTTACATAGAGACCTCTGAATAAAGCAATATTCTATACGAAGAAGCGAAAAATTGGAAAATCGAACCGCGCTCTAAAAACTAGAAGATTAGGGGTGTTTTTGCAAAACAAAAACCCTAGCCCTAACCCCCTTCCCCAAACCCTAGCCGGCACCATTCCTCTGCCTCTCCTCCTCTCTCTCCGCTCTCTCTCCTGCCAAGCGACGGCCGCCGCCGCTGCTTGCCGTCCCCCTCATCCTCTTCTTCCCGCAGTTGGCGACCTCCCCCGCGCACTCCCTACTGCGAGCCGCTGCTGTCGCCGTGCCGTCGTCCTGCCATCGCCATCCTTTCGCTCCCGCCGCCGCATCCGCCAACGAGGAGGCCGGGACTGTCGGATCCGGTGACTCCGGCCTCCTCGCCGGCAGATCCGGCCGCCCTGAAGCGGGGGAAGCCTGGAGCCGCCCTCTACTCTTCTCCCTCTACGCCCGGCACAGCCCCTCCCTCTCCCTCTCCATCTTCATTTCCGGATCGATGGATGCCTGTGATTAGGTGGCCTAGGGCTCATGGTTGACGGCGTTGGTTGATCCGGCGGCGCAGCACACGATCTGGTGGTGGTGCGACGCAAAGGGATCGACACAGTTCAGCCAAGCAAGGCAGATATCTGCATCTCAGCAGCTACATGCGCATCCAACCTCTGCCATCAGGCTTTGTACGGAAGCCTGATTTCTTGCATTCTTCTTCATTAACCTACCCTCTATTTCTATTGGTGATGTAGTAGCAGATTGTTGGTAAGGTACAGGGACGCCCAGTTGCTCCGAAAGATTGTCTTCGCCCGCAGCCCCCTGTTGCTGTCTTGAGCTCCTTGGTCAGTTCAGTGCCTTCTTTAATGTTTGTTTCTCCAATATTTGAAGAGTGGTGATGGATAGAAATAGGAAATGAAAGAAGCCGCTTTTGAGAGGTACATATTGGTTATTCAACTACACCAGAAATTACCCTATTTAGCACAGAGTTGATTGAAAGATTGAGATGTATTTCTTGCTTTCTCACATCTGTTTCATTCACCTGTTGTGTAATGCAATATACAGATAATAAGTTTGTTCTTTAGAAAACCCTTCCTGTAGATGGTGATTAATATATGCTCTAGAATTTAAATAGCAGCTGTCATTTTTTCTGCCTTTCATTCATGGTAGAGATAACATGAACAAAGAGCTGCAACCTTTTAAGTTTTAACCTTTCTAATTCTGATTTACTCACCTTAATTTTTCCCTTAGGTATAGCTGGCTTCAAAACATATATGCTCCCTCTCCACCCATAACAGCAAATTCAGATGCATTTCATCCTTTCCCGCATAGTTCCAGTGGAGCTGAATGAACACTGGGTTTTATTATTTTGTACAGAACTCAAATGCAACTTAATATTTGCATAAATCCAGTATGCATTGCTTCTCCGTGCACCCACAACAATAAGCATTCTTTTTGGTACAATCTGATGATGTTTCTACAGCTTACTGCCTCTGCATCGAAGACCAGCCAATCTGGAAGATTGAAAAAATGGATTGCTTGAAGAACAGAAGAGTAAGTGGTCCAATACCCCATTCTCACTTTATCTTTACATGTGGATCTTGGTGGTGTTGTGATGCTTTACTAAAACTTTGGTATCTGAATCTGAAGCATTGTAGGAGTTCTCTTTGTATGGCTACAACAAGATGGTTGTTGTAGCACTGAGCATCAGAAGTCATTGTTGCCAAACTCATAATCTGAATGGTAATGCGTGAAATGTTTTGGTACTATCAGTCACCGACTCATGGTGCTCTCTAATTTGACAGCAAAATTTGTTGCTGAACAGGACTACTTAATTGCTATGATCTAATTCTTACTATTTCGTATATGATCTAATTCTTGATCATCTGGTGTGGCACTTTATTCTAAATTTTTGAAGCGCCTATGTGTTCACTCCCTTTATTTTGTTGTTTTCAAAGGTAAAACTCCATCATATTTTTCTGATTGTTATGTCGTTTTCAATTGTTATGTTTCAATGTGTAGCTTAAAGGATATAATAAATACTTTGGTTGCAGTAGATAGTTTTTACTAATTAATGTTCATGCTTGCAAAGAAAAAAAATATGTTCAGTTCTGCAAAGAAAAAAAAAGAGGTTGACTCTATATAGAAGAACATAGAGGAATGCATGTGTGTTTTCACAGTGCATGAGAAAATCAGTGAGAAAGTTCAGCCATCTACCAATTCTATCATTGATTGCTCTAATGGCAATATTATATCAAACGAACAGATTGCATTGGTTTCCACTAAATCTAGGGAGAAAACAAATTTATGAAGAGGCATGTTTATTCTTGACAAGAAGGGACCAGTATAGTAGCTCACAACTTCTCTGTCAAGCCAGAACATATACGTTGCTTGTAGATTGTATTTTTGTGCTTAGAATACCAAAATGCAAGTAAAACTTACAAATATAATTACCACATTTTGCTATTACAAACTAATATGGAATGACTGACCACGCTTTTTGTTTTTGTTCCTTAATTTTGCTTGTGGCAAAAAAAAAATGGAGGATTTTCCTTTTGCCATGCTGTATTAGCTTCCCTTTTACCGGCATGCTTGTTTCTTAAAATTTGGTTTGCATCTTCATTTATCTAGGCACATAAATTTGATCATTTCATGCCTACATGTGTTTGCTCTTAGGCCATGATCTGCCAATGGAACTCAACAGCTCATCAGTGCTAATTACCAGAGGAGATAATGAAGTGAAGGTGAATGTTCCATCTTTCTTGATGTTTCCCCTGGATTTGCTCAAGATTTTAGATTTTTTACTATTGAAATTTGGTTCCGTTGATCAATGTATTGTTTCAGTGCTAATGACCAGAGTATAGTGTACTGTTGATATTCTGCTAGAGGTTCAATTTAATTTTTTTGTACATCATACACAAAACATTTTTGCAATGATTTAATGTACAGAAATTTAGTTGGAAGCTCCATAATACATGTCAGTTAACATTTTAAATTTCAGTAGGATTGATCTTTTGTTGTTGAATGTTCTTTTTTTTTCTGTGTGGCAGATCTGCAAACACTTATTTGGATGCATTAAGCTAACAAGTCTTTTCTGCAGCAAAATATAATGCTCAAATCAGTGTCTTAATTATAAGCTGGCTTATTGCGCCTAGGAACTTGGAATATTTTTTATTTCCTTTGTTTGTTTTGCCTTCAGGAGGGTTAGCATCCGGCAGTGGTAGTGCCTCCAGGAGGGGTAGCAAGTCCCCGTTAACCTTTCTCCTGCTGTTCAATCATGTTAGATTACTTCAATTTTTCGTCCGAAACTTGTTCATGGGAAGAAACTTCATGATGTATGATTCGCCTGTTGGGCTCTGCTAAGATTGTGTCTTTTGTTATAGTTCTGGCAGTTCTGAGTCTGTGTGTGTTTTAAAGCCCTGACTAAGTGTTAGGTTAGACCTAAATTCCGTAATATGGTTGGTGAGTTAGAACAACATAGTGGGGACATTGTGGTGACCTTGGTGTTTGGTAGTGATGGGTTGTGCTAAATGGCATACCTTTTTTATGATGTGAGTTTCATTTACAAAATCCCCATGTTTTTTTTTGTCATAGCAGTAGCCTCATGGTTGCTTGCCATGGCAGTAGCATGAGGTATTTCGTTGTGCCTCTGTTTCCCAGGGCAAGAATTGAGCTCATTGTGGCCTTTCTACATTATTAATTAGATTGTGGCATTGCATATAGTACTGGAGTTCTTACTAGAACTATATATCGCCACGCTTCAGTTAAATATAAGAACAAGCCTTAATTAACAATATCATGTCAATTTTGCAGGCTTTGGTTGCTCCTGCATCACTGCTTGCCCATAATGCTGAATTGGAGGGGAAGTGGTGGTTCAGAAGATCGAGGACAGTGAGTGTAAAGTCAGTTACAATGCGATGAACATTAAGTATGAGAACTCGATCAAGGCAAGTGTTATCAACCCAGCTAAGGTGAGAAGATGCATGCTCCAGAACGCAGCCTGAGTGGTTGCAATGGTCCTCACCTTACAGGCCATTGTTATTGAGCAGCCGAAGCCCAAGGCTCCTGTTTATCAGCTAACAGAGGGAACCAACACACTATTTCAGGTAAACTTAAATCTTAAAATCACATTGCATCTACAACAGGCTTGGGTACTGTCCTGTTGCTGAAACTTAATTAGACAATATTGACTATCCAGTTTCAATTGTCATTTGCCCAATAAAAACAGGTTAGCTTCAGAAGATTGGGTTTTTATAAATTGTGTCCAAGACCATGTTCAGTTACATGTATAATTTGAACTTGAACAATTTTGAGTGCATTTTCATTTTATTTGTACAAATTACCGTAGACCTTACTTGAGTGGCATTCAGAATATAGGTTGATGTGCTTATGCTTTCAGGAAAACATCATCACGAGTTGTTCTGTACTTTTTGTACCTTAATCAAGTTCAGTCACGATGCATGTTTTGGATTTGGATTGCTTTTACCTTTACGCACTATATTTGAACAGATCATTCTAATAACAACATGGAGCTTACTTGATGTTACAGTTTTGGAAACTGTAACAAACAGCTGTTGCTATCTAAATTTGATCGATTTCCTACTGATTTGCAGGATAAGCCACATGACATGCTGCCAAAAACCTGGTCATGTCAAGGACAAATCCTGACACCCGGTAGGTGTTTGCTACACATGTCACTCCTATCATTCTTGTTATATTGCAATTGTCAAGAGAAATTAAGCTTTGGAATAAGTGTGGTTATCTGATTTACATATGAGTGTGTTGGGTTGTGGGGATATTCAACAAATAATGGAGTCGCGAGTCTGTACTTGTCAAGAAGCAGCGATAGATTCAATGGAGGCATTAGCACTTGGATGGTCTTACAAGAATTTAGTGCAATGGATATGTGCCTTTTATTCTCTTATAAAATTGCCAGTTTGTTTGTCCTTGGAGGCTTGGACACGAAATGTTTGATGACATTAGGCTTATCATCTTATTGCCTGCTATGCTAAATTGTCATTATGGTCTATTTTTTTTTTCAACTTGTTCTTTTCTCAGGACACTACAAGATATTTGACATTGCTGGTGTTTTAGAGTTTTTTATGGGCTACATTTGAATATCTGATCATTGGTCAGCACTGATTCCATGGGTATTTATTTTTTTTATATCAAGATTAAATTGTATGTTACAAAATCGATACTCTTGTGCCATAATTGTTTTTCGTCCACGCTGCTTAAAAAAAAACCAGTAAAAGCAAATTCTGTTAGCTGAGTAGTCATTTTGCCTGATATAATTAACCACCTGCATCAACGTGAATTATGACAAACTCAACTTTTCTGATGCCATTGGTGCGGCGCGCTAACTCTAGTCTAAAGTCTTCAAACCTACTGGGAAATGAAGCTCCCACGGCATTTTGAGCTGGCGTGGCCATCTCGAGGTCGCGACGCGTGGACGCGTGCTGGAAAACGGTGGGATTTCTCGTGCGTCCGCGTCGGCCCTGGTCATTTTGCAAAAAGTCCGGCTATTTATCGATAATTTGTTTTACGTGCCTACTCATGGGGTTTACATGTACTGGTTTCTTACGAATAAGCCCTCTGTAATCCAAAATATTCTAGGTAAAGAAGCGAAAAACCATAAAATAGGACTGCGCTTAGAAAAATGGAAAGTAAAGGTTTTTTTCGAAAAACTTTTTACCCCTATCGCCCCCTCCCGCGAAACCCTATCCGCCGCCGGCCCGCCGTTCCCCGCTCCTCTCCTCTCTCGCGCGCTCTCCCTAGCCCACGCCGCCGCCTCCTCCTCCTCCTCGCGCCTCCCGCCCCCGCTACGCCGCGCCGCAAACTCTCCTCACTGCGTCGCCGCCGCCGCGCCTCCCGCACTCTTCTAGCACCCAGGTGCATCACCGCACCTCCCTCTTGCCACCGCGAGGCAGGTTCTGGTGGAGGGGAGGTCGTGCCCGCCTGATCCGGCAACCACGATCTCCCTGCCGGCAGATCCGATCACCCGGAGGCTTGGGATGGTTTAGCACATGATGCTCATCGTTTTCTCTATGGGGAAAGACTTTCCTCCCTAACTCTTTTTTTTTGTTCTTGCTCTCCCTCTCTCTCTCTCTCTCTCTAATCTAGATCCAGAGCCGGTGGGGAAGTTGGATGTGACAGATCAAGGCCGCCGGATCTGTTGAGCTCAGCAGCGGCAGCAGCTTGGCGATGATGGCAGCAATGTCTCAGACATGCCCTCCTCCCCACTGGTGACAAGCATGAGGCCACGGCCGAAGCTTATCTTTCGCACCTCCATCAGACCTTGTAATTGTAAGTTTCTAATTTTCTTGACATGGTACGAAAGTCTGATTTCTTGCATCCTTCCCTATCCTGCTCTTTATTTGGAAGCAGATCGTTGCCAAGTTACATGGACATGCCCCTGCATAGAGCTTAGAGAGAACTAAGAGCATACATACATAAGATAGTATTATAATAATTAATAATTATTAGCTAGGGAAGAAGCTCGGCCAACTGCGACCTTCTAACGCAGGGAAGGATGGAAAGGAGTGGCTCCTGCTTGAAGAGCTGCAGGGACAGATCGCCAGGTATACATTCTTCTCCCATCTCTTGGCAGTAAATCATTTCCCTATCACTTACGCTGCACTCCACCTGTTTGTTGCATTGCATCTTAGGATACAGGGCAGCCTCGAGGAATGTGAACCATGGCAATCTGCATAGCCCTTCATTTGGAAGCTATGTCCCCCCAACTATTGAGTACTATTTTTTTAGCTCCACCTCCCTTTTCATTCAAGGTAAAATTGAAAATATCATTTGAAAGTTTGTAAAATACTATGTATTTGGCGTTTGAATCCTACATGGCTGCACAATATTTGCACACTATCTCTGAATTTTGGGTAAAAGTTAGTAATTATTTTAAAGACAAGCTAGATATATGGAGTTTTTAAAATATAACCTCTATTATTAGTTATTGGTTCTCGCTGGTAAAGCAAGTATACAGTTAATCAATCTGGGCACTGCAACCTTAAAGCAAAAGTTTTCCTTACTTAGTTTTCCTTACTTGTTCTTGCTTTTCTTCAAATTAAGTTGAAATCTAAATATTCATCCAGTGATTTTGGAAGATGAAAAACACTCGTGTGTATGATGGAGTTTATAGGAGAGTAGCACAGTTACTTGCAAGACATTTGTCCCCTTTTGAAACAAAGTACTTATTTATTTTATATAGTACAAGATATTTGTTCAGTGAGTAGATAAAAATCCAGTTTGTTGTGAAGGCTTTCAAATGGGCTAATTTTGCACTATATGATTAGCCCTTTGCTTATATATGAACTTTTTTTTTAACATTCTCTTGCTGTTGCTGCTGCTTAGTGACATTTCTCATTCTGTGCTTTCAGCAGGGCAGCTTTGCTCTTATGCAAGTGACATGTTAACACTGCAGTTGTTATACTATAGGCTGTGTGATAGTGTGCTGGTCAAGTCGGACGCATACTAAATGTTTGTGATCTTTTGATGATTAATTTACCTTGTTTTATAGGTGTAGAAATTGGTGGAAGCATAGTTGGTTTGTTTCTGCTCTCATTTCAGGTCTACTTGTCCCGTACTGTTTGCTGCCGGCGTGGACGCTGCTGAGTCCCCACACATCAGCCACGACTAGAATCCTGGAATAGCCGCTACCATATATATGGCGTTTGCTTCCTAGAATCCTTTTGCTTTACATAAAACTGCAATCCAGACTATGAACAAACACTTATGGTTCAAATCCTATAACCCTTAATTATTATTACTCTAAATGTCTACTGCTTTGATATGATCCTTATCTTCAGCTTAAACATATGCCATGAAAAAAAAATGCATGAGGTAACTCTCAGCCAACTATGGTTTGCTATCCTCTAGATGGAAAGGTATAGCTGGGGTACATATTTGTAGCTAATCTGGGATGAGCTACATTTTTTTTCCAGCCTGATTCATGTCTAGCAATGTAAGCTTTATAAATATTTGATCTTAGTCAATCTTGTGGAAATGGTATTATTTTGGCTTAATTTTCCTTTCTTATCTTTCGGAATAACATAGCTTCCTGATCACCAAACTGCTCATGCTCCTTGATTAGAACATAAATGGTTAGTAATAAAAATGTATTGTCCCTCCCCATATCTCTGTTTCCCCCCCATTTTTCCATGGTTGTATGGGTTTGGTCCCCTTTTATCAGTCAAGGACAGGACTGCTCTTGGGCGAGTCAAACAATTTCCACTTAGCACATTCCTTTCGTTATTTTTCGGAGCAAATCATTTTTCTATAAAAAATGCTTTACCCTACTCTACTCCACTACTAACATCTCAACACACTCTGTTTATGTGAGCAAACATATATAAATTATGTGTACAACCGTACCTCTCACATATGTAGTTTTTTATCTGTAGATTAATTGAATATGCACATGAGAATTGCTTGATTAGGCCTGGTGTTATGGTGCTGAATTGCTGATTGAAAAGCTGGTGATAATGTTGGTATCGTTTTGGTATTAGTTCATATTTTAGAAAGGTTGCAAGCTTATTGCTATTATGTTGGCTTAATACTCACAGGCAGATGTTGTTTTTGCATGCTAAGTGATATTGATAGGTGCTAAGCTCTTGGAAATTGTTACAAACCAGAAACATAATTACCTCATTCAGTTTTTCTACAATAAATATTTTTCTCTTGAATGACCAAAATTAATTCTATGCCTTCTTTTTGCTTAATTGTTGATTACACATTTATGCTAAACTAATTACTGCTCTTTCTGTGACATTTTAAGCATCCTCTGACAAGTGTTAGGTAGAGCCTGCTTTCATTTGCCGCAGATCGGGTTTAAGTGTATGATCAACAAAGTGGAACACTCATGGATATCATACCTAATTATTGTTGTTAACCAGGAAACGAACTCGGCAAATCCAGAGGTACACTTCAAATGATCTGGTAGAAATCCCCACCTTAAATTCTTAATACTTTGCAGACCACAACTATCCTTTATCATCCGTTGCCCATGTTTTGCTTATATCTACACATGGTCATGGTGCTTGTTATTTTTCAGAAAGTGTCGACACCTAAGATTTTGAAGCACACAGCTGACAAAGTGGACATGGTGTAACAATTTCTAGAACAAGATGCACCATTTATAGAGAAAAATGTAGTACACGTATTCCCATAGCAGTCCTAGGAGTGCAATTGATTTTTTTACATGGATGGTAATATTTTTTTTTCAACCATGGTGGATGTTAATAATTGAGGGATATGATGAGTTAGATGATATAGATGATAACTTGGAAAGTTCTTTTTTTAATGTAGAAATGGAAGGCACGATACTCTGTTCCTGTGAATGAATTGAGACCATCCTAATGTTGGTTTGCACAGGTACTATATTTCATTGGATTTTTCCTTTTATGCATTGTTTACAGTAGTTGGTTTGACTGAAAAATCAGAGCTAGAAGACCTTTTCGGTTTCTTTTTTCCTCTGAATATGGGCATGCCTTTAAACCATTTTTTTCTTATTACCTATTCATTGCTTTTGTGCAAGTTCAGTTGGGATTTGGATTTGTTAAGCTGCTTGGGTTCAATTCGCAAGACGATTCAAATTTATGCTATTCTATATTTTGTTAAATGAACATGATGGTTGTTAGACAAAGGTAGTTGTTATTGATAGCAATGACAACGCTCCTTTGGAAATATGAGGCATATATAAAAATAAAATGTGTACTTTTGTTTTCTAGATCCTACTTGCCAGCCCCATAGTTAGTGGTCATTTAGTAATTCAATCTATCCCCTCTTATCTTACATGTGCAAGTAATAATTTATTGCATTGCATTTGTTCACAGTTTGATCATGCAAAGTTATAGAAGATGTTGTGGTGGTCTTGCGGAGGTGGGTATCCATTACTGGTGATTAAGGTGTTAAATTTGCTTGGATTTTCCATTGCTCAGAATTGTATATTTCCATTACTGAAAATTGCAGGCAACAAGTTTGATTCCATTGGCCAATATAATCTTTTAGTGATGTTGTGTAAAATGTTATGTCAAATCCATGAGTATTACCCACACTAGAACCAAATTTGTGCCACAATGTGTTGTGATTATTGCTGAGGCATAGAATTTATTTGTAAAAAAAAATGTGTTATTAGCTTGACAGAAGAAAAAAACTACCAGATTACGTTTTATAGGATAAACATTGAACTAATTTGTTTAGTATGACATTTTGTTGAAGCTATCTTTTTCTTAATGACTTTGGAAGTAATGTAGTGTTTCATAACTAATTACAATACCTTCAATGAAGAGATTATCGTCCTAATGCTTTTGTTTCATGTGCACTCTATTGCGTTAAAAAAAGAAGAAGTGGAACCTGAAGAACTTTAGAGGACCTCGCTTGGCCAGTTGGCCTGTCTCTGTGTCATTATAGCTTCTCACTTACAGGCAACCAAGGTCTCTTCATGGATTATTGCTTGTGGATGGCCATGCTCTTCAACAAAATGAAAAGGTTAAATATAATGAAATATTATTTCCTTGATCCCATAAAGCTTCAGATGTAGAGTGTGAGCTTGCTGCCCTGTGAGCTAAAATTCCATTTTTTTACATATTCCTATTGTACTATTCATGGCTGCTTTATAATTGATGTGCTTTCGTTTGTAGAGTGTGCTTGAATTATTAATCAAATAAGCAGATTTACTGTAGGAATTCATGTAAGCATATTTTATAAACATCACTAAACTTGCCATTCATCTGGTCCAAGGAGGCCATCGCGTCCATGGTGTTTTACTCCTTGAGTGGACTGCTTTTACGCTATTATAAACATAAAAATGGATTTATGGAAGTCTAGATTTCCAACTGTAAATTTTTGTGCTATTCATCATCAAAGTTCATAGTGTATATTCTGTTATGTGTAATTCCTACTGTATTGTTCATGATGTTAAATTAATTATAGAAGTTTAATGATGTTTGGACATGTTATATTGTAAATTGAGATTTAAAATTTTCTATGAAGAATAATAAATTGTATATTGCAGATTTGGTACTCTTATGACAGAATGATTTTTCCACTCTGTTTACCTACGTAATGACAAAGGGTGAGTTTGAGGAATAGGGGATTGAGAAGATTGGGAAGATACGTAAAACGAGGTGAGCCATTAGCATATGATTAATTGAGTATTAACTATTTTAAATTGCAAAAATAGATTAATATGATTTTTTAAAGCAACTTTCCTATAGAAAATTTTTGCAAAAAACACACCGTTTAGTAGTTTGGGAAGCGTGCGCTCGGAAAAAGACGTGCTATCTCACTCATTGTCCATGGAACGAACGCATACTCTCCTTTTGATGTCACTGGTGCAGCGCGCAAAGCCCGCGTTTGACTCTAGTCTGGTTTAAGAGATGTAGTTTGCAACTACGAAGAACCAACGGGAGGGTCAAGCTGTCAGGGTTAAATAGCTGGAAAAACAAGAAAACGGGGAAAATGAGAAATGACTGGCATAAAACGAAGTAAAAAGTACGAATTACCCCCTTGAACTATCGTGACTGTTCGAATTACCCCCCTGAACCACAAAACCGGACATTCTTCACCCCCAACTATGTAAACCGGACGAATTACCCTTCGACTCAATCTACAGTGGTTTTGTTCTACGTGGCAGTCCAGTTAGCATTTTATTTTTTTAATGGTGGGACCCATGTGTCAGACTCCACTTTCTCTCTTCCTCTATCTCTCTCTCTTCATCGGTCAGCGGCGCGCACGTTGGCGGCCAGCACGCATGGCGTGGCGCGGGGAAGGGCGATGGGTAGCGACGCAGGGGCATGCTGGCGGTTGGCGCGCACGCGGCGCGCGGGGAGGTGGAGGGGATGGGGGACAAGCGGGCGCCAACGGCCATGGCGGAGAGGCGAGCCATGGCCGGAAGCATCGGGAGGAGGATGGGGGACGGCGGACGGAGGCGCGCGTCAGGAGCTGGAGCGGCGTCGGGAGGAGGACGGGGAGGAGCAAGAGAGGCGGAAGAGGGAAGCGGCGGCGGAGGAGGAGGCCGTTCCCGCGACCGCCGCTCGCCATTTCCTTTGCGCCCACCTTCTGTCCCGGCGGCCTCCCGCCTCAGGTCGCGCCCTCGTAGCCTACCGGTTGCCCGTCGCACGGAGGGGCGGGCGGCGGACGGTGACGCCCGGGGGCGGACAGTGGATGGCGGCGCGTGGGAGCGGGCGGTGGGCGCCGGACGGCGACGCGCGGAGGCAGGCGGTCCCGCGCCTTGAGACGCTCAACCAGGGCGTCCACCACGTCCCCGATGCTGACCACCTGCTGGTGCCTAGCGGCGGCGCCGCCATTGTTGGCATGGCGGAGCAGCTGCGTGGGCGATGCGGACGCCGCCATCACCGGGGAGGTGGGGACTGGGAACGGCACGGCGCGGTTGACGCCGTGGCGGGCATGGCGCTCGCTGATGGCGACGGTGAGGCAGCGACGCGGGAAGAGCGTGGCGAGCAGGTGGTGTTAAGTTCGGCATGCATTTCTTTTTTGTGAGATTTGGTTATTTTCTCTATCGTGGTCTGATACTAACACTAACGAATTCCTTTCCATTTGTCAGTTCCCCGTGAAAATGATGACGCTCTTGCACCTGGAGAAGGAGACCGGGGAGCAGCATACGTAGGTGGTCTCTACGAGCTGTACGCGACGTTGCCGCCATGCGGAGAAGGAGGAGGGGGCTAGAGATGGCCTTATTCTTCATATGCTGTAGCTGGACGAGCGGTATTAGTCGATGCAGTCCTCCGAGTCGTAGGCGAGCTCGCGGAGCTGCTTCATCCACTCTAGGACGAAGTGGTCCACGTTGTTTACGAGGTTCTAAGCCGCATTCTGCATGCTTTGATCTTGGTTGGCTGGAAGCTAGTTTGGCGGCCGTGGCGGAGACGCGGACGGTGGCTGGAGGCGGCGGCGAGGCGGGGCCGTGGCGGAGAGGCAGGCGGCGAGGCGCGCCGACCCAGCTCCGGCCATGGGCGCCGCTGTCCGCGCCGACTGCCACCGGAGCTTGACGAGCTCATCGACCCGCCGCCGACTCCCACCACCCGCCCCCGCACGGCGCTGTGCGCGCCGACCGCCCTGAGCCCGACGGCGCGAGAGAGTGGGGGAGAGAGAAACATGAGATAGATAAAGTATATATATGACAGGTGGGCCTCACAATAAAATGCTGACTTGATTGCCACGTGTACGCCACGTAGACCAAAATCACCGCGGATTGGGTTGAGGGGGGGTAATTTGTCCGGTTTGCATAGTTGGGGGGTGAAGAATATCCGGTTTTGTGGTTTAGGGGGGTAATTCGGACGACCGCGATAGTTAGGGGGGTAATTTGTACTTTTTTTTTCTAAAACGAATTGCCTAAAAAAAGAAACAAAAAAATTAAAATACAAATGAATGGCATGGAACGAAACACGTAAGAAAAGAAAAAGGATCAAGGCAGCACGTGAACAACGCATGTAGGCACAAGCAAAGCAGCAGCTAGCGCGTGGAGGACAATTTGTGCCTGCATGGCTGCATGCACAGAACGCATGCAAACACAAAGCATGCACAAGTAGCTAATGTGAACAGATAGAAAACAGGATCAACCGGCTAGCCAAAGGAAAGAGAAACAGTATTATGACCGGCACGAACTTCGGCTGGCAAACTCATGCAGCGAATAAAAAACCTAAACCAGTAACCAACCGGTTACACTATGAAAAATAAATTACACCAAAAATTAAGAATACACGCGGCAAACAACGCAAGGCCCAGAAAAAAATTTAAAAAACCAGGAAAATCGGAACCTGATCGGTGACTACTAGGTAAGTATGCTGCTTCGTCATCCCAGACCACAACGGCTTTGCAGATTAACATCAATCAGTATGGAAAACAACAAACAAAAACAATATCATCGTCGTTGCAGCGTCGTGCCATGCCGATAAAGGGGTTGTAGTCAGTGGCGGAGCCAGGATCTCTCGACGCCTAGGGTTCAAATTGAAGGCTAAAGTATCCCTGACAATTCATACACAAAAGCATGGTAAAAGTATGGGAAAAAAGTAAGGCAGAAATAAAATTTCTAATCATACAACTAAGTACACAGTAAAATAAAAATAAAAATAAATGCGATGATGTGGGGTCGACGACGTCAGTGAGGATGGCGACGGCAACAGTGAGCGTTTCCCCCCACTTCAGTGCTTCTTAGATCGAAGGGACTTTTAGGGTTTTACGTGAGGAGTGCGAGTACACGGCGAACCTTGGTTAGCGTGCCCGGCGGCTCCCCTCTTAATATATATAGCATGCATGGGATGGGCCCACTGCCTTGTAAGGTTGGCGCCCCCGATCAGGGTGCATAGGTGAATCGGTTTCCCGATTCTCCCGAAGATCGTAGCTAACACAACCATGAGTTTCCGTGTCTAACTTTGATCATCCGTCTTATTTGAATTTTTTTTATAAATACTATTTTTGTTGTCATGAGATGATAAAACATAAATAGAACTTTATGCGCGACTTCTGTTTTTTTTTAATTTTTTCTTAAATAAAACGGACAGTTAGTTAGGTACAGGAAACCATAATAAACCATAAATGTACTTAAAATGGGACGGAGGAAATAAGACATAAGAATAGATTCTCTCCACAATCCCTTAAAAAAAATTGAACGGAATACAATCCCTTAATTAAGGGAAGGGTCCTTGCAAATTTTGCTCATCTTGTACTACGAGTGGGACTCGCAATGATTATTGCACCGTCGGACTCGGACACGGGCATCGATCGGGCTACAAATTCTGGCCGGTAGGCCGGGGACCAACCAAGCCACAAATTAACCGATCGACCGGTCGAGCAATAGTCGACCACAAACCATGGACGCGACGTCGAGCAGCACCCAGGAGCGGGAGGAGGACCGCCAGCCAGAGGCCGCCGGAGCCGACGGCGACGACGGTGACTACTCCGCCACCGACGTCACGGTGCGGCTCCTCTGCGACCTGTTTTATCCGGGCGGGGAGAGCGAGCTGGCCCGCGTGGTCCGGAGGTACACGGAGCTGGAGGCGCAGCACAGGCAGGACATGGAGAGGTGCCGCCAGGCGCACGACGAGTTGCTAGAGTTCCAAGCCACCCTCCGTCCAGGCCTATTAGGACGGGAATTAGTGGACATGGCCGCCGCCGTCGAAGTCGCGACTGCCGCACTGGAGTTCGACGGCGGCCAGGAGGACGACGATGGCGCCGCCGTAGATCACAAGGACACGGTGACGATCGAGCTTGCTCCGGCTACGACCACGGCCATCGACGACGTCGATGGAGATCAACCGCCAACGACGATGGCCACGGCCGTTTCGATCAGGAGTAGCGCACTACAAGAGAAACGCACGGTCAGTAATAATATTCTCACTGGCTGGTTGGAGTAAATATATTAGGGGAGTGTGTAGTCATGGTAGAAACCCAAATCAATCCGTGTACGTGCATGTTTACTTATCCAAAAGGCATACGTGGATTTTTTTTTTTTGCCGTTACACGTGTGCTTATGGGTTAAGTTTTTTTTTTCTTTTGAAAGGAAAAGAAGGGTCAAGTTGCAATATGCATGTGGATGAGAAGTGGTAAATCTCATTGAGGAAACAAGTTATTTACTGTTTAAGTTGTTCAGTCTATTCGGCAATGCTACAGTGATTTGTTTTTAATAGAGGGAGTGTGTTTTTTTAACGAATCAGCAAGTCGCCAATTTCATTAAATAAAGGAGGAGTAAACTGTACAGAGGCCTAAGCCAAAAGAGAAAGAAAAAGCAAAGGCCTTTGGCCCTAGCTGACTATAGAATAAGCCAACTTCTCAGGTTTTTCGCGCCCGCCAAAGCCCAAGTTTTGGCCTCCTCTTTGATTTTGGCCATCAAGCTGATCGCCGAGAGCTCCTTTTACTGGAAGGTTCTACGATTTCTTTCATTCCAGATCTCCCATGCCACAAGCAATGTAAGGGTGCGGAGAGCCTTCAAGGGAACGCCTCTTAAGGCCGTGGTATTTTCCCACCATTCATGCACCGTCCGCGCTTGCTGCCATGATTAGGGTGCAGTTGGTCGCACGCAACCCAGCCCGCAAGGGTCTTCTAAATCCTTCTTGTGTACTGACACTCCGCAAGTAGGTGAATTGCCGTCTCCTGGGTTTGACGACATAAGGGGCAAATGGAGCCATTTGGCCAGCCTCTCGTTTGTAGCCGGTCGGAGGTCCAGACTCTATTTTGGATGATTAGCTAAGTGAAGATTTTACATTTTCATGGTGCCCAGGCCTTCCAAATTAAGGCGTTGAAGTTTGTAGCTGTCGAGCCGAGGAGTTGTACTTTGTATGCGGATGCAGCCGTATATTCTCTGTGGCTGGTGAGCTTCCATGTTATGTTGTACTCCTGGTGCTCTATTAGCTGAACTGCCCGGGCAGCGGTCCAGACCTCGACGAGTTGATCAATCATGTGCGTCGTCCAGTTCAAGATCGACTGGAGATCAAGGTCAAGCAGCCATTGGTCAGTGTGCAAAGCGTGTTGAAGTGTTCTGTTCTTTTTCTTGGAGGCCTTGTAGACAAGCGGCGCAACATCGCGTAGTCTCCTCCCTCTAGCCAGGCCGAGTCCCAAAAGCTTACTTTCGCGCCATCCCTAATTGTTATGGTTGTTGCTGCTGCGAAGAGAAGCTTGTCAATGTGGGAGTGTGTTTTTTAAAAGCTTTTTGCAAGAAAATATTTTTTTCGACAAAACAAGAAATATTTTCACTACGCCAATTCATGCCAAGATCTGACTGTGCCAGTTAGATTCTGCACGGCCTGATTGTTGATCATCCGTGGCCAGGCTTCCGAATTCTTGAGTCTTTGTAAAAAGCTGATTATATTCGCGAGCTGCAAAACAGGATTATATTCGCGGTTAGTTTTGTTAAGCACACAATCGAAAACAGTAGTCAAAAATTTTTTGGACCATATATTATTCTCTCACTGTCTTAGAGCAGGTTTAATAGTATAGCCAACTATTAACTCTAATTCATCTCTAGCTAATCTAGTAGCTCATTCATACAATAGTTACATACCGCACTATTAATGCCTGGTCCCACCTGCCATACACACAATACGTCTTGGAATCCGTGCTACAGCTGGCTACAAATCTGTAGTCTGCTGCTTTTCTCTCTCCTTATTTATCTCCTTAAAATATGTTTGCAGCTGACTTATAGCCTGCTATTGTACCTGCTCTTATACTACTCCCTCAATCCCAAAATAATCATCATATATATTTATGCATTGAGACCAAGAATAATTTAAATTACATCAATTAAGACATCATGCATACATTCTCCCACACTACATGTATCAATTAAAACACCATGTCAATTACACTCTAACATGTATACATTCTCCCATGCTGTATTAATTGTATTTTGATGAAATTCGTGTCCATGCGGTTATATGATGATCAATTTGAAAAATTCTAGATTTTGTTATATGATGATTAATTTGGAAAGGAGGGATTATAAGGGTTCGTATCGTCTAACATTGCATAGTAATGGCAGGGGGTGACATTCTCCCCATCCTGGCCATCTGTATATATCAACGGCTCCTAGATTAAATTGCATCATCCTACGACACGTGTCTATCCTTTCTTCCACACCCTTCTTCTTCCACTGCTCACTGCTGCTCCATTGCCAAGTCCTCTGCTGCTACTCCTCTGGATAGCTGTGGCCATGCTCCGTGGAGAGCTTGCGCAGCACAGCTCGCAGCCTCGCACCGTGGCGCCGCCCATAGCTGCGACCTGAAGTTCGTGTTTTCGTGCCGCCATCAATAGCTGCGGCCTGGAGCTTGTGTTTTTCCCCTTTGCAGGGATCCATGGAGCTCGCGTTGATGGGACACCATCACCAAGTAAGCCGGTTCTAGGATGGTCATTTTGTTGTGTGGATGCGATCGTGCACGAGGCCCCCAAGGATGCCTGTGATGCTGCAAGCTCCGGATCGCTGGCAAGAACGTACATAAAAGAAAAAAAAATCCCCTTTTGACATTCTAGATGTTGATTTGGAAGTTAGAGTGAACTAAAACATTTCATTGTCCACTCTGAGAATCTTAGAACTCAAATTAATACAAGTTCTATAATTATATGTCTAAAGACTTCAAAACATAAGATTTACAGTACTTCTGTAAAGTAAGCAGGAGGACAACACCAAGTTAAATCCATTGCATCTTCAGATTTCTTGATCAGTCCAAAATGTATTTCCAAAATTCATGCCATGACTATCCAAGTCACCCTAAAATGAAGAAACACCCACGGCTAAGTGAACATATAAAAGCATTAATGACTTCCATACAAATAACGAGCTTTAGATCGCAGCTATGGGCGGCGCCACGGTGCGAGGCTGCGAGCTGTGCTGCGCAAGCTCTCCACGGAGCATGGCCACAGCTATCCAGAGGAGTAGCAGCGGAGGACTTGGCAATGGAGCAGCAGTGAGCAGTGGAAGAAGAAGGGTGTGGAAGAAAGGATAGACACGTGTCGTAGGATGATGCAATTTAATCTAGGAGCCGTTGATATGTCAACAGATGGCCAGGATGGGGAGAATGTCACCCCCTGCCATTACTATGCAATGTTAGACTATACGAACCCGGATTATAATAGTAAGTATAAAAGTGAGATATGCAGATTGAGATGAAAAGTACTCCTACTGTACTCCTTTTGAACAGTATTCAAGTACTAAGTCCTGAGTTATGACATACTACTCCCTCCGTATTCACTCCGTATTCATAAAAGAAGTTATTTAGCACAATGTTTAAGTCAAATCTTAGTAATATAAATCATGAATAACTCTTAAGTTATTGAGTTTAAAAATGTAAAAAGTATATGAATAGATTTGTCTTAAAAAATACTTTTATAAAAATATACATATACAACTTTTCAATAAATAGTTTTATAAAAACAAGAAGTCAAAGTTATGTTTTAGAGACCGTGTCGCTGTCCAAAACGAATTTCTTTACGAGTACGGAGAGAGTACTACTGATTACTGGAGGGGTTGATTAAGATAATATTTACTTTTTGCATTTGCATTTACTTTTCAAATGGCCTACAAGTTTGACTGCAATCCAAGAAAAAGTACTTTCAACTTGAATTGTTTAATGACCCAACAAGTTATTGCATTGGTACACGTGTAAACACAAACCATGGATAAATCAAATGCTCTACAATTTAATTGCAATTGGAACAAGAATGTTTCAACGTAACTAGCATGGTGACTCGCGCAGATTACGCGACTAGCATCATTACATTTTCTCTCATATAATAGCATATATGTTTTCTCATTATATTATTCAAATATATTAAAATGATAATATAGTTTTAAATTTTGCAATAACTTTACAAAACTACTAATGTGTAATATTCATATTGTATTTTATATACGTGTTAGTTATTAATTATTTTAATATCAAATTTTAGTTATTTGTAAATTATATATATTCCAATATGGACTCTAGACTCGTCTTTTAATATTATTTTTTTAATTCCGAATTGTCTATAAATTGTATTTTTATATAGACTCTAGGCTCTTCTTATAATATTATTTATTTTTTATTTATGGTTTTTTATTATTTCTAATTGTATTTCTATATGTACTCTAAACCCATCTTTCAATATTCTTTAATTTTTAATTTCGAATTTCAGTTACTTCTAAATTGTATTTCTATATTAACTTTAAACTCTTCTTTCCATGTTTTTATTAATTTTGAATTTTATTTATTTGTAAATTATATTTTTATACGGACTCTAAACTCTACTTTTAATTTTATTATGTTTATCCCAAATTTTAGTTAGTTTTAAATTCCTATATATACTCTATACTATACTTCTAATATTCCTTATTTTTTAATTCCGAATTTCTATTTTTTTTTCTTAATTGTATTTCTATATGGACTCTATACTTTACTTCTAATATTTCTTATTTTCTAATTCCGAATTTCTATTTTTTTCTTAATTGTATTTCTATATATACTCTATGCTCTACTTGTAATATTCATTATTTTTAATTTCGAATTTTAGTTGCTTCCTAATTGTATTTTTATATGGACTCTAGTCTGCTCTTCTAATATTCATTATTTTTTAATTCCGAATTTCAGCTATTTCTAAATTGTATTTCTATATGGACTTTACTTTTTCTTTTTCTCCGATTAATGTGAGAATTTCTAGACAATGAGAGCGAACGTGGAGGCTCCTTTTTCTATTGATTTAGTAATATAATAGATTCTAGCGGTTAGTGAATGTACCTTCAGAACGGTGAGTTCGATACTGAACGTCGACTGTCTCAGTAACCTGCTGGGGCAACCAGCACTCAAAACGACAACAGAGAAGTATTGTGAGATGAATGCACTAGTATCATATAGTATCATAGTACTCCCTCCGTAACATGGTATAAGGTATTTTGATTTTTTACTTGTACTGTTTGACCACTCATCTTATTTAAAAAAATTGTGCGAATATAAAAAATAAAAATTTATGTTTAAAGTACTTTGGATAATAAAGTAAGTCACAAATAAAATAAATAATAATTTCAAAAAAATTTTAATAAGACAAATAGTCAAACAATACAAGTAAAAAGTCAAAATCTATTATATTATGAGACGGAGGGAGCAAGAAATAACAATTGTTCCAAAAAAAACAGAATAGTATGACTTACGTAGAGTGTCATAGTAGGGCTACACCAAGTGAGCCAGCTTCCAAAGCTCTCTGAGGAGGTAGATCTACCGCCTGAGCCGCCTCTGCTGGTAGTTGAGGGACGCCTCGAGGGCTAACCGACGGTGAACCAACCACGCTTCTTATCTACGGTCCGCGCCGCGGAGAGATAGACTGGTCCGTAGAATATCGCGCTTGAACTCGCTTGCTGCACCCCGAGGGCCCGAGGGCCGTGACGCGACACCCCGAGGCCCCCTGGCCACCTTAGCGCTACCTAATCGCCCCCCGAGGGGGCGGGGGAAGGCCAGGCCGTGCAGCCACGTGGCTAGACGGGAAGGCGACTTCCTTCTACTGCGCGTACCCCCAGGCCCATATCACCGACATGTGGGTTTTAACCGGTTTTCCTTTAATTAACCGTGCAGCTATATGGTTTTCGGCCCCGGTTTTTCTTATAAACTAGGTCAATTCTTTTCTTCTAAATATAACTGTGGAACAAAGTTCCGCCTTAGGTTTAAAAAAAAACATAGACTAAGAACGTGGTAAGCTACATACTCCATAGTGCAAGTTACTTGTAGTGGGTCCCGCCAGTACATCTCTCATTTTTCATCTCCCAATTCCCAATCTCTCTCTCTCTCTCCACTCATTCTTTCCCCAAGTGAGATCGGAGAAACCGAGTTGAGTAGCGGCGGCCGGTGAAGCGGTCCTAGCAGCGACGACATCGGGCGGTCCGACAGTGGCGAAGGCGGCAGGCGGGGTGGCCCGGCGACGGCGCCGGGTGGCCGGGCAACCTGGTCCCAACGGCGACGACACCGGGCGGCCCGAGCGGTGACGAAGGCGGCGGGCGGGGTGGCCCGAGCGACGACGGCGCCGGCGGCCGGGTGACCCGGCCAGCACCACTCCTCTGGTGAGCGAGACGAAGATGGACGTCGACGAGGTCAAGACAAAGTCCACGCTTCCACTTCTCCTCGTCGGGGCGGAAACTGTGGACGACAGCAGCACAACGGAGTAGAGCGGCGCAGCGGAGCGGTGGCGGCGCCGAGCAGCTGATCTCGGTAGGGTCCTCTCCCTCTCCGTCGCCTCCCTCTCCTCCTCCCCTAACCGCGGCCGCCCCATGGAAATCTCAGCCCAACACAAGTTTACATGGTGAAAAAGGAGGCCAAATAGACTTAGTCCTGATGAAAATGCATACTTCTCAATGGGCCTTTCATCCCAGGCCCCGGGCCGTGGCCCAGCTTACCCTAGGTCTGGGTCCGCCCCTGCCCCTAACAACGGCGGCACAGATCGAGGTGGCTACCGTTGGGACGTGTCACCGCCGCCACCCTGTTTAGCTTGCGCCCCTCCTCTTCGTCCGCATCCACCGAGCTCACCAGATTTGGCGTCGGGCAGCGGCGGCGGACAAGAACGGCGGCAACCTTCATCCACGGTTGCTACGTCGTCGGCACGGCCAAGTACCCAACGAGCTCAGCCCTCCCCTCCTGTCCTCTCTCTCCGTTTCTTGATGGTGCGGGACACAATGTTGTGGGCTCAGACCTACAACTATGACGAAGAACGTGGAGCTTAATATTCAGGTGGAGAGAAATCTCCGAGCTGACATGTTGGGGCTGAACGTCAAGTCGGTGCATTGTGAACGCTCTAAAAGTGTAGCACGTGTACCCTGATACCCAAGCTGGCCAACGGAACTACGGAAGTCGTACAAGAGCCCACGGGGTTTGACTCTTCGAGTCGCACGACGACGCAACGGAGAGAGACGAAAACAAGTTGGGGGCAGCCGCTCCTCCTCCTCCTCGAATCTCGATCGGTGGCGGCTGGCGCCTCCAGTATCAGGAGTCCTCCGCCCATCCTATGATTCCAGCGTTTCAGGTCATCAGGTGAGCCATGGAGCGGTTTGTGTTGTCCCTAGTGGTTGGATCTTGAATAATCAAATCTTTTCCGTCAAAGCTTTCAATGTCAGATGGGGACGATCAGGTTGAAAAAATGATGCCTTTCATGCAACTATGCCGGCTCGTCGGATCGTGACGGCTGAGCACCTAACCACAACTCGCAGCGCGCTGCTATACCGCGATATCTCTCTCTCTCTCTCTCTCTCTCTCTCGGAACGGAGCGCCCGATGCTTCCTGGTGTAGTTCGTTCAAGTCATCAAGTGCCACTGGGGAACCAGAAAACCAGCGGGAGCAGCCGCCCGTATGGGCGGCGACGTTGTTTGGCGCTGCTGCTTTTTCGCGACGGTGGGTTTGCTCTTGCTGCTTGCTTGCAATGCTAATCGTCTTCCGATGCACACCCTCGTGGCCTCGTCGCCGCTTTGGCCACTCGGGAGTCGGGAGAGCCGCGCATGCAGACAGTTTTAAGTCTGCGGTGTGTTTACAGAATACAGAAGAGTGTGTGCTGGGTTTCGTTTTGCAACTTGAGATTGTGCTGGTTCCTCTATTAGGCATTTAGGCTAGCTTGACTTTTTCTTGTGAGAATATTATTTTAGTTAATATTTAAGTGTTACGGCAGGTATTTCAGTCGTTTGTCTTACCATCGAACGGCGCTCGGAATTTGCCATGTCTGTGGATCATTTTTACTAGCCGTTCCACCGAGTTACAACCATACCATAATAGCTCGCATGCATAAAACAGTGGTTTCTCTTAGAAAAAAAAGGAAAATTGGAAGCATATTATTATAATTTTGTAAAATTTAAAATATGATATTCTGACCCACATGTCATTGACTCATATAGGTTCTACATGTCATTGAGATACAAATGGCATATCTATAATGGTATGGTTTCAAATTAAAAAAAAAACGTGGTGACAGTGAGCCGTGAAGAAGGTGAGTCGTCAACGACAGGACGAGGTTAATTGTCAGATGGCAGAACCACTAGAAACAAGAAAAATGACACGGCACGGAGGCACCAATAAAATGAAAATGTTAAAGGAGAGAAAAAGGTGAGAGCGCACGAAAGGTTCATGGTCTTACGATATAGTAATTGGCAACCTAATAAGGCAGTGACACCTAGGCATATTTACTATCATTTTATTATCAAATTATTTAATTTGTAAAATAAAATTGTTCTCAAACATCTAAAAAGTTGGTATTAGAAATAAGTAAAAAGTTCGTATTATCTAAAAAGTAAACAATAGTAATCGGCAAAGAGAGACAAGGAAGTGTAAGTCAATTACTCCATTCATCTCAAAATACAGTAACTTATAGCCTACTTCATAAGTTAGTGGTGGTGGTGGTGGTAGACTCGTCGCCTCCCCTGCTAATGTTAGTATTATGAATTTGAAGATTTTTGTTCCAATAATAACATTTTTTTTCCTAACTAACCATTTGAAATAAAGTGGTGGATATCATTCGATCATATGAAATTTCTATGGAATGCCTAAATTTTATAGAAAATTTAACACGAGGTCCTCCATGGAAGTTCCCTTTGAGTATACCTAAACACCATTTTTATATTTTCATGTGTTTTACAATTGAAAAGGTTTGAGAAATTCCACTACAAACGTACGCAGGTTTCAAAACCATTGTTCATGAGAATGATATGTGTTACCAGGACCTACATACCAATGACACATAATAATATCTTTCAACTCCATGATTTTTACAACAACACTAGGCAAATCGACCATTTACAATCCTGTAAAAAAATATGTTTATCTTACTTTTTTAATTATCTCAATCCTGCAATTTTTCGCCCTTCATCTTTCTACCCAAAAAAAAAGATTTGATTTGATTAAATTTGTGCACTACATCCGTCAGAGCAAGTTTAATAGTATAGCCCACTACAAGCTCCAATTCATCTATAGCCAATCGAATAACCAATTCATACAATAGTTGCTTACTATACTATTAATATATGGTCCCACTTGTCATACACACATCATGTCTTGGAGTCCGCGCTGCAGCTGGCTACAGATCTACAGCCCGCTTCTCTTCTCTCTTATCTTTTATCTCATTAAAATATATCTATAGCTGGCTAAGGGCACCCACAATGGTTAGCTATAGGCTCTCTACAAGAGATCCATGTCAGCATATTTTTCTACTTGAAAGATATTAAATGAAAAGAGAGAGCAAAGCTATCTACTAACTTAGAGATAGTCTATAGAGAAAAACGAGACAAGGCATAAGAGAGCTATAGATACCCATGTAGATATACTATTGAGGTGGTTTACTATTAATCTAGTCTATTGCTGAGATGTATATATTTTATAGAAAACACATTACTTTACCATTGCGGGTGCTCTAACAGTCTGCTATTATATCTGCTCTCATGCGTCATCCATGGTAGTGGATAGAATGCAGAAAGCGGCTCTACGCGCCGCTACGCCTCCCTGTGCGGGATCAGGATGCCTCAGGCGAGCCACGTGACCACGTCTGATGTGGCGGGCTGGAGCTACTAGCTAGCGTGGCTTTCCGCCGCCGCCTACACCTTTGCCACGCAGCCCAAAACGAGTCCACCTTGCGCAGCAAACAAAACCAAAACCGCCGCGCGACTTGCGTCGCAAAACCAGAAAACACCACCACCGCCGCCGCACCGCACACGCCCCCGCCTTCCCCTGATTGCGACGAAACCATTTCCGTCGCGAATCTGGATTCTGGAGAGACCGTGAGTCACCGACGCGCGGGCCCCAAGCCACGCTGCCCCACCGAGCAGATCGCATCGCCCGCGAGATCACCGGCGCGCCGGCCTCCCCCACCCCAATCTCGCCCGTGGTTTTCGTCGAAAGGAATACAGGTTTTTGCACGGAAGCCCCCGGGTTTCCACACCAATTCTCGATCTGCCCCCGCCTCCATGGTATAAAACGAGACACATTCCTCCCCACCGCTGAATCCCTCCATCCACCGAACCATACCCAACAAGCGTCAAATCGCGTCAAAGCCAAAAACCTCATACAAGTCCAGGAATCTGTAATATATTCCGAGACTTTTACACGCATTCCAGTCATCACTAGTGTAGCGGTTGCTGCTTCTTCCCCGGGGAGGTTTATCGGATCTTGATGGAGACCCATATCGGATCCGTGGACGGGGCGGCGGCGGCGGCGGACAACGGCGCGGTGGGGTGCCCGGCGTCGGCGGTGGGGTGCCCGATGACCTCGGCGCGCCCCGCGCCCGTGTCGGCCGGCGAGGCGTCGCTGGGACGGCACCTGGCGAGGCGGCTGGTGCAGGTGGGCGTCAGCGACGTGTTCGCCGTGCCCGGGGACTTCAACCTCACGCTGCTCGACCACCTGATCGCCGAGCCCGGGCTGCGCCTCGTCGGCTGCTGTAACGAGCTCAACGCCGGGTACGCGGCCGACGGCTACGCCCGCGCGCGCGGCGTCGGCGCCTGCGCCGTCACGTTCACCGTCGGCGGACTCAGCGTGCTCAACGCCATCGCCGGCGCGTACAGCGAGAACCTGCCGGTCATCTGCATCGCCGGAGGGCCGAACTCCAACGACTACGGCACCAACCGCATCCTCCACCACACCATCGGCCTCCCGGACTTCTCCCAGGAGCTCCGCTGCTTCCAGACCGTCACTTGCCACCAGGTACGTGTCCCCCCCCTCTGCTCCTCCTCGGATTTCCCCCTAATTTCTTGGGTTGCAGATTTGGTTGGATCGATCGATGGTTTGCTAATGTTTGTGGATTCAGGCGGTGGTGACCAATCTGGAGGATGCGCACGAGCAGATCGACACCGCCATCGCGACGGCGCTGCGGGAGAGCAAGCCTGTGTACCTCAGCATCAGCTGCAATCTCCCAGGGCTGCCTCACCCCACGTTTAGCCGCGACCCCGTCCCCTTCTTCCTCGCCCCCAGGTACCCCTCTCCGTTTTATCATGAAGCTTATCCCTATAATCTACCAATTTTGTCATGCCATGTCTCGATTCAAGAGCGTAGGATTTTATTTACCCCAAAAAGGACGCCTGGTTGAATTATAAGTATTGAGATCGTGCATATTTGATACAGTACCGGAAGTTGTCTGATGATTTCAATATGTTGTAATATTTCACTTCAGTTCGATGCTATAAGATTGGTTGTACCAATGCATTTCAGATTTTTGATTCGATGCTATGAAATTGGTTGTACCATTGCATTTCAGATTTTCAGTTTGTCTGATGAAATTGTGGCTATGAGTTTGGTTGTACCATTGCATTTCAGATTTTCAGTTCGTCTGATGAAATTGTGGCATTGCAGGTTGAGTAACAAGATGGGTCTGGAGGCTGCGGTGGAGGCCACTGTCGAGTTCCTGAACAAGGCGGTGAAGCCGGTGCTCGTTGGCGGCCCCAAGCTGCGTGTGGCAAAGGCAGGGAAGGCCTTCGTCGACCTTGTTGATGCCAGTGGCTACGCCTACGCGGTGATGCCGTCGGCCAAGGGGCTCGTGCCAGAGACGCACCCCCACTTCATCGGCACCTACTGGGGTGCCGTCAGCACGGCCTTCTGTGCCGAGATCGTCGAGTCGGCCGACGCCTACCTCTTCGCAGGGCCAATCTTCAATGACTACAGCTCTGTCGGCTACTCCTTCCTCCTCAAGAAGGACAAGGCCATAATTGTGCAACCGGAGCGTGTCATCGTCGGGAATGGCCCGGCGTTTGGGTGCGTCATGATGAAGGAGTTCTTATCTGAGCTGGCTAAGCGCGTCAACAAGAACACCACTGCTTATGAGAACTACAAGAGGATCTTCGTGCCTGAGGGCCAGCCGCTGGAGAGCGAGCCGAATGAGCCGCTGCGCGTTAATGTGCTCTTCAAGCACGTCCAGAAGATGCTGAACAGTGACAGTGCTGTGATTGCCGAGACTGGTGACTCCTGGTTCAATTGCCAGAAGCTGAAGCTCCCTGAGGGCTGCGGGTGAGCATTCTGAAACTTGCTACAACCCTGTTGTGAATGGTTTTACAATGTTCTTGGTGAATATACTGAGTGGTTTATTGCATGCTGCAGGTATGAATTCCAAATGCAGTATGGTTCCATTGGATGGTCAGTGGGTGCATTGCTCGGATATGCTCAGGGCGCTAAGGACAAGCGTGTGATTGCCTGTATTGGTGATGGGAGTTTCCAGGTGAAGCACCGTGATCACTTGATCTTTTGATCAGATATGTTGCTAATATGATGGCATGTTACTGATGTGTGATCGTGGTAATTTCCTGCAGGTGACGGCACAGGATGTGTCAACAATGATTCGCTGTGCACAGAACAGCATAATCTTCCTGATCAACAACGGCGGGTACACCATTGAGGTGGAGATCCATGACGGTCCATACAACGTCATCAAGAACTGGAACTACACTGGCCTTGTGGATGCCATCCACAATGGAGAGGGCAAATGCTGGACTTCTAAGGTATGCTAACTCTTCGATCACCTGACATTCACCACACGAGGCTTAGACCGCAGATGCTCCTATATCTGAGGAACTGTTGCTGATGGTTGCCATGATGTACATTGCGCAGGTGAAGTGCGAGGAGGAGCTGACGGAGGCGATCGGGATGGCGCTGGGGGAGAAGGACTGCCTGTGCTTCATTGAGGTGATCGCGCACAAGGACGACACCAGCAAAGAGCTGCTGGAATGGGGATCGAGGGTTTCTGCTGCCAACTCCAGGCCACCAAATCCTCAGTAGAAACTTTTAGTACTTGTTGCAAGCTGGGCTCAATCATAATAATGTAAACACTTTGCCCTTCAGTTATGTTCCTTGTGTCCATTCCCTCGGGTTTCTGTTCTTCCAGTTTCGGTAGCTCTGTATCTACTTGTGAACATCTGTTTCTCCAATCAAATGCTACGAGGGTTATGAGAGGTTTTCAGCTTGCATCCAACTGTTTGATTTTGTGTTGCCATGTGCTATCCGGCACTTGGTAACGATTTGATGAGAGCATGGCCGGCCAGTGAATCCTGTGATCTGTGCGAGATCCGTCACGAGGAGGCAGGCTACTATTGCATGGTCCTCCCGTGAGGCCGTTACTTGTCTCTGTCTGCAAGACAGAATGGCGATGAAATTCAGAAGTGCTAGATCGGTGTCAACTGGGCAATAATCTGGTACTCCCTCCGTTTCAAAATAAATGTAGTTTTACACTATTTATGTTTACATTTGACCGTTCGTCTTATTTAAAATTTTTTTTATGATTAGTATTTTTATTACTATTGGATGATAAAATATGAATAGTACTTTATGTGTGACTAAATATTTTTTAATTTTTCATAAATTTTTTAAATAAGACGAATGGTCAAATGTTAGGCACGGATATTCACAATGTTAGACACGGATATTTACGGCTGTAATTATTTTAGGATGGAGGTAGTAGTAGTAAACCAGTAATCTTCTGGTCATCACCTCGAGATTCATTTTTTTTATGGAAGGCGTCGTCTAGCGCTGCGCATCGGTGCTGTCGCTTTATCCCATCCTGGATCAGAATATGTGTAGTGTTATCATCTCTGACGTGAGAAATGGCTAGTAGTAGCAAGTGGCTTGAACTTTTGGACCAGAGGCTACGCAGGTTGGCTTGGCACCTTGCCCGGACGCAGCTCCGCGTGCGTGCACCTGCAGTCCGCATGGTGATTATGCATCGCTTCCTGGCGTTTACTGGAGCAATCTGCTTGTCTGTATTGATGATGATTGACATTGTTATGTTGATTTTGCCGCTAATGAGGTCACCATTTTAGAGGGCCACTACCTAAAGTATATTCGTTCTGCTTAACTTTAACCAGTCCTGATTTAATTAAGATTGCGATTGGATTAAGTGGATCGTGGGAGCTACTTCCTCCGTCCTAAAATTCAACGTTTGACCGTTCGTCTTATTTGAAATTTTTTTATGATTAGTATTTTTATTGCTATTAGATGATAAAACATTAATAGTACTTTATGTGTGACTAAATATTTTTAAATTTTTTCAAATAAGACGGACGGTCAAACATTAAGCACGGATATCTATATATGTATTTATTTTAGGACGGAGGTAGTATTACAAAGCAAAGGTTGCTTTGTAGTATTATTAATACCGAAACGAAACTGATCCTTGTGCTTTGAACTTTCCACCGAAAAAGGCAAGTGTATCACATGCGAAGAGGACAAGTGATGACTGATATCGTCTGCCACGACCCACTACGTGGTACTCTAGTTGAAGCACTCAACCGCTGCGGCGCTTGTTGTTTTGCTGGATGGGGAGATTGCAACTGGTATTAAAGGCCCTGTTTGGATCCGGAGGGCTATTAAATAGCCCTTCGGAATCTTACTATTTAGGAGTATTAAACGTAGATTACTGACAAAACTCATTCTATAATCTCTAGGCTATTTTGCGAGACAAATCTAATAAGGTATATTAATCATAGATTAATATACATCATTAAATTCGTCTCACAGAATAGCCTAGAGGTTATGGAATCGGTTTTATCGATAATCTACATTTAATACTCCTAAATAATTCTGGAGGGCTATTTAATAACTCGGAGGATCCAACAAGGCAAGTTGTAGTTTTGCATCGTCACATAATTAATGTCTCGCGGCAAATCGCTTGTCGATTGTTGTTGTGCGTCTCTCTTCAGCCAACTCTCTCCCTACTACAAGTCCCAATTACCAAAGATGTTGTGCAATAGGGGATACTTCCTCCGTTTCGAAATATTTGACACCGTTGACTTTTTAGCACATGTTTGACCGTTCGTCTTATTCAAAAACTTTTGTGAAATATGTAAAATTATATGCCTATATAAAATTATATTTAACAATGAATAATGAATCAAATGATAGGAAAAGAATTAATAATTACTTAAATTTTTTAAATAAGATGAACGGTCAAACATGTTTAAAAAAGTCAATGGCGTCAAACATTTCGAAACGGAGATAGTAGATGTTTGTAAGAAAGGGCTTGCAACACTTCAGATCTCTGTTTTTCTTTTTAACGATCAGATGCACTGCAGTTTGTTCACAAGGCAGGATTCTGCAAGACAGGCATAACAAGGAAAAACTAGATTCCTTCCTAATTTCCTATCCTTCTGGAAGCACGAAACACAAAATGTGCTTGGAAGGACCATTGGTCGCAGAGTTCTAAGTGCAATCCATATGCATTGTCGATGATGACAACAGCCTATCTTTCTGCAGAAGATGGGAGGGGAAGGACGATTTACAGCTTGCAATGTGGGATTTGAGCTTTGGGATATTTGGATGGGCACTCCTGCATCTGTGGCAACGAAGCTCCATTGCGAGCACCCTGTCGTCACTGCTGATAGTTGCTGATCCACGCTGATCGATTTCTTCAATGACATCAACAGAATCAAGGAAAAATGTTGTGGTGAAGGAGTTCCAGTGTTTCTTGTTCTTCAAACTGGCAGAGTTGAAGTCCTGGCTTATGATGTGCAGGTGCAATTGCCTCATGGATGGAACCTGAAGAAACCAGAAAGCATATGAGCATGATCAGACCATCATTATTTTTGGATGATGGTTCGAATGAATCAAACTTTGAGATAAGGCAGTACCGAATGGTATCCGAGTCTGAATACCAAAGATGAATCTTCCTCTAGGAACTTCTGTGCCCATTTCACTCCAGCAGAATGCATTCTCCTCAGCAAAGGTAAGTGTTCTTTCTTGACATCTGCTAGAGAATCAAGACCATCCTTCCTAGATACAACCAAAACATGCCTTTTGGCCTGCAAATATGAAGTGCTGCTAAGATGCCAATTGGAGCACTAAATATCATAAATGACAATCATGAAAGTACATTTAAGCTGACAGACCTTGGGATAGAGGTCGTTCAGAACAACGAAGTCATCAGATATCTCTAGGAGAGAATCAGAGTTCTTGTAATTTTCTGGGTGCATCGCAAGCTCATAAAGAGCTTGGGCCCAGGATCCCCAAGTCTTAGTAGTGGTAACACCACTCCTCTTGCTATCTCCCTCTCTAGCCTGATTTGAGGATGTATTGGGTTGAACCAACTTGTGTTTTTTGGTCCTCTCAGAATCATGGTTGCACTCTCGCTTCGTTTTTGAATCATTAGGTGATGTCACTGCAGTTGCTGGCTTTTCTAAAGCAGGCTCGGTGTTCTGCTTCCCCATGCAGCTCTGGACAATGGCTACAAAGTTCTCAAAAAGTGATGTATATGCCTCATGGAGAATCTTAGAACCTTTTGTATAGTCATTCTTCAGACAATCCGGTCGCATTGGGTTCATGTTTGGCCCAAGCACATGTATGATATGGGTCACACCTTCCCTTTGATGCAGAGGAGAAGTTGATGGAAGTGGGACAGCAACAGAGCTCCCAGGTCTCAATGTGTCCGCGCATTCTTTGGTTGCACGTTGTAAATCTTCCCCAGCGGCATTGTATATTGCTGCATTAACCCCTCCACCTCCAGGTTTTAACCTCCTGCATGAAACATACAAATATTATCTTATGGTCCATAATACACAAGTAGATGTTTTTATTATAGTGGACTCCAACAAACCAGAATGATACAGGCTGCAACATGAAGAATATAATCTAGAAGCAGATCTTCATTCAGTTGGAACAAGTAGTAGATCCTAAAAGTATTGAAGTGTCCTAATTACCAGTTGGCAGCATTGGCAATCACATTGCATCGAAGGCCTCCTTTTGATTGCAGCTGAGTTATATCTCCCACAAAAGTGAAAAACCTGCTGGAGTTAATGTTCTTCTTAGCAGCCTTTTCCTTGACCAATGACAGTATTCTTGATTTATGGCTTAGGTCTACAAGAACTAGTCTTATATTATCATATTTCTGCAAGATGTCAGCCACTGCATCTACTATAATGTCTGATGCTCTATCAAGATCAAACTGAAAGTCAGCAGTAGAAATTGATGGAAATGCCAGAGTGCGCGAACTGATATCAGACAGAACACTCTCTCTACTTTGGTCTTCAATTTTCTTGCTATTGCTCAACTCCTTTACAGATTCCACTGTGCAGGTACCACCAACTTCAAGGTTCTGCTGTTCTGAAATATGATTTTGCATTTGCGGTATGCTTTCATTCGGTGTAACCTTATGTCCACCGGATTTTTCAGCAGAGCTTCCTGGTTTCTTTAGAAATTTCATTATGCCAACTTGTACAGGCCCTTTGCTATTCTGACCGAAAACTCCAGAATCAAGACTATCTGAAGGCCCTAATGCACTATACATGTCAACAGCCTTTTTAATTTCGTTGTTATCCTTACAGAACATGATTCGACTGAAACCTTCAGTCAGCAATGGTGTTTCCTTGTTCTTCAGCATGCGGTTCACAACCATGGCAGCCCTCCCACCTTGCAGGTTTCCTTCATGGCCCGTCCGGCTTACTGAGCGCGATATACAAACCTTTGCAGGGAGATCCAAGACAACGGCATGCACATCCACATGTACATGGCTGCCAAGCTTCATAAAGTCAGCGCGCTGTTCACGTTCCAAGTTGCAACGGTCAAGGAGAACACTCTTGCCCTCCTTCAGAGCATCTGCTGCAGCCTTCAAGCACTGGATTTTCGTCCCAGCTTTGCCATTTCCAATTGTATCCTGGACAACAAAAAAGCACCCACGCAGAATTCCATCAAGCAGTGCTGCAATTCCATTGACGGACAGTACTCGTAAAACAGCAAAATGCAAATCAGTGGGCACAAAATTATATACATGTATAATTCCATTACTACCAATGCTTCCTTCTTCCCTATGTGCCACCATCTTTGGGTATTACTACTACATTCTGTACTATATTCAGATACATGGAACTAATGCAATTAGGAACTAAACTACTACTACTACTATAGCTGCAGTTTCGAAGTCGCCACTTTGCTTCAAACATCAAATTCATGATCAGGAAGGGAGAAAAAAAAATCATGTTCATAGCACAGGTGACGATCTAATGGAACACATGATTGAGCGTGCGAGTGAACACCTGGCAGACGCGAGCCCAGGTGCGGCCGGCGGCGGAGCCGCCTAGGACGGCCTCGGCGAAGGTGGACTTGCCGCTGCCGGGGGGACCCACAAGGACCACCATCACCTGCTTGCCCCCGCCTTCCTCCGCCACCGTCGCCGACGCCGCCGACGCGCCTGCATCGAGACAGCACGTCCTAGGGTTTTAGCGGCGACGGGCGGAGAACAAAATGCGCAAAAATGGAAGGAGTAAAAACCCGCGGTTTACTGGCGCACCTGCGGTTGATGCCGGTGGCAGCGGAGCGGCGGTGGAGCCGCCGGCGTCGGGATCCATCTCTCGCGGAGGCGAGAAGTTGGCGGCTTCGTCGGGGGTTGAGAGACGAAGGGGGGAGATCGACGCTCGACGGCGCGGAGGCCAGAGGGCAGAGGGTCGTGGGGTGGGGGTGGGCCTCGTGGGAGAGATGCGGAAACCGGTGCATCCTGGCCATCCGTGCAGACCACGGTTTAATCTAAGCCTTCGGTTGCTTAGCATCTCGTATTATCGAAATTTTAGGGGGAAAACATCAAAGAATTGCAAAAAGGAAATAAAAAGAAAAGCCTTTGCTTACTCTACTCGTAGAGTATGAATCAGTCTACGAGCAGAATATGAATCAACTGCAAAAAAAAAAAAAAATAATAAATAAATCAGTATGCATCAGTTGCAAAATATAAATTTATAGTATGAATAAATTGAAAAAAGATTAGTATGAATTAGTTGCAAAATAAATGTTATAGTATGAAACAATTTGCAAAAAATAAAAAAGTATGAACTTATAGTATGAATCAATTGTAAAAAAGATGATCATTTTGTTTGGCGTTGGACGAGTGACAAGCGCTACTCTGCGTGTTCAGCGTACCAGATGTGCTTCTATGGTCTATGGACAGCACTCCTTTGCTTGTGCTGATATTCTCTGGCACCCTAAGGGTCCTGCAAAATGCAAGATCTTCCTCTGGTTTGCTTTTTAGCGACGCTGCTGGATGGCAGATCTCCTCCAGAAGCGCGGCATTGATAGTCACTCGGTTTGCCCCTTTTGCGCTCAAGAGCTTGAGACGGCGAACCACATCCTCCTCGATTGTGTGTTTGCTCGACAGATCTGGCTCCGTGTATTGTTGCCTCTTGGTTGGGCTGCCCTCTCTCCCTCCCGAGGTAGCTATCTCCAGGTTTGGTGGCCTTCGTCCAAGACATGCTTGCCTGAGCATCTCCGACACGGCTTCGATTTTCTAATCCTCTTGGTCTTCTGGCAACTATGGAAGGAACGGAACTCCAATGTTTTCGACTTTGCGTTATCTCTGGTCTCGGAGGTCCTTTAGTCCATCCGCTCAGAGGGCCATCTTTGGTTGTTAGCTAGCATTGCTAATTTTGGGGTTTTATTGGGAGAGTAGTGGGCTCTGCCCCCTTTCCGCTGGTTGGAGTCATATTTTCCGAGTCTTTTTCCTTTGGTCTTTTGATTCCCTCCTCTCTTGGCATAAGTCGGTCTGGCTTAATGCGTTGTGTAACGAATATTCTTATCTTCTAATATATTGACGTGCAATCATTTTGCGCCTTCGAGAAAAAAAATTGTAAAAAAGATAAGTATGAACCAGTTACAAAATTCAATTGAAAAAAAGAAAAAAAGATAATTATGAATGTATAGTATGAATCGACAAGCGAGCAAAGTATGAATCAATTGCCAAAAAAAATATGAACTTGTATGAATCAATTGTAAAAAAAAAAGATAAGTATGAACCAGTTGCAAATTTCAATTTCAGAAAAGAATTATAAATCAGTCAATTGCCAAAAAAAGAGTATGAACTTGTATGAATCAATTGTAAAAAAAAAGTATGAACCAGTTGCAAATTTCAATTTCAGAATAGAATTATAAATTAGCTGATATATTGACGTGCAATCCTTTTACGCGTTCGAGAAAAAAAATTGTAAAAAAGATAAGTATGAACCAGTTACAAAATTCAATTGCAAAAAAGAAAAAAAAGATAATTATGAATGTATAGTATGAATTGACAAGCGAGCAAAGTATGAATCAATTGCCAAAAAAAAATTATGAACTTGTATGAATCAATTGTAAAAAAAAAAGATAAGTATGAACCAGTTGCAAATTTCAATTTCAGAAAAGAATTATAAATCAGCCAATTGCCCAAAAAAAGAGTATGAACTTGTATGAATCAATTGTAAAAAAAAAATATGAACCAGTTGCAAATTTCAATTTCAGAATAGAATTATAAATCAGCTGCAAAAAAATTTTTTTTATAGTGTGGCAGAATAGAAAAAAAAATTATAGTGTGGAAGAATAGAATTATGAATCAGCTGCAAAAACATTTTTTTATAGTGTGGCTGCTGGGATTCGAGCCCAGGTCTCCACGGCCACAACGTGGAATTCTCACCACTAAACTACAGCCACTTTGGTGAAAAGAGAGGATGTAAAACCCTATTTGTAAATATGATTTTTTTACTAATCATATTAGTAGAATAATAACTATATTAAGTAAACTATCGATTCGTACAACGATGTTCCAAAATCCACCCTTAAAACCAAAGCCGGCAGTTCAGTACAATATCACACGAGTATCTGATCAAAGCACCGCAAAAGGCAGCTACAAATCCAACGCGATTTCATCACCCAAAGACCCACAAATCTAGCGAGCTCATTGTGTGAGTGATAGTACGTAGCCTAGAACTCGTTGAAGTGAATGGCGCCGAGCTTCCAGACGAGGTACGTGGTGCCGAACATGACGACGGTGATGAGCGTGAAGGAGGCGGCGATGACGATCACGTCGGTGCCGAACGGCAGCGCCTCGAACGTCCACCCTTCCTTGGGCAGGCCGCGCTTGCTGTCGTCGAACATGTTGCTCGGCGCCTCGGGCAGCCGCGACGACCGCTTCTTCCCGGCCTTCCCGTCCGTCTCCCGGAGCGCGTCCAGCACCCGGCTCCCGAACTCCGGCTTCTTCCCTGCCGCCCCAGCCGCCGCCGACGCCGCCGAGGCCTTGCCCTTCGGAGACGAGCCCCCAGGCTCCGCGTACTTGCCCAGCACGCGCGCCGCGCGCAGCCGCTCCCGCGCCGTCAGTGGCGCCCGCTTCGGCGGCTCCTGGGGCGGGCTGCCGTTGGCGCTGGGCGCGGCCGGCGGCGGAGGCGTGTTTGTTGCTTCCTGTGCCGCGGGCGCCGCGCGGTCGTTGTCGGCGGCCGGGCACGTTCTTGCATGCTTGCTCCTCGCCGGCGAGAGCAGAAGGGACAGCTCGGCCGGGGGAGGCTTGTGGTGGAAGGCCGCCGCTGTCGTCGCCGCCTTCTGGAAGTGATGCCTCGAGCAGAAGGTGAGCTGCGTGTATGGCGAGGAAGATCTGGTGACGCCTCCTCCTAGCTGCACATCCAGTTGCATCGGCAAGCCAAGATTAATTAGCATGCTTAAACAGCTAACCAATCACAACTCTAAAGATGGTCGAAACTCGAAACAGTTTCACTGAATTATGCACGTAACCCTGTAACGAACTACAGATACATCAGTTTTTGCAGTCCCACTTCTGTAATTAGAACCACATGATTCCTATCTAGCAAAGTGGCAACAGCATGGTTGCGCAAGAAGCATCAAGAAAGAAGGGGAGAGGGAAGAAACCATGAAGCTAAGACAGAGAAAGAATGGAGCAGGAGGTAGGAGCTTACTTTGGCAGTAGTAACCTTGGAGGGAGAGGAGCTGAAGGTGGTGGCAGCCATCTTCGGCTCATCTGCTTGGCCACAGCGACTGCAGAGTTTTGATGCCGATGACAATGGAGATAGACTTCGTGAGGCCATCCGCAAATCGGGTCCTGGGGATGAATGCTTAGACCCGACAACTCTTTGGGCCGGGCCAAATGTGTGTGCCAGCAGCCTGCATAAGCCAGCCTGCTGGAGGAGCAAGCTTTCAACTAAAGTACGATTACGCACAAGTAACATGTACTCCGTAACAGGCAAGCTGACAATTAGTAGCGTGTTCGGCTCAAAGTCTGAAACTCTCATGTCCACAGAATTCTTTTATGAATTCTATGGCAGAATGAAAAAGAACTTACGAATATCCATACACAACCTGTTTTGCTCCACCAATCCAATCAACCATCTCACTTGTTTACACACAAGGAACTGATCATTTTCAGAATTCAGAGTGAGAGATAGAGACGACAGTCGCACATCAGCACATGATAGTATCATAGTACTAGTAGCCTACTGGGGGAACAAGAAAGGAAAAAAAACGCACTTCGATCATGTTATCCAGATTTGAGTTCTTTGACATCAAAACAGCTCATGTTACAGGGGGAGTGATCTCTCCCATGTCAGGGTATTCCAGTTCATGACACAACAAAAGTGCCGACTGCCCCATGTCAGGGTATTCCAGTTCATGACACAACAAAAGTGCCGACTGCAGAATATTTTACTCTCTTCATTCCAATCAGATTCAGCTATGTACAAGCAGAAAACGTTCCCAAGTTACCTCCTTAAGGAGGTACTACACTATAAGAACTATATATATACACTTTACTTGCAATCGTTCCCAAGAAAACAAGGTTTGCAATTGCAGAGATAGCCTCTACGGCTCTACCTAAGAACTGGTTTTCGTCCGGCTGCAGACAATTGAACATCTCCATTCAAAACAGAAACCACGAACCTTTCAGCCTCTTCCATAGTCACCTCATTGTCATACACAGCATATCTACCCCGTCGGGGCTTGTAGGCAAGGAGAAGTTTATCAGACGACTTGAATGCTGATTTGTCAAACGTGGACAGGAAGGCGGACTGTTTGTTCCCGTCCAACAAAGCATAAGCAACTGCGTTCCCAGAGTTGTAGTTCTGCCCCCTTATCAGAGTCTTCTGAGATATCTGGATGCGGATTGACAAGCAGGAACATCGCATTAAAGATTAAACAATTGGCCAGGCAAGGAGAAGAGAAAAATAAATACCAGCAAGACAGAAGAGACAAACCTCAGACAGGACGGCTTCAAGATTTTCCTTAGCTTTGCTTGATTTGAAAATGCCAAGGATACATACTGATGTCTTCTCACCACAAATCTCCTCAAAGTTGGAAGCAGTGAGGAGAGGAATTTTGTTTTCTTTTGGTTGATCTGTGTGAGCAGGTTTCTTAGCTTGGTTTGATGCAAGCTTCTTATTCTTCTTCTCAAAATTTTCGAGCAGATTCTTCAATTCTTTGATACCAGATCTGAGATCTTTCACTGAAATGCCATCCTTCAGAAGTTGTTCCTCACCATTAACGGACCTACCAATTAGAGCTGGAATATTCTTCACACCAAGGCTTTTGAGGAGTGGATGAGAAACATCCTGGACCTGATCAAAGAAACATGATATATTACTACATTAAATTGTCTGTATAGTCGTAGTACTAGCATAGCCATGACGTTCACTGCATGGACCAATCTATAATTATATATTAGCATAGGATTAACTATATACTACTAGCATTTATCAGCGCCTTATCATTTTTTTTTCAAAGCACAGTCAACACCACATAGGAATTGCGAGTTAGTTAGGCCCTATAAAACACAGCATGGCACTTGTGCTTCAGCTTTCCCATGAAAACCAGGATGTTCAGCAATGACATTTTTTTTCTACCTGATAAGCAACTGGAGACAAGATGATGATAAGTTAAAAATATAATACCTCTGCATCATAGAAAATTAATCGACTGCGGAACATCCCACTAACAGCACGCCACATTGCTGGTGTGTCCTTCTTAGCTGACAGTAGGAGCACTTGAGGAAGGTTTGGTATGATATTTGAGGGGAAGCTGAATTGGTTGATGTCTACCCTTTTGGAAAATCTTGGCAGGTGTTCTTGACAAAATGTCTTCAGGCTCTTAGAATCATAATCTCCTGAGTACTCATGCAAAGACCCTTTTTCTGTAGTTGTGTATGAATAAATGAAGAGACGAGCTGATTTTCCTATTGAGACACCAGCCTTCTTGCAAAGTGCCTTTTCATGGTCGCAGTTTACCTTACCAGCCTGCATAGAATAGAGAGTTATTATATAGTTTGCTCTTTCCATATGTTTATCTATCATTAAGGAGCAGCATTCACAAATTTGACCAGCTTACCCTCAGTGCACCATCCAGTGAACGAGCTACATCCTCCACGACACTTTCTAGCACAAATTGACCTTTTGTGTTTGGTGTATAGAATAACAAAAGCCAAGTGATTCCTTGATCAGCTGTTTCTTTATTGAAAATTTGCATCGTGACCTCCTGAATGTTGACAGAACTAGAATCATGACCAGAAGATTTTGTACCACGTCTGGCTTTGCCAGCAGATCCAGTATGCTGACTACCTCCCATTGATCCACCAGAAAATATGTTGGAAAAAACATCACCAAAATCAAAGTTAAATGGGTTTCCTCCACCGGCACCAGGGTTACCACCACCAAATGAAAAGGAAAATGTTTTTGTATTTCCCTGGCCGCCCATCGTTTGCCATCCATCACCAGATGAGAAATGGCTAGTCTTGGCGCCACCACCAGTGAAGTATGTGTAGCCCTCACGATTTCCAAAATTTCCACCACCAAATCCTGGGTTACCCTTTTCATCTCCATAGAGATCATAATTTTTCCTCTTCTCTTCATCAGACAGAATGTCATATGCTGCAAAGGAACACCAATACACTTTTAAAATGAGAACTCCAACTGATATGAACAATTTGAGTTTGAAGAGGGACACCAGTACCCCTTATTACTTTGAGAGGAAACACCTAAATACTAAGAATAATTGTTTATTGAAGAATAATTCAGCTAGGAATATTCTTTGTTGACAAAATAATTCAATATCACAGAAAGAACAATAATAACAATTTATACAATTGTACCTACCAATGGGATGCAACTTATTACCAAGAAGAGAAAAGAAAACTTGTTGATAATAGTGGTAAGTAAATTGTAATGAAGCAGATGCAAATTAAACACTGACCACAAACATGTTGGCTTACATAACTTTTCTGGACCTAAAGATATTCAAAAGGTAATATGCAACATTTATAAAAGACTCAGGATTAACTGTAACAAGCCAGCTAGCTTGTTCAAAGCAAGAATTAGCACATGTAAACGAACCCATAACAATGCAGAAAGCTTTTGCCAACACGTGGGTAGGTTCGTTATGATCTTGCTTTGAGATTTGATAACACCATTGCCTAACATCTATTAGTACAGGGTGGCAATACTAAATGCATTATTATCTCATTCTCACCATCACATAACTAAAAATGCAAAATGAATATAGCTGAAATACAGGCACTGTAATGTACTTAAGTCGAGCGTCTTACCATTGTTTATTTCCGCAAATTTTTCCTGCGCCCCCTTGCTTTTATTCTTGTCTGGATGATATTTTAGAGAAAGCCTGTGGAGATGAGATATTAGAAAAATCTTGTAAGCAGTAAAATATGATCTGAAACTAAATCAGATCCTCTTCAAAGAAGTGAACACATACTTGTGAAACGCTTTCTGAATATCCCGTTGGCTGGCACTCTTGTCAACCCCAAGAACCTGAAATAAAACAACAGAACAGAATATATCACTGACAATTTGACAACCGACAATGATGCTATCGTCGAAGGGAAAATGCGTTAATGCTGTGAACTCTAATTGATTGGAAGGCTCAAATGACTATGCTTTCATGATCACTTCTATTGCACATTGGCGAGGCTGCGTGGCTACTGTTCCTGAGTCCTGCCTCACAATTGGTTCCTAGTTCGTACAACATTTAGCTAGAGAAAACTGCACATTGCCGTCACCGGCGGTGGCGGGGAGCGCCCCCCCCCCCCCCCCCGGGGGGGCAGTGGAGGAAGGGGCTTATCGTCTCTCACCTTGTAGGGATCCAAGTTTTTTGCCGCCGCGACATGCAGGGCGATCGAGCTGAGGACGATCGACGCGACGAGGAGAGATCGGACAGGGATTCCCATCGCTAGGCTTCAGCAGATTGGGGTCTGATTCGTCCTCGGATCGAGCTTTCTCAGGGGGGGGGGGGGGAGGGGGGGTCAATTTCTGGTCGGGTTCGCTTCTCCGGAAGGAATCTTCGGGTGAAATTTGGTCGGGTTTGGAGGGAAGCGGCGGGGGGAGGGGAAGAGGAGGAAGGAGGATTTTAGCCATGGACGGAGCCGGAGGCCGCCGTTTTTAGAAGTGGGGCGTGGCTTCGGGGTTCGAGATGGTTCGGGAACCCGGTACACGTGTCGCTTGGGCGCGCTTCCAGCGAATTCGACCAATGGGATGCGAGCTTTCGAGCCCGTTGCGTGGCCGTCGCGGTGTCTGATTTTGAACCGTGTGCCACGTAGGATGGCGTTCGTCCACGATCCTCCTCTTCCGTGTGCCGTGGAGGTGGAAAGGGGATATAATCAGGACCGTCCGATCTCGGGCCGTCAGGCCGGATGGTTTAGCGTTTGACTTCGTGTGCCCTCGAACAGTAGATCCCTGTAAGCGTATGCGTTCGTCATCCGATGATCATGTGCATCAGCATCAGTTTATCAGCCAAGTTATGTCTGTTCTATTTCAACGTAATCATTTTTATCGGTTGACGGATTATATAGTTGAATGGCTTGTTGATGATTTTATGTAGTTGGGTGGTTGTTTCTTATACTCCCTCCATTTTTCATATTATAAGTTATCTGATACATCAAGAAGATGTTGGGTCAAGTTTCTCTTTACATGGAGCCTTTGCTCTTAGCCTATTGCAGCCCATAAGTTTAACAAATATGAGCCGTTGATTTATATATTGATTAATGGTGGAGATTGTCTTATCCTTTAAAAAACCTAATCTCCATTAAGAGAGTACAGCAAGTGTCCAACAGTTAGTTACTACTCCATATACGTGTTTTGTGATGTCTCTCAGTTAATTATATTTTTTTTATATCATGTATCAAATTTTACCTAGAGATTAACCTACCATTGATTAACAGTAAGAACATCCTTCCTCCGTATAAAAAACAGCTTTTGGGGGTATGTATCAAGCTTTTATTCATGTTCATCTCATATCCATCAAAAGTTGATTCTTTTTACACGAAGGGTTTACTAGGTACTCCCTCTGTTTCACAGTGTAAGACTTTTTAGCGTTGCCCACATTCATATAGATGCTAATGAATTAGACATTATTATATATATAAATTTATTAGCATCTATATGAATGTGAACAATGCCAGAAAGCTTTACATTGTGAAATGGAGGAAGTAGATGGGAGAAAACGAATCGAGGGTGCAATGATAAAATGGCCTTCATGATTTTCATCGGTCTTTGTTTAGGCTTGGCCTTATTGGCTTATGTGATTTATAAGTCGGTGGATTTAATGTCCTAAGTTTAGTGGTGGAATTATACATCTACCTCAAAAAAGGAAAAAAAACTTCTCCAACATAACTTTTGGCTTAATAGTGTTAGAGTGGCTTATGGCTTAAAAAGACCAAACGAATAAACTGCTTGTTTGTTTAGGCTTAGACTTTTCGACTTATAAGTTAGCTTATAAGACTAAACAAAGAGGGTCTAAGGATATGGTATCCGCAAAAGAAACCAATAACCGTAAAGCTTGAGAGGGCCACGATGACCGAATCACTAAAAAATAATCAGTCGCGTGCCTCCCCTCGTGGCCACGTGGCACGTGCGGAGAAGAGGGCTGCGGTGGCCCTCCTGTGCGGCGCATTTCTCGTTTTTTTTCTTCGTTTTTTTCTTTCAATTTTTCTTTTCGGTTTTTCTGGTTTTTTCCCTTGATTTCTTTCTGTTTTTAACATATATGTATATAAATTTTGTATTCGTACATATATAAAGTTTGTATGTGTATGAATACAAATTTTTTTGTATACGTGGTGTTTTTCTTGGTTTTCGGTTTTCTAAATATGTATGTATTTACGTAGTATACAAACATGGTATACGCCATGTTTTTTCTTTTTTCTTATTTTTTTAATACGTATATATATATATATAAACTTTGTATATGTCGTATATAAACTTTTCATATATATATATATAGTATAAAAGATATATTTTTTATAGTAATAGTATAGTAGTAGCAACAGTGTAATAGATAGTAGTAGTGGTAGAGGTAGTACTTTACCACTACTACGAGTGTGTTTAGTTTTTTAAAAAAAAGTTGGAAGTTTAAAAAAAGCTGAGAGTTTGAAAAAAAAATTAGAAGTTTACGTAGTATGTGTATAGAAAATTTTTTAACGTGATATGATGTGATGCAAAGTTGGGAACAGGTAATAACTTCACGGCCTACTAGTAGTACTGCCGTACTGGTAGTAGTACTACTGATCGCGCGGGGGCATTAGCAGTCCCCACGATGACAGGTGGGCCCTCCAAGTGCCACGTCAGCCTAAAACCCTGTCTTCCTCGCCGCAAGGCCGCAAGCATCGCCAAGACAGAATCCAAGAGAAGAAAAGTTACAAAACCCCATTCCGTTATTCCAGCATTCGCCGTTGCGCTTCAGCTCTTCTCCCTCCCGCCCTCTCAAATTTCCCCCAAATTCTCATCCACCACCACGCCGAGACGCCGACCCCGCCGCCGCCTTCTTCTGAAGCGTCTCCCCGCATCCACCTCCGCTTCTCTCCTCGCTGCTGCCGACGCGAGCGCGGCGCGGGGAGGCGCAGGCGCAGGCCCATGGCTCTCTCCGCCGGGGACGTGCAGTTCATCTACTCCGTCCTCGCCAACTCGCTCAGCGCCGACGCGGCCACGCGGCAGCCGGCGGAGGCCTTGCTCGCGCAGTGCGAAGCGCGCCAGGGGTTCTGCTCCTGCCTCCTCGTGAGCCCTCCTCCCCTTTTCCCCTCCGCTTCGCTACTCCACCCCACGAGCCGCAGGCCCGCTGATTTCGGGCTAATTTAGGGGCGGTTTTGGCTTTGCAGGCGATCATCACGTCGAGAGGGGAGGAATCCGACGACGATGTGCGGCTGCTCGCCGCCGTACACCTTAAGAACTGCGTCACCCGCTGCTGGCGGAACAGCGTCGATTCCCCGTGAGTTCTCATCCTGTCCAACATTTAATTCTGTGTTGATGTGTTTAATTTGAACTAAGTGCGGTTTTAGTAGCGATCAATGGTAACTTGAAAGTGCAGCGACGTTTCTTACTTGGATGATCTCATTTGTGGCGTTTATTCAATAATGCAAGCACAGCAAATGCCTAAGTTGCTATATGCGGAAGGAAGTCTCAGCTGTACCATCACCTGTACGGCGTGTCTAGTGGTTTTGGATGATTTTTGTGCTACATAGGATTCTTCTATGTTTGGGCATTACTTGCTATTGCTGGTTTTGGTCCAACACTTTATGAGCTAAAAATAAGTGTTCCTGTTTATGTTTTCTTTGTTATTTTGTGCAATAAGATTCACGATGGTAGCAAATCAGCAAAACACTTTGTAACTTGGTACGATAGATTTTTCTTGTCTCCAGTGAATTGTACACTAGATTAGTTTAGTGGGTCTTATGTGTGAGATTTTTATATTAGTAGAGTGGCATTAACTTCTGCTGGAGCCATCGGCAGAAATCTCTTGATTAATTCCTGGTGCTTAAATGTCCCTGGTGGAAATCTAATATCAACTACGTTGTTATGTCCAATAGGCTGTTACTGACTTTGGCCTCCATTTTTTTTGTTCTGAAACAGCAAGGGCTGGATTGGCCTACTTCTGTGTTTTTGTCTATAGACGGCACCCTGCATATTTCTCACTTCTGGGGCATACATATATTGTCTACTTTGATTTTCTATGATACTTTTCATACTGTTATAAGCCTTGTGTTCTCTCTGCCTTTGATAATTAATGTTTGATTTCTCGATGAATGAGTTTAAATTGTATTTTGCAGTGCCATAGATAATGAAGAAAAGGTCTACATTCGAAAAAGTCTTCTGCTAAATATGCGAGAAGAAAATGGGAAGGTGCACATTTGTAGGCAGTACATATTTAACACTGTTGAATAAACACAGGGAGATAATAATGGTAGTATTAACTTTGACAAATGATGTGGTGTAGATTGCACTTCAATTGGCTGCACTGATAGCCAGGATTGTATACTTTGATTATCCAAAGGAATGGTATGATATTTTTATCCCATTTCTTATCAATTGTCTTATGTTACTCCAACTACTGGACTCGTGACTCGAAATGTTTCTCATAATTTTGGTTATTCAGGTCAGATGTCTTCTCTGTGTTGGCACAGCAACTTCAGACATCTGATGTATTCACTTCATATCAAGTGTCTACAGTCCTATTCCGATCTTTGAAGAAACTATCAAAAAAACGTCTTGCTTTCGATCAGAGGAACTACTCTGAGGTATGTTCACTTTTCACAGGACATCTTCATGTTCAACCGCTCATCACCGCTAAGATATGAACTACTCTTTGATCACATTGATCTTCTATTTGATGCCTACTGGTTGTAGTTATCCTGTTGAAAAGGCACACATGAGCATTAGGTTCTTCCCTGTATATAGCTGACATTACTTTGTGATGACGACATGCCCAATACAGGACACTCACAGATTAATGTTGGCCTCGGCCAGTTTGTTTGATAAACACATGACCTTTCACACTTAATTTTAAGGCTTATATATTTTTTTTAAACAAATTGCAGATACATCTGCTCTATTTGAGCCTTTGTCTCATTATAAGCACACAGAGTACTTTAATTAGCAATTATGTATCTCATTCTGCCTTTGTGAAAACTATTATGTTATGCAGATCACTGTCTACTTGTTTGATTATATCTGGAACCTCTGGAAGAGCAATGCACAGATTGTATTACAAAATTTTTCAGTGCTTTCTCAGCATAATTCCAGTTTGGACCAATCAAATGATCTACTGTTAATATATGAAAGATGGTTAGTCTGTTTGAAGATCATTCGCGAATTGATTTGCTCAGGTTATGCAAGTGATTCAACAACCATGCAGGTACTAATAAAATATTTATGTTCACATATGCGCTTTTATCTTGAGCTCACAACCTGAGGCTAGAAGTCTAACCTAAATGTTTCAATATGTAGGAAGTCTGTCAAATCAAGGAAGTCTGTCCGGTACTTCTGGGTGCTATTCAATCTATTCTTCCATATTGTATGCTATATTTCTATTAATCACATGATATTTCTTATTTTTCATAATTTTCTTCCTATCTCAATATTATATATGATTCTTCTTCTGATTTTTCAGAAAACTAAACCATCTTGATTACTTGAACAATCTAGATATATTACCACAAAGTGTACTGTTTTTTCCTCTTACTCCCTCCGTCCCAACATATAACAACTTTTGGCTATGAATCTGGACACCCTCCGTCCCAACATATAACAACTTTTGGCTATGAATCTGGACACGGTTGTCCAGATTCATAGCCAAAAGTTGTTATATGTTGGGACGGAGGTAGTCACAATATTTCTATCTAAGACCATGTTCATTCAGTATTTTTTCATTACACTGGAGCAACTATGCAATTCTTTTACTTGATATGTAAAATAAAAGCATGAGAGGCCCATGAATTTCACCTATGATTGTCATGTCCATTTCTGTGTGGATGTTCCAATGTTCAATACATGCTTATTGCTTTTGCATTGTTCAATACAGTCTTATTTTTCAATACAGTCATATTTTTTGAAGAAATAAATACCCTTTTTGTTAGTATGATTTGGTTAAAAGCTTTGCGTTTCACTTCCCTCTTTGTGTTGATTTTTAAGATTCAGGTCTTTATCATCTAATTACATAGTTTCCACTAGTAAAATATCTACATTTGACATTACAGATCCCTTCTTCAAAGAAAGGCAAGCTAAGCCGTGGAGCCATGCAAAAAGAGCATGCATTAAGCTGATGAAAGTTCTTATTATATTACAAGACAAGTATCCTTATTCATTTGCTCATGAAACTGTGCTTCCAGCAGCAGTTGACTTCTGTTTGACTATGATCACAAATCCTGAACAGGCAGATACATCTTTTGAGGAATTTCTTGTCCAGTGCATGGTTTTGGTGAAATTAGTATTGGAGTGTCAGGAATACAAACCAGGTCAAATAGGCTTTGAAGCAGTTGGAAGTTCAGAACATGCAATTTTTGATCAAAGGAAGAACAACCTTTCAGCTACTGCCAGCAGCATGGTGATGTCTGTTCTTCCTGCTGACCGTATTATGCTGCTATGCGATATATTAATAAGGAGGTATTATTCTGAATTGCTAGCAACCCATATGCCATATACAACTGCTCCACAGCCAACTGTTTCTGTTTGCATTCGTATAATTTCATTCGTAGTTAGCATCATGCTGCAGACCATCTATTGAAGTCTGTAAGATAGAACTTTTGGTTCTCTTTTAATTAGATTACACAAATTGTTCTGCTATCACTTTACTAGACAAGCAAATCATTGGGCTAATCAAGTAAAGCACCATCCATTATATAAACAACAATAAATGTTTTGAAGTACCATTCGCTGAAAAATATTTTATTATAGTTACACTAGGTAATTAGTAATTACACCTTCTTTTTAAAACTAATGATTATTGGTAAATAATTCCATAAATGTCTTAGAGTGGTTTACAGGAGCAACGTTCAGCAACTTATAAAGTATAGACGGACCTATCGAATGGCATGAGGAAATTATACACATTTTAATTGCTGTACGGGGAATGTGATGCCGTTATCCATGTGTGAGAGGAGTGTCAAATTAGTAAATTACATTGGATGTTGTTTGGGTTTGATATTTTACTATAATATTTTATACAATACCATAATGTGGTGTCATTCCCTTTGGCCTTCTCTTCTAGGACCCATTAACGCAAGTTTTAATTCAACTGCAGGCACTTCATTTATACAGCAACAGATATGAATGAATGGCATTCCAATCCTGAATCCTTTCATCACGAGCAGAATCTGCTACAATGTACAGAGAAACGCCGACCATGTGCTGAAGCACTTTTCATTATTTTGTTTGACAACTACGGAGTGGTATATGTGCATTTCATTGTTATTTCAAGTTTTATTATGCATGATGTACAATGCTTATGTTGTTTTACATTGCCTCAGCAACTTGCTCCTTTTGTTGCCTCCATCATCCATGATGTCAAAGCTGTTTCGCCTCCACTTGAAATAGAAATTACTGCTGGAATGCTTTTAAAGGAGGCTGCTTATACAGCTGCTGGCCATGTTTTTGATGAACTCTCAAAGTACCTTAGTTTCGATGAATGGTAAGTTTCTTGGTGTGTAATACCTTCTGTATTTACTCATGCTAGATAATATGCACTGGACTAGTAGATGAACAATATAGCCTAATTCAAATACATACAAAATGTTAATGAACCTAAGGATCCATGGGTATTCATCGGTTTCTGTGGCTTTCATGTTATGTGAAAGTTGCATCGCTACCTTTGCTCCTGCTCAATTATGCAGGTTCTGTGGATATCTATCTATTGATCTTTCAAATGGCAACCCCAATATGTGCATCATTCGTCGAAGAATTGCATTGTTACTTGGACAATGTGCTTTTGAGGTTCCGTTATTAACTTCAATATTTTCCCTCAGATATTAAACAGAAATTAGAAGCAGAGAACATGTTAAATTTCCTACTTGTGTGTCTGCTTTAACATAAAAAATAATAATTCTACAGATAAAGGGCGTTATTCAGAAAGAGGTCTGCGATGCTTTGGTTGGACTTCTTGGGGATCAGGACATGGCCGTTAGGGTATGTATCATAGTTAAAAACCTTAGCATTAAAAGCGAGAAATCCTTTTTCTTTAGTTTACTAATTCTGCTGTCAACTTTCAGCTGGCAGCATGCTCTTCCCTATGTTACGCTTTCCGAGTTTTTGGTATTTGGGAAGTAGATTTGCTTGAGTGTATTCCTACATGTTGGGCAATGTGTTTCAAGTTGATAGGAGCTGTTCAAGAATTTGATTCAAAGGTTTGTTCCAGTCAGTCTATTCTAATGCACTTCACCTTCCAATTTTATGTATGTCATACTTTCTGGAGGCTCTGAAATAAGGCAAGGTTGTATGGCACCTTTTTTTTCCTCTAAACTATAGGACAGTCATATTGTTCGATGTTAGCCAGTGGCGAATGTAGGATGAAAATAGAGGGGGTGCCTTGTTCAAATGAGAGTTTCAGACGTGTAGTCATCCAGTTTATCAGATAAGCTTTGTAATTAACATATTAACTGTTGACTATTAACATATTAAGTCATCTAGTTAAGTTTGACTATTACAAACTTTAAATTTTGATTTATTTGAATTTTGATGAAACCTCTCTATAAGAAGTTTTTTTTTTTTTTTTGAAAAATCACAATGTTTAGCGGTTTGATAATCATGTACACACAAAGTACCAAAAAAAACTATTAATCTGAAGAGCAATTCTACGGTACCTCATGGTACCTCCTCAAGGACCGTAAAATTGCTCTAATCTGAAAGAACAGGGTAAAGCTAGATAGTAAACTATAAACTATATGTACACGCCAATCAATTGTCAATCAAATTTCAAATTTATACCAGAAAGAACTCAAAATAAAGAATAAAAAAATAGCACTAACAAGTATTATAGTTGGCTGTAAACATATATACGAAAAACGGTGCGATGTTCAATTTTTTTCCCCATTTTTTTTTGTATTTGGTTGCCCTTACAATAAAAGAACCAGTTGGATATATGTGACCAAAGACACTAGGCAGTACTGCTTCCCAAGCCAACTTGTTCATTTTTTGCTGTGATGGCTCACTAGAGCATGTGGATGGATGCGGATACCTGTTAGCACCTATGGGCTATGGCCGGCCAGAGCTGGGGCTGGAGCCCCGACCAGCCCCAACGATGGATTCGCCGCTGATGTTAGCCTGCTGGAGTGCTGGTCTTTAGAAAGTTCTGCCTGGGCATTGCAGGAAATGCAATGCAGGTACTGGCCCTGCCATGCAGCAAATCTTGGTGGACAGCTGGCTAAGTTCCTTGTTATTGTAACAAAATATTTTTTAGTTACTAGAAGTAGTATATTATTGGAAATGATCTTGATATTTTTGACGTACAAAACACTAACTTTAACTATCTGTTTCTCTTTTTCTCAAGAACACAATTTTTTTTATTCTTTTTAATTGATCCAAGGAAAAACTTTTTCGTTGTGGATGTACTTTCTATGGTTACTACTTACGCCATTTGGCCTTTTTCATATGTAGGTGCAAGTCCTGAGTTTTATTCTGGTTCTCCTTAATTATGTTGGGGACGACAGGATCATTCCATTTGTGAGCGAGCTATCACAATTTTTTCTAAAGGTACGGGTCTTATCATTTTAACCCATTGAGATCATTCCATTCATGTTAGATGCACTTGACATTTCACAATTTTTTTAGATAACATATCATAATGATCAGGCTTTAGTAAGAAAGCACACTTCCCCAGCATACAAGGTTCAATACAGTAAATTCTGTGCACAGAGAACTGAATGAGGAACTTTATGACCACAATCTTTCTTTTGTTCATCATTTCACATGAACAATATTTTCCTACCTGATCTAGCTTAGCTTTCAAGTCATGGTTTTTTGGGTGGCGCATCACCACAATGTTTACTTTCTCTGTTATGAGCTTGAGTCTTGGGTATAGAACATGTTTTGCATTTGATGATTTCTTCTATGCTTACTTTTTCTTCAAAATGCAGTGTCCATGATTCTCTGTAGGTTAGCTGATTTTTCGAGTCAGTTGTCATCCCACTGAGTTAGAAAAGAGTGGATTCAAGAGAAACATTCAGTTCTTTTTTTTTTTGCGGAGTTCAGTGCCTTATGGAAGTTCATGTCAACCCTTCTGTATGATTTCAGACCTGGGAGGAATCATCTGGTGAATGTTTACTACAGATAGAACTTCTAGATGCAATTCGAACTTTTATTTCTTCTCTTGGGTATAACTCTCCACTTTGTTATGGCATGGTTCTTCCTATACTCCAATATGGCATGGATGTTGATAGTCCTAACGCTCTTAATCTTCTTGAGGACACTGTTTTGGTAAGCAGTTATTGTTCCTTATTTTTTTTGTTTCTGCCTACTTTCAAATTCTTAGCAATCTTAAGCCGATACCCATTATGTAGTTGTTGGAAGCAACTCTTTCTAATGCCCCTTCCATTGTGCCTCAACTGCTGGACTGCTTCCCTTATCTTGTGGGCATCATGAATGGGAGCTTCAATCATTTGGAGGTTAGGATCCCTCTTGTATAATATTGTGAACAGTGCTACCGAATTTCAAGTGTGGAGTGTGCCGTTTGTTAAACAAGGACAAACAAAATATATGAACACAACTCACACCTTGTGGTTAATGCTCCCTCTGTTTCAAAATATAAGACCCTTTTTATTTTCTGCTATGTCTGCTGATACTATATCTTTTTTTATAAGATAATGGATTAAAGCTCAGCCACTACATCCAACATGGATGTTTTGGCCATCTGATACTATATCTTGACTGTTAAAGTTTTATGTTACATTGTTACTGTATATTTGTATCAACTATAAACGATGACATGTAAACAGTGTTTCACCTTATGAGCGAGGAATAAACTGAAACATGAAACCTAATCTAGTCTTACTTTTAATACATTGATGTGACTATGAGAAAGTTCCGCTGGCTGACTCTGAAACACATTTTCATGATGTAGATCATGATCAAAATAATAGAGCACTACATAGTTTTTGCTGGATCAGATCTCTTGCAAAGCCATGCCACAAGTTTAGAAAGCATCGTTGATACTATTGTGGGCAATGCTGATGATAAGGGCCTTCTCACAACACTTCCTATCATTGATCTTCTTGTTCTGGTATGTGTTTATTTTTCTGATGAATGATCTGAATTCATACTTTCTCTGATGTTACCTTACTATTTCTATTTGCTGTTGGGTACTCTCTGCCACTGGACTTCTGTGGTGCTCTGCTGTTTTCTTGTTCTCCTTTTATTTTTTGTAGAGCCCTTTGATAGAACCCTTCCCAGTTGGCAGTCTGATGGAATTAGCAATAATTACTGTTGGCAGACCTCTGATAGCTAGATTTGGGAAAGCACCTTCCACAATGAGAAATTATACATTCGTAGTTCTTTTACATCTTTCACTTTAGTGTGGTTCCTGGTAGCACATTCAGTGTTGGCTGGTGCTTATCATGGTAAGCTAATCAAAGCTTTTGCATGCAGATGTTTCCTCAGGAAGTTCCACCTCTGATATCAAGTGCTCTTCAGGTACTTATAATGCAATACATTGATTGTGGATGCTTGAATAGTTGTTTGAATTATCCATTTCTACTTCATTTTTATGATCCTAACTCGTCCAGTCTTTGTCCATTTCTAGAAACTTGTTTTCATATCATTGAGTGGTGGTGATGAGCATTATCCTTCTAGGACTGCTGTTTGTGTCACTTCTGCAGCAATTCTTGCTAGGCTTCTTCTGCTGAATAGAGACTTTTTAGCTCAACTATTATCAGAGCCAGCACTTATAGCAAGGTTCCAACAAGCAGGGATAAACCAGAATCTACTTCTTCTTTTGGTTGATTGGTGGATTAACAAGGTATGTGCATCATCACGGTTCAGTCTCAGACAGAGCATCAATCTGCATATGAATGCCAGTAACTTTTACTGGTTTGTCTCAAAGTCCAACCATACATGTTTCTACCGAACATCTACTATTCTGTACCTAACTAATTTACAGCTTTGAGCAGAATGGTTTTTATCTAATATCAGTATTCACTAGCAATACTGTATTACATAACCTAACAAATTGTTAGTCCAAATACTATGTAAAGTGGGTCCTTCAAAATGGGGACTTCAGTTTCTTGCACCCTTCCAACTTGTGACTTGGACCTGTGCTTTAGCAAAATCTATTATATATTCTTGGAGTTCATGAAGTTATTTCTTGGTTTGTCAGTTTCTGTGATCAGGTATTGTTATTAAGGTCAGGCACTGAAAACCTTATGAACTGTGCAGTTCTCAATACTTTAGACCTTTCGCTGTGGAAATATAAGCTGTTAATATGGAAGATTCTCTGCATTAATGATTAACAAAATAGTGGCATTTACATTCTGTAGGTAGATAACGCAAGCTCTATAGAGAAAAAGGTATATGCAATGGCTCTTTCTGTAATTTTGACTGCAAATATACCTGGAGTTATCGAGAAACTTGGTGATATTCTGAGGTAAAATATTTCAAACAGATAGGATGAATTGTGTTATTATTTTGGTACTACTTATCATGGTTTTGTGCAGATTATGTACAAGTGTTATTATTGGAGGACATGGGAGGACTACCAGTGATGATTCTAGGTTATTTTACTGTCAGATTATGCTTCCCTCTGATTCCATTGTGCTTTAATTCATTGTTCTTGCTTTATTTTTTTTGGCAGTGACGATACAATCTCTTCATTGCCTCTTAGTGATGATCCAGAGTATTCCAATACGAGTAAGGAATTCAAGAAGGCGCAAGTAAGTAATGCTTCAGAGAGATGTTCATTTGTGCAATCTAGTAGGTAGTCTGAGACTCTCATTTGTGTTGATTCCCATTCTTGACCAGATAAGGGAGCTGGATCCCATTAGAAAAGCATCGCTTGTCGACATGCTAAGAGAGAATTTGAAAGAATGTGCAGCTCTGCATGGTGATGCAGTCTTCAATGCAGCTATCAGCAGGATCGATCCTTTAGTAATTGCGCAGTTGTGGCAGGCCCTGGAGATTGGATAATATGTGCACCATGGCGATTCTCTTCGCCGTTGTCCCTTCTCCGAACAAACACTTCATCACAACTCACAAGCCATACAATTTGCATGGACACATGTGGCTACTACATCGTTTTTACTGACATTGAAGTGTGCTGTTCGATAGTTACGACACCATGGCACCTTCAAAAAAACACTGACGTCCAAAATTTAGCATACATAAAACACTGACTATCTGACGTCTCAAGGATATTCCTTTCGTAGTGAATGTAACAAGTATGGGGTAGCATATTCAGGGATAGCCGTTTTCTTGATAGGATATACTCCCAAAGTCCCAATACTCCTAGATCAGATATTGACATGTTATAGGAAACCATTTGAAAAGAGAACATATGAAAATGTATAGAATCGATATCCTTTGCTTTTTTTTACTTCAAAAACGAAACATTTGTTGTTTGCAACAACCATTTACATTCTGCTCATGTGCTTCATCCCCCCTTTTTTAACCTGTATCTCTACTGGACGTATGGTCCAAGTTCTCAGTGAGCATGGTATACGTCTTTTGATCGTGTAACTGACCCACCGATTTGCCGAAATAATTTAGCAGAAATCTGATTGAGTTGTGAACGCGCACCCGTTGGGTATGGTCGATTCATGTACGCTGATCCTAGGCACGTCCACTGTTGCATCTGTAACTGACCCAAAGATGGCCATGCTCTGACAAAGCACCTATTCCCCTTGAACAGAAACATTTCCTATGAACAACTCAAAACAAAAATAACTGGGGAGGTTCTGAATTTTGAGAATTATGTGGTGGTACTGAGAATGCTCGACATGTAATCTTTACCTGCCCCTTAGCAAGTTTAGATGCCCCTGGATGAAATTTTGTCCCCCTCTTCGTTTGATCAGTTTTTCTCCACCTTGCTTCCTGATTCTTATACAGAAGAGTGTTTTGTTACTAGCCGCAGTGAGTTAGCAATTTTGGCTCACTAGAAATGACATGATTTTTAGACCTAAGGTTGTGGGCACTCCTCAAACTGTGATCTGTCGCTTGATCTCTCTTCTGTAGCAGTGGAGGATTTTGACGAAGCCGAAGGACACACTAAAGGCCTGTTTGGTACAGCTCCAACTCCTAAATTTAACTCCAGGAGTTGAGTCTGGAGTGGAGTTGTGGAGCTGCCTAAACCCAGCTCCGCAACTCTAGTTCATTTTGTGAGAGAGCTCCACCCAGCTCCACTCCCAGTTTTGGTGGAGCTGAAACTGTTTGACTGAACTTCATCTCCAGGAGGGGTGGAGCTGGAGCTGGAGCTGTGCCAAACAGGCCCTAAGACTGGAGCTCATGATATCTTGTTGTTTGAGGCTGCTGGCTCCCTGCAGGTGCGGGAGGGTGTGAGCTGATTGTGTGGGATGTACCAGTGACCTGGGGAGGGTTGTTGCCCCGAGTGGTTTTGGCAGCTGCTGTGTGCACTTGTGGGTTTTTTCTGCGTGCCCTGGTCACCTGGTGGCTAAAACTGTAGCCGGTCACCGGCAAAAACCATCTATTGCTTTCTATCAAAGCAGGGTTCTCTGCCTTTGTTTTCCAAAAATAAAAAAAAAAATAACATTGGCATCTGGGCCAAAGGAGCACCGGTAGAACCAGCCAACCAGGCCAAGGCCCATCCCAACCACGACGGCCTGTGTCCACCCGTCGCTTGCCAGTTCACCCCAACATCCCAGAAATTCAAAACCCATCTCAGGCCGTAACGCAGGTACGCAACCCTACGAGAGACGCCCCCACTTTCCCAAAGCCGAGAGCCCTTTCGGCTGCCCACGTCCCCACTCCTCCCACCTTTTTTAACCTTTCTCCTCTCTCTCTCTCTCTCTCTCCCCCCTCACCATCGCGGCGGCCGCCACCACTACGCGCAGCAACCGGCAGCAGCAGCAGAGGAGGAGGCCAGGGCAACCCGCAACCCCAAACCCTACTCCCGCCGCGCCACCGCCATGGCCGACCCAGCGGAGCACCGTGAGGAGGAGGAGGAGGCCGCGGCGGCGGCGGCGGGCGAGGACGAGGACACCGGCGCCCAGGTCGCGCCCATCGTCAAGCTCGAGGAGGTCGCCGTCACCACCGGCGAGGAGGACGAGGAGGTCCTCCTCGACATGTAAGCCGCCTCCCCCTCCCTCGATCCAGCCCCGATCCGATCTCCCCCGGCTTTGATCTGAGCCTGACGACTCGTTTTTTTTGGATTTCCCGCAGGAAGTCGAAGCTGTACCGCTTCGACAAGGAGGGGAACCAATGGAAGGAGAGAGGCACCGGCACGGTGAAGCTGCTGAAGCACAAGGAGACCGGCAAGGTCCGTCTCGTCATGCGCCAGGCTAAGACGCTCAAGATCTGCGCCAATCACCTCGGTATCCAATCTTTGCGGGGATCTTTTGTTGTTGGTTTCGATCTGGATTCCAGATGGATGGGGTTCGACTTGACTGGGTGATGTTTGTGTGTGCAGTGGCGACGACCACGAAGATGCAGGAGCACGCCGGCAGCGACAAGTCGTGCGTGTGGCACGCGCTGGACTTCGCCGACGGCGAGCTCAAGGAGGAAATGTTCGCCATACGCTTTGGATCCGTCGAGAGTAAGCACTAAACACCCCAAGAATTATGTAGTTGCTCCTTTTGTTTCTTAACCAAAATATTATACTGCTAGTAGTAGCATGTGCTTGGATGGGCTTTGAGCAATCAGATTGTTATTGGGTGTCCGAGAATTGAATTGGTGATGGTTTTCTGCTTGGTCGAGGTTCATCACTCAAATGAGTTCGTAGACAGACCATAGTTTTATGAATTGTGTGATCATAAATAAAGTTTGATCTGCACTGTGAGTTTTATTTCGTTAGACGGACCATAGTTTCCTGAATTGTGTGATCACAAATAAAGTTTGATCTGCACCATGGGTTTGATTCACATTCACTTTGCTGTATTGTTTTCATCTAGTTTACTATCATCCACCTTTGGTGTTTGGATCTAAACGCCTTAACTATAATCTGGTGCACAGTGTTATTGGACGACTAGCAGTCATTGGCGTGGGACTGTTTTTGTGCGAATGATGTACATGATTTAACCATCTAATTGCATCAATTTGCAGTTGCTAGCCTTCACATTTGTTTTATCACACACCTTGCTTTTGGAAGTCTGCGCTTAGAAATTGTTCTGTGATTCTAGCATGTTTTTTTTGGTGAATTGCAGACTATTTTCTGCTTTTCAAGTTCTCGTCATAATTTGGGAGGACATGGAATTTGTGTCCTGTCTAAAGCAAAATTTTGAAATAGCAAGAGATCTTTAACTTTCTGGATGGATTTAAGTTCGAAATTAGTCCTATTTCTTTTTGCATCAAAACCAAGAAGCAAGTAACTCACTCACCATGTGGCAAAACCAATGAACATGCAACCAATAAGTACTAGAATGACTTCTTGGTTTCCGATCCACAATTTAATTTAGCACATAGTGACTACAAATAGGACTTAGATTTTTGGAAAAACCAAAAAATGAAATAAGCCTCAGATTTTTGGAAGGAGGGAGTACTTTCTAGGCCATTTTTTATCTTTTGAAATAGCAATAGTGCCAAGGTGACAGCAGCCAGCACACTAAAGAGATGGACAAGATATGTACTATAATCCTTATACTGCTCCATGTTTTATCAATCCAAATATTATTTTACTTAAGATTTTGATTCATCTGGTATGTACTTTAAGCTAATTAAAGGCATAACCACATTGTGACGTGGATTATTTTGTGAAAATGATCTATATTAGTTTTCATTAACAGTTAGGATCTGCTGGTGCAATTCTTTCTCATTAAGGTACTTTGTCCAGTGATTAAATGCATGTTCGAATTGTATGATGCATTTAAAATTATTCTACAATTGTATGATTGTGTCAATAGTTATGTACTGTTTCGTCTGTTCCTGAGGTTTGACAACATGTAAATTGAAATGAACTGTCTTGCTATGAAATTTGCTGCTGTGACTATTTGAGACATCAATATGTAGTTCTTTGTGAGAGACTGCTATATTTGTATTGACCTACCTAAGCTCTGTTTCATCTGCATTTCTTTCGGACTTTTTTGTCTGACTGTTGTCCATGAATTTTGTTTCAGACTGCAAGAAGTTCAGGGAGATGGTAGAAGAGATTGCTGAGCAGCAAGGAAAGAACGAGGAGAAAGAAAATGAGGAAGTCTCCTCTACTGCAGGGTTGGTTGAGAAGCTTTCAGTGACCGAGACAAAAAAGGAGGAAAATGCAGAGAAAGAGGAGACTCCTGCAGAAGAGGATAAGAAGGACGCTAAAGAGTGAAAGCACCCGCAACCTCTAGGCAGCTTTGATATGCCTGAAGCGAGTGAAGTGTTAAATGAGCGTCATTTCATTCATTTTGTGGTCAAAGTTCTTCCTTTCACAAATTTTCATTGTGTTTTCTTTTGGATGAATGTTTGTGCTAGGCAAAATTTGAGTTGTATCAGTCGGGTTCTTGGTTACTACACTGTTACTTAAACCTTGAGTTGTTTATCCGAGATGGGGTGGCGGAGTGGGGGCACAGCATGTTTGTACAATTATTTGAAGTTGCTTTTGGAATGGGCACGGTTTGGGTTGTCCAAAATTTGGACGGTGATGCCCTGTCACTCACAATTCTTATCTCTGTCTTGCAATTATATGCGATGTGAAGCTCTTCGCCTCTTCGGTGACGAGTTGTCGAGTTGTATGTGTGCATTTTTACTGCTGCAACCTGCAAAGGTGACGCACTGCAGAGCATGACGCATATCATTATCATATAGGAGTAGATCCATGTGTATTGCCGGGCAAACGCATTTAGTGTGAATCATGTAGTACATATCACAGCACGCGGAGCATATGTCGTCTCATAAGCTCGTAAAATCGCAGCAATGAATGTTGGTACCAAGTACTTGTTGCTGTAGTGCTGTGCTTGTACCGCCCCCATGTTATCGTGAAAAGCTTCTGTGCTTGTACACACCCCATGTTATCGTGAATGCCTGTCGCCCATGGCGTCTAAAAGGCATTTCTCACGGTGTGTAAACCGTTGCATCCCATGGCATATACTACGGCATCTCGTGTGCATCATTTTGCTTTATCATCTTCAGTCAGGTGATCTGTAGCCAGTAGACTTTACTTGCTACGTCTGTAACCTGCAAAACACTACCATCCTGCACCCATCGATCCGCAATACTACCATGCTGTCTGTACCCATGTTCCGTGGATCTGGGTTCACCCCCAGCATGGAGGCGTATGCACTGCGCAGATCGTGATACGCCCCCATTGATCTGCATTAAAAACCGATGATTTCCCGGGAGCCACATAACCTGCGTATCTTCCCGATCGCCGGAATTGCGATGTACTCGTACTCGTTGCTGCTTGTTTGCTCATGATGATTGCCCGTGGTACTGACACAGTGACAAGTCGACACGTCCTGGGAGCGTACTACGGATGCGCGATCGGAAGGATCTCCCGATGCAGAAATTGCAGATGGACGCGCACTACTACAGCTTCAGTACGACAAGTTCGGCGGCAAATGCATGTGACGTGAGTGTGTGAAACACGCGCTTCCCCCTCGCATTTCTTTTGTTTCTCAAACGAAAGAACGTGCACGATGAATTTGTTCATGGAATTCTTTCCCGCCGTGAGCCCGTGCACTGCCCCGTGAGCCTTTTCGGCCATTTCTCCTACTATACCCTGTTCTGAAAGACTGAAATCTGGCGCGAAGTGTTTGTTACCTGGTCGGCTTAGTTTCAGAATTTGAAACTGAGAGACAAGAAACAGGACCAGTTCTCGCTTCCAACCTGGCTTTCCAGGACACTGGTCGTGTATGTGTCAGAGTTTACTACTCCATTGCCATTAGCCTGCTTGTGGTTTCTCGATCTGATCATTCAGACGACCATGTAAGTAAATTGTTCCCAGGTACAGTACCGTTTCTAGATAATTAGTACCACGAAACTGTCCCCGCGGTCGGGTTACGGTTAGGCTTCGCTCTCAAGCCTCGCGCCGATACGGTAAACGCATTTAACGAGACATTTTTCCGCCAAGTGAATGGGCCAAAACACCAGCACGCCGCGGTTTCCAACTAGGCAACAACTAACCTCGTTGGCTGGCTGTCTCACACTCTCATGATCTCATCCGACCAGCAGAGGCAGCAGCAGCGCGCATTACCGAAAGTCATATGCAACGGAAAAAAAAAAGAATTGGACCAAAATATTGCAGAGAAAACGGCGGCTTGAATTGAACCCAAAATATGATTGAATCAATGAGATAACTGTACATGACAGCAGCCACGGACGCAACAGCCAACCGAGCTCGCCTAGTGCGAGCTAGCTCGCATTTATAGTGCCCATGCTGGCTGTCACAGCGATCACGGCCGGCGCCGGCGGTGGCGACGGCGAGGACGCTGTCACGGCCGCCAGCGATCACGGCGGGTGGCCCACCGGCGTCGGCGACCGCGGCGGGGTTGGACGGGACGGGTGCATTCGTCGCTGTCGTGTCCGGACTGGACGGTGGGGCCCAGGTGTCGGCCGCCTCCCAGGTGGGCCCCGCGCCCCACTCGCGCCCCCAGCTTGCGTTTGACGCCAACTCGACGAGCCTTCCCTTGGCGCGCGCCATCATCTCGTGCTCGCTGCGCGCCTCCGCGCCGCCCGAGTCGTCGGAGTCCGAATCGGACATGGACGCCGCCGCCCAGTCGAGAACGGCTCGGGGCGACGGGAACGGCGACGGCTCGCCGCCGTCGTGGACGTCCGCGGCGGAGAGGAACGGGTGGCGCAGCAGCTGATCGCAGGTCCACCGCTCGCCGGCGTCGCGGCGGAGGCACTTGTCGAGGAAGTCGCGGCACGAGTCGGAGGCGCACGCGGGGAGCTCGGGGCGCTTCCCGCCGAACCCGATGAGGAAGAGCAGCTCGCCGACCTCGCTGGCGCCGCCGAGCTCTGACCACGGCCGCTTCCCGGTGATCAGCTCCACCGCCGTGCAGCCGAGGGACCACACGTCCGACGCCGGCGTCGGCGCGCCGCCGCGCGCCACCTCCGGCGCCATCCAAGCCGGCGTGCCGCGGGGGCCCCGGGACACCGCGGCGTCGGAGACCAGCCTCGCCGCGCCGAAATCCGCGAGCTTCGCACCGCGGCCGTCGCCGTCGCAGCCGACGAGCACGTTCCTCCCCTTGACGTCCCCGTGCACCACGCCAGCCACGTCGTGCAGGTACCGCAGCGCGGCCGCCACCCGCCGCACGACGCCACGAGCCCCGCGCTCACCAAGCCCTCCCATGGCCGCCGCCGCCGCGGCGCTCCCGCCGGGGACCAGCTCCATGTGCAAATTCCTCGTCGTCGCCGCGTCCCCGTCGTCCCCGAGATACTCCACGACGTAGGGCGAGCTGAGCCGCCTCAAGATCCTTATCTCGCTCTCGAGGCACGCCATCGCCGCCGCCGGCGCGCCGCCCTTGGCCTCCACCGACTTCACCGCGAAGGCCCGCCCGGTGGCCCTGTCCACCGCCACGTGCACCGCGCCGAACGCCCCCCTGCCGACGCATTTCCCGCGCACCCACTCCATGGAGAGGCGCGCCGCGCGAGCTCGATCCTCCTCGCGCCACAGAGCAGAGCACGACGAGAAGCCGAGGAGTGAGTATGAGAGGCCGAAACAGAGAGAGAGGGAGAGGGGTGGGTGTGGAGGAGCCGCCAAAAAAGGAGAGGAGCAGAAGGTGTGAGGGATGCAAGAAACGGGGGAGTGTGCTCGCCGCGTATATATAGGTGTGGGGATCAGTTTTATTTTTGTGGGTAAGGATTTCGCGCGGTTTTTCCCTCTCTCTTTTTTCCCTCGCTGGGATTTGAGGATTTTCCTCGCGATTCGCGTGTTGAGGGGGCGATGGGATAGTGAATTCGACGGAATATTATACGGGATATATCATGAGAATAAATTGGGGGGTTTGCGTTGGAGAGGGGGAGTGGGGAGGGAGAGCTTAGCCGTGCAACTTGTGCTGTGTTATCTTCGGGGTGCCGCTACGTTGCGGCCACATGGGCAAAAAGATTTGGGTGAGTTGATGGTTTGGATATATGGTTGGATGGCATTTACTTGCAAGGTTTGGTTTCCATTCACCTTTCACTCCGATTCGCTGAAATTCGATTATGTGTTGTGAGATTTGTTGGTCTGTTATCCAGAGTGTTTAGCTCAATCTATTTTGTCAAGACAGAGGGTGGATATAGACCCTACTTATGTTGTTTCAACATTGGCTTGAAGTTGATTTATTTTCATCTCCCCAGTAATCCAGTATTTTTTAATGTAGTTTTTGAAAATGAGCTAAGCCGGCATTCAAAAAAAAAAAAGGCATTAAAAAAAGAGCTAAGCCAAGCCAAGGTGAAATAATCTTTCAATGGAAATTGACTCATTAGCATGTTATTAATACTCCACGGTCCATACAAAACCGATTATCAACTTCTTTAAGAAAACGAGATTTGGAGGGAAAAACGTTTCTCCAAATATTTTTTAAAAAAGAAATTATAAGCGTGTTGGGGATTAAACATGGGACCTTGGGATTAAAACAATACACCCCTTACCACCGCACTTGATAGTGTATCTCGAGTATGCAAATTTCGATTGTTTATTGGTCTCTCTTTTCTTAGGCTTTTGAAACAAACTAGCAAACTTTCCAACGAAAAGTGACCTATTATTTAAACGTTGAAGTAGATTTCAGTTATAATTTTAATATCGGGTTTTCATGGGTAGAATTGTATCTTTTTTATATAGAAAAACACAGTAGAAATACAGACGCTCACAACATTCGCATACTCACGCCATATCCCTATGAATACATTATTCAAAAGACTAGGACAACGTTTCGTCTCGCTATCAATGGGTGTGTCACCTATCACTAAAAAAGATAATTAGTCGTAAATGCGAGAACTCGTGCCAAGTCTAGAATTTGAACCTCTGTGTGGGTAGTTTCTACTACAAGAAATCTAACCGGTTAGTTACGCTCACTTTGCTAAAAACTGTATTTTGTACCGCACAACACTTAAAAAGAGGACAATTAAATTTGATATATTACTCTTAGCTTGTTCTAATTTTCCATATCAATTGTATTTTGATTATAACTACCTATCAATCTACATTGTTATAATCTAGATCTACCATAACATAAGGGTGCATCCTTTTTTCACCTTTTCTTTAATTGATATGGGAATTTATATACGAGTTTTAGGAGCGAACATTTCTTTTTAGGTCGCATTCTTTTTAGAGGATGAATCTAGGTTATTAGTTGCACGCAAAACAAGAAACATACTACATGAATAGTTGAGTATTAATTATTAAAAAAATTAAAAAAGAAATTATTTGATTTTTAATACCCTTCCTATGTAAAAAATTTTCGCACGAAACATACACTATTTAGCCTTTTTAAAAGCATGCTAATGAAAAACGAGGGGTAGCTAAGCTCAAATAGCAGTTTAGAACATACCCTTAAACTATCAATCTTTTATATCTATACTAATTCTAATTATTCACTCCGAGGAAGCATCGATTTGTAACAGACCAGTTGCTGGTTACTAACATCAACCATGTATGTAAGTAGTAACCAAAACGCCACCTTAAATGAGGATCATCATTTTTAAACGTTGATATCACAATGCAAGTAGCAGAAAGAAGCCAAATCTCGTGAAATTTTGTTATGTCCTCAAGCACCGGTATCTCTATAAACATCCAAAAGACATATATTTCGGATTTAGGCGTCCACGGGTAACTGCACAAGCATCAACCAAAATATTTCGTTGTCTGAGATGCCTCCAGCTCACCAAAAGGCAGAGTAAACCACACTACCAAAACCCTCGCAATAGTAGTGCACATCTGGAGCTCGATCCCTGCTGCTGATGTGGCAGCGGAGAGCTCACCGATGGCACACGCACGCGACGGTGACATGGCTGGACACTAGTGGCCCAGGGGATTCGGCTCGCGGCACATAGCCAACCAATAAGAATCCTACTCCAAAACACACACACAAAAAAAAAAGAGTGAGACTAGTAGTAGATTGGGAGAACGAAAGTTGTGGCCTGAGACAACGAGGCGTGTGCGATCGGAGGTGGCTCGTGGGATCCGTGGGATCGCGTCGCCTCGCGGGCATTTATCGCGCGCTCCCGCTGCTGCGGCGGCGGACGTGCGCGGCGCCGAGCCACACAACCCGGACCGGCAAAGCGCTCTCTCCCGCTGGCCGCAAAGGCCACGGGAACCTGGCCGTTCTACCAGTACTACTACTAGTAGCGCGTACTTCTCGCCGGAAATGTGTGGATCACCGGCCGCGTCGTGGCCTCTTTCCGCATTTCGGCCGTATACTAAAGTTTCGCGTCTGCGTAGGAGGTTGTTGCGTTTGACGGCGGAGGGTGTCGCGCCACAGAAAAAGCCCGACCGGGGTTGTGCGTGCATGTAACCTCTGTTTTCTCCCACAAGGGGATCGTTGACGTGCGTAAGTTGAGACCGGCCGCGCCTCCAAATCTAGAATCATAAGTGGGTACATGATTGAGAGATCGCTTCTTTATAATTGCGGTTTAGATTTGCATACATTTTGGCCATCATTTGCAGGTATAATGCCACAAAAGCCAACGAGTAACGTGGAGCGATGGTTTCCAATGATTGGAAGGGGAACATTCTGTGTGTGCCAAACCGAGGGACAATCCATGCGCCCCCACAGGATATCGAAAGATTGTAAGGCAACAATGCGAGCTTATAAATTCATTTGTGCCAATCTCAACGTTGGGGAGTACACATTGGCACGATACCGAGGCAATGTGTGGATTATGAGGTTGTTCGTGTATATCTCCTTATCTACGGGTCTGGAAGATTCGGGCTGCGCGAGATAACAGTTTTTGCTAGTTATTGCCGGCGTATATATCCAACGGATGGACCCAAAAATATTGGGGGCTAAGATGCCTAGGGAAGAAGGAATTCATTCGCGCCTGATCTTGACTTTTCTCGGTATGTTGCAGGCTTAGTTTTTCCCTTAGCGCAAGTTGCAGGCTTAGTTGATGCGATCAACTCCGCATGCATGCGCCCATGCTCACCCCTATGCCTAGGATAAGATCTTCTTTGATTCTGGTTCCATGGTGAGAAATATCCACCAAAAGTGGCACCAGATCGGACCATCAGATTATCCAGCTAGCATAATTCAGTCCCCGCTGTAAAATGCGCAGAGAATATCACTGTGACACTGTCCCGTATTTCGCTCCTTCTCGATCGCCTTTGCTGTACGCATACGCTACCTGCTCAAGCTAGATACCGTTCCATCCCAAATTGGGGGTGCTTCTGCTCCCTGATAACTTCATAACCAACTCATCCATCTAGCATTCTAGCTAGAAACTGGGAAAGCTGCCTGCCCCACAACTTGCAGCTCTCAGCATCTCACTATACGTCTATACCACCTTTCCTGGTCAAAAACCTTTTCTGCGTCGCTTTCGGGAGGGAGCTGCCTCCGTTCCAGGACAAACCCAAACCGGAGCCGGTAAACTGGACCTTAATTGATTGGCTAAACCCAGGGCAACAACAGCTGTTTTCCCCCATTAAACAATCCGAGTGTTCACCCCAGCCAGATTCTCAGCACTACTCCCCTGGTCCGATCCGAAGATACGGTGTACACTGGGATACCGGAAGAAAAGGGGAAACTATCACGACGGGAGAAAGCAGTCAGGTCAAAACCCTCCCCCCACAAAGTCGGCACGACTCCAGCAGCATCAGCCGACTGGCCAAAAAGCACGGGGTTTTTTTCGCGTGCGTGCGTACGTGATCCCCCCGCGACCGGGGGAGCAGAGCCGCGGAGGTTGACGTGCGGTGCCGGTGCGGGGTGGGGAGCTCGTTTCGCGGCGTCGGCGTGTGAGGCAGCGAGGCCGCGACGACGTGAGCTTTGCCCTGGATTGCCGCGGGCTATCGCGTGGGATGGCGCGACACGGGAGGGCACGGGAACGTGGGTCGTGGGGTGGGGGGGCCGGGGAGACCGCGCGCGGGGGCCAGGGGCCAAGGGTGTGCCCGCCGCGAGGGCGAGGACGAGAGAAACCGCCGCGCGCGGGATGCGTGCGTGACTGCCGTTTTTTCGGTTCACCGACCGGTCGTTTTCGTGCCAGTTTTTGACGCGGGTGGGACTGGGAGCGAGGCCAGGGGTCCTGATGCTGATGCCGATACGTCATGTGTGGCCCGGAACGGCTCGGCGTGTGTGGACTGCGGCGAGTCGTGCCGTCACGCAGGCCTCAAACTCCTCTTCGTCTTCTTTTTTTTCTTTCTTTTTTTGGTCGAGCCAATATGTTTAGGGAAATATTGTTCATTTGTTCGCCGTTACCTTGGCGTTTACGAGATTAGCAACGTATAGGGTAGTATTATATAGCCCAGCAAAAAGTATGCCCACGTTGCCGTCACGTGCCCATCTCCGCGGTGAAAGCAAGATCTCTCGTGCGCTGTTTGTGATTTTGGCCCTGTGTTGGAGCCATGTTCTGAAAGCGATGCGTACACTGTCACTGTCAAATCCGCGCAAAAAAAAAAAAAACATTAGCTTGTCGACTCCTCACCTGACTCTTCGAGTGCTGAAAAAATTGTATTACTCTAGTACGTGCTGCTAGTTGATTATTGCCGCTACTCTCCAGTAAGGTCCACATGTCTGTCAATACGATCAAGGGGGCCGTGGCACTGTTACAGACTTACAGTGCCACTGCAGTACCACCCTCCTTACTGTCGCATGGTGCATTGTGATCCAATATGACAAGGATTTCGCCAATGAGGCAATGAGCAAGCATGAACAACGAGAAACGGTCCTACAGGCATGCTCAATTCAATTCAAGGGTGTGCTCGTGTGTAGGCATGCCAGTCCCACAGGTACATCTGGCAGGTTCCACAGGGGTAAAGAGGGACCGTCCTGTACCGGCAAACAAACCAGCTGAGCAGCAGCCCCTCCTCTCCTATACCGGCAAAACCGCCTTTTCTATTACGCAAAGCCAACCGTTAGCGCGGATCGTGCCGGCGCGCGCGGCAACGGCGCGGCACACGTCCATCGAATCTAACCGCGGCGGCGCGCGCAAGTTGCCCGTTCGCGGCCACCGGCCCGTGAGCCAGCGAGACGTACGCCGGCCGATCGATCGATCCATCTCGAGACACGGTCTCGCTCCAACGTACGCACGGTCTCGGGCCCGACACGGGACAGGGCAACTTGGTGGCGAACCGAAGCTGTTGCGCGCGGCTGAGTGAGTGCGAGGTGAGGTGCACGGCACCGGCCAGCCGCAAAGCCAGCCTGACGCTCGCTGCTGTCCTCCAGAGGCTTGCGAGAGCCGGAGACCGTTTCTTTCCTTTTTCTTTCTTTTTTCTTTTTTCGGTAGTAGCCTGTGACATCTGCGTGGTCGATCGCTTTGCCTGATAACTCACGGGGTCACGTCGCGGTGTTGCCGCAATTAGGTTAGGCTAGTGGCGGCGCTGCTTGCATGAGCTGGGCGGCTGGGTCCCGGCCTCCCGGGCATATCCTGAGTATTTAGCCTACTTGGTACTACGATTTTTATGGCTCGACCGTGCAATGGATCAGGAATTAGGATCGCTCGGTATGGCATCCGACGTACCAGGACATGCTATTGCTAGAGGAATGAATTCCTTCCCTTTGGGTTATTAAAAGCAGTAAGTCGGCACATTTATTTTATAATCGTCACTGTCACTGTAACTGTCGCCGTCACACGCAAAGATATTTATGTACCATGAGATTTGAGATGGTTATCTTGTTTTTCTTTTGTACTAATTTTTTTCGGGGAGGTTATCATGTTAGTGATGATGCAGAGATTATATCATGCAGGTTATAGATATCAATTCGATAATTTTGTATAGTACAGTTCCGCAGTTCCATTTTCCCAATTGGATCATCGTGATGCAGAGCTTCGAGACCTTTGTTTTTGTAGGATTCAACTGCTCATCCAAGTTGACGAACTGAATTCTGAAGAAAAGGGGAAAAGTTGATGAAGAACGGGTCGCTGTCGTTCTCCAACGCACTTGCCGAAATGCCAAACGGAAAAACTAACATGAGCTGAGTGCATATATAGGATTTTATGGGGCAGCTGCAAATGGGGAAGTGAAACTGGTTTTCAGTTAAGATGAACAGTGGATAATTAAAGCAGCGAATTCAAACACTGGCACTGTTTACTATTTATTGTTAAGAACTCCGGTCAGAAACTATATTGAGCACAACGAGAACGTACGATTATTATACTTGAAATAATTTGCCAATCTTTTCACTTATACTTATGTTTGTTAGTCAAAATTTGAATTTTCAACCTTAAATTTGAAGGTGATTTTAGGTTTTTCTCATCGAAGTTTATTTTCAGCCTTTGTTTTTAGATCACCAAGAACATGTATATATAAATCTTATTCACAAATTACTTTTCATTTGTAATGTAAATATGACGTTTGGCTTATTCCACGAATAAGTGAAACGATGAGGCTGAACATCAGGTCTTCTCTACAAAACAAATAAGGAAAAAGTCCGAATTACCTCTGAACTATTGGTGAGTTACCCCTCCCCCGACTTAATCCGAAGTGGTTTGGTCTTACGTGACGCGTACGTGGCATTCCAATCAGAAAAAAAAACAATGGGGGCCACATGTCATATCTTCCCCATCCTCAATTGCTCTCTTCACTCGAGTCCGAATGGCAGAGGCGGTGGCGACGAGAAGGCTGCTGCTGTGGAAGCAATAAAAGGAGAGATGGAGGAGGGGAGCATAATAGAGCTAGGCCGGTGGCCATGGCTATCTTCTTCTGTTGTGGCGGTGGCGGTGCTTTCAGTAGGGTGCGGCGGGTCTCGGTTGTGGTGACGGTGACGATAGCGACAAGCTCATGAGGCGGCTGTGGAGGAGGAGCAGCCTCCACCGCTCGCCGCCCCTGCCACTTGAGCTCCTCCGCCTCGTCGTACGAACCGATTGATGGGGAGGAATAAGAGAGAAAGGAGGGGGGGTTGAGAGGGAGAGAATCTGCCTTGCGTTGCCATCCTCGGCATCCAGCTGTGCCTACTACCCCCATAATAGATCAGGCATTGGCGTTGGCGTGTCGCCATCCTCGGCTTCCTATCCACCGCCCCTGAGCTGCCTCCGTCCCCGCCCCCGCCCGTCGCCATCCTTGACTTCTCCTCCGCCACTCGGTGATAGAGAGAGATGTGAGGGGAGGGAGGAGAGAGAGAGGATTGGGGAAAGAGATAAGAGACTGATAAGTGGGGTCCGCCGATTTTTTCAAAAAAAAAAGGATGATTGTACTGCCACGTATGCGTCATGTAGGTCCAAAACCACTCCGGATTGAGTGTGTGTGTGTTGGGGGAGGGGGGGTCGTTAGGTATTAATAGTTGAGGGTGAAAGATATCTGGTTTTCGGCTCCGCCTCCGGGGATAATTCATACTCATTCAATAGTTTAGGGAGTTATTTCTGACTTTTTCCATCAAATAATGTGTGACTTAACCTTTTCCTTTTTAAAGACTACCAAATTTGGTCAGGATATCTGTTTAATACGAAAGTCAATGTCTCAATGCAACCAAATTGTGCCTCAGACTTGGGCAGTTGGGCTGAACACATCAGGATATGCACCAGGAATATCTTCATCAGCATGTGAACTAATTCTATGGTGTAGTTTATTTCTAGTTTATTTCCTGAAGAACCTAAAAACCTGTCAGTACAGATAGTGACAATGTCGCTTTTGTTGTATGGCCCATGAACTTTAGCGCCTCCGTCGTAGTGACAATGTAATTTAATATTTTTACCGTGTAAAGTGTGGAAGCGACAAGTACGCAATCAACTTTGTAAGCTTCTTTCTTTACTTAAAAAGCGATGAGGCAACTATGAAAAATGAAGTGCTCGAAACAGCAGCCAATGCACATCTGATCACCCTGCACAAACTCTGAAAATGTAGTCCCTATCCGATTCCTGCTGGGAAGATAAATATGCAAAAAGGTCATTGAAATTTTCTCCAAGTCGTGGGTGATTTTACGCAGAGATTCAGAGAACCATAATTCTGTACCCCGGAGGGTGAATCACTCACATGCTGGTGGATGCACCTCATAACGGTTAAAAGACTTTGCTTGTGTGCATCAAATTGTTTGCTCGAGATGTGGAGTGTGGTGTATCACTCTCCCCAACTGGCAAAAACGATCGATGCATGCATTATCATTTGCAGCAGAGAGCATGTGACCAGGTGAATTGTTTTCAGTATTGGCTGTTGAGCAAGTGGTTGGAACCGGCAGGGGCTAAAAGAAAGAATATACTTACTCTCCGATAAAGCATTGAACGCATGAGGCGAGTCGATCCTTCGCACCGGTATAGACAACGACTCATCTGTCGATCCAGACCGTCGATTCTTTGGCCCGATAGCCTCCCCACGATGTGTGGTCGCTGATGGACCACGACGTATGTATGTACAATCTAGAAATCGGCAGGGTCCTACACTCCTATTGGCCAGCCAATGAGCCAATTCGACGCTGTACTGCAGAGATATGTGGCCGCCGAAAAAGATCTTTTATTTGGCTTCGACGCAGCCCCACATCCCATGCTGCAATGCAACCACATCTGCGCGTCTCACTCACCTGTACAAAACGCCAGGGGCGCATGCAGAATTGCAGACGAGAACGGCAGCATCAGGCGCGGCTAATGTTGGGCGGGAGATGTCGCTGCTGGATGAAGTGGTGCGCGCGTTGGCGCCTTCTGGGTGGGACGGTCCAGCCCATAGGCCATTGGACTCCACGACGATCTCGCGCAAAAGTTTGCAAATCCTACGGGGAAATCTTACGAAATCTCGACGTTTCAAACGGGGCCGGAGAGGCGGAGATTGAGGAAGGCGTAGCGGTCGTGCGAGCGTAATTGCCTGGCCAGAGAAAGAACGTGGCGCATGGCGTCGCGGGAGGCGGAAAACGAATTGCACGGAGCGACAGCAACCGGCGCAGAAAGCGTGCAAGCACCTTGGACGATCGGTAGTTGCAGAAGCATGTGACATTACATGAGCTCTTTTTTTTTCTTTTTCGCGAGAGGGGTTTTTGTCCCCGTTTTTTTGTGTGGCCAGCAGAAGAGGTAGTAGAAGTTAGAACCGGATCCCTCGAGGGTTCTTTTTCACCGGAGGATGCGAGTGAAAGAGGATCTATCACGGCGTCGTCACAGCTCGGAATTGGATGCGCTATCCTGGCGCAAGTAGCCATCACGATTTCACGATGATGAGGAGGGCGCGGTTGAGCTCAGGTGGTGCGCAAGCCAGCCGGCGATGCTTAGCCTTGTGCTCTTGTTGCGTCAGAGACAGCATCTTGTCCCGGATTTGGTTGTCAGTCAGGGACCCCCCTTGTCCCAGCTAACAAGTGAGATCTTCAGCAAAAGGATCCAGCAATTTATGTGTTAGTGTCAGTACTTTCCATCGCAAGCTGGGGGACATGTTTGTTAATCACCTGTAGCAGCTGTCCTTTGGTTTCAAGTTGTACTTGAAATTCGAGGGCAGTTGTCTGTGGTACATATCCCAGAAGTTTCACTCATCAGGCTGAAAGCCTGAATTCAGAAACAATGGATACAAAAGCCCAAGTTTGCTACTAATGGGCTAAGCATTCATCTTCTTACTGGTCGAGGGCCGAGCAATAAACAAGACCATCAGCCTTCCAGTTTCACACATGAACAGTTGAGCATTCTGCATCTAAAAGAACAGTTGATCACAGAAGCAAAACAGGCAGGTCTACGCTATTGCAATTTACTACTCCATTACATACATTGCGGTCATCAGCACACTTGTATCAAAATCCAATAGGGCGTTTCACCATTATTGATTGCTTAGAATACATCAGTTCATTGCTCCGGCCAGTACTCAACTCTTGGCTATGAACAATCTAATGTCTAGGTAATTGAACAGATACTTTTCCGATCAACGATTTTGAGTTTTTGACGCCTTGTCCCTCTACCACCGATCCAAAGTGATGAACTGAACAAATTTGAGTTCATCACTTAAGTACGGGGATTACATATGAGCCGGCTGCAGATATGATCTCTCATAGAGGCCCATCACCTGATCAGCCACCGCCCACATTATAGCCTGACCAGGTGGAATCCTCATAAGCCTCGGAAGCAAACCTTTCCAAAGGGCTCTGAGACCCTCTTCAGTGTATATTGTGCGTATCGCGTGGACCATACCCTTGTACTTGATGTCACCAGTTCTCCCCTGGGCCATCAGTCTAGTCTTCACGACATCGAAGGGTCCAGTGCAGATCGGACCTGCAGTTCCTGCAAGAAAACCTGAAATCATTGACTGCCATGGCTGGAGAACCTTCCCATCTCCTTCATGCTTCTTCCAGAGAACAATATCAAATGTATTCTTGGCAGTGAACATTGCGGCTTGGTTTGTGCCATTACGCATGACGGTTGGTAATGCTCCAGCCCACAGGCCAAAAAGACCCTCCTCAGTAACAATCGTCCTAGCACAATGTATTGGCCCCTTATATCTCAGCAGGTCAGGGCTTAGACCTTTTTGTTGCTGCAACCTGATTTTAACCACCTATACCCACCACAAAGAAACATGACACCGGTCATTCCAGAGAACTGAACCTTTAAAGAAATGCTGGTAAAAAAGTATAAACTGACTTCCACCATAAACATTATAATAAAATGCATCAATGACGAACTTGGGACAAATTGAAAACACACTATTCGCTATGATTAACTTATTTAACTTCATAGAACATGGAGTTGCATAAAAACAAAGTGCTTAGAATGACTCAAGTTTTCAGATCGCACCAATCTAATATAGGGAGAAATTCCTTCTATTAGGTTTTCAACAGTATGAAAATATAGAATTTCCAAAACCAGAGAAGAATAACCATCTGGTGTTCACGCTAACTTTTGGTTTGTTCGTTGTACTTCAATTTAATTTCTATCTTTGTTAGCTTCTAAAATATGTAGTTGACCATCCCAAGAAAACAATCAGATGAATATCATGGTACACCAACCGTTTCTGTTAAGAGAGCCAAGGAGAACAAAGATAGACTGACGGCCAGTACACTTAAAATTCATATCGTACTGATATTGCCTCCACATCAGAACATGTCATTTCCTTTTCTTAAGATCTTCTTGTCTTTTGCTTTGTAGGTACTAATACTATATGTTGATTTCCAATAAACATGAGTTACACGATAGCGATGAGTGCTTAGATGATAAAAATGAAAGACGAGTCATTTTCTATAGAGATGAACAGAAGTGTAAATTTAACAAGATTATGCTTTTAAAAAAGAAGCATACTTCGAAGTGCACGCAGGCCTTTCGCATGTTTGGTCTTTTTAAAGCAGTGGGCGATTTGTGGTAACTTCTTGGTCAAATACTATGTTTCAAAGCATGAGGTCTTTGACAGAGTTCTGATGGGCTACCACATCCTTGGTAATTGGTTTGGGCATGATAATTATGATTTGACTGCAAAGTGCAAAGCCACCATTTCTTTAATCCCAGCTCAAAGTTGGCAATAACACATCTAAACATCATTCACAGACAAGATTAAATAACTGGTCCACCCATGTTCCTCCGTTCCTTTTCTATATCTAAAGTAGTGAATTTGTACTTTTACATCGGTGTCCTATATGGCAGCTCTCGCGAGTTCTTATTCCGGCAAGAAGCACCTAGAGATGTTCCTTTGTAAATATAATTTATTCGCGCTGGAGCAGTGAACACATTTTTATTCAAATTCTATAAACTATGTCGCAGTCGCAGAGAAACCAAGAATTCAAGAACGATTCAAGATCTCGCAGATACTCCAGGTAAGTAAAAAAGGAACAGATGCAGGGGTGATCTTGCCTCGAAGGGGGTGACGATGAGGAGGGCCTCGAGGACGCCGGCGCCGAACCCGGAGGCGAGGCGGCCGTGCGCGGAGACCTTGCCCGTGCCGGGGTCCTTGAACGCGGACTGCAGCACGGCGTTGGAGCCGAGGCGGAGCGCGTACTTGAGCGTGAGGTGGGTGGCGAAGGGCGTGAGCCCCTTCCAGAGCGCGCGCACGCCCTCGGAGCGCACGACGGTGGTGCCGCAGTGCGCGATGCCCCGGTACGCCCCCGAGCGGTCTAGCTGCAGCCGCGTCTTGATGACGTCGATCGGCTGCAGGCAGCACGCCTCCATCACGCCGCCGACCGACCCCGCCGCCGCCTTCACGTAGGGGGGGACCGGTGCCCTCCCGCCCCGCCGATCCTCCGCCGGCGAAGCGGCCTGCGGTGCCGGCGACATCGGCGGCGGCGGCGGGGAAGAGGAGGGGGACGCGGCGGCGGCGGCCATTTCGGAAGAAGCGGCGGCGGCCTTAGCGGGTGTGGCGCACGAAGCGGGTTTTGGATTTGTTTCCGTGGGTTGCTTTCCCCGCTGCTGAATCCGAGAAAAGTGTGGTGCACGGGCGCTGCTTATGTAGGAATCGATCCGAGGGCGCACGCTTCTCGCGCGGCCGTCGCGTCGCGGCTCGGTCCAGAAGACCAGGGCCCACATGGGGCCAACCTGGTCCAGCAGGCCGGGTCCCACACGGCAGTGAGTGTAACTTATTACTACTGGGGTACACGGGCACGTTACGTGGCGGAGAGAGATTCCCGGGAAGGTGGGGGCCGCTTAGCCGATCTGCTGGTCCCACTTGCAAGTGGTTGTACTACCAGACGGCGGCCAGTTTTCAGGAGCGGCGCGCTACCTACCCACCACAAGCGTCCCCTCCCACTTCTCATTCCTTTTGTTCGCGAAAGAAATACTCCCACCGCTCCCATTCCAAGTGTAGACATGGTTTTCTTCATCCAATTTTAATTGTTCGTAATATTTGAAAATATTTTTAAAAAATTAAAAACATAAAACACGAATAAAATACTATTTATGTTTTATCATCTCATAACAACAAAAATACTAATTATAAAAAAAATTGCGAATAAGACGGAAAATCAATGTTGAGCGCGGAAACTTATGGTTGCACTTAAAATGGGACGGAGGGAGTAAGTCTAGGCCGAATCTGATTCATTATAGGATATATCGATCACATGACTATTTAAATCCGATATAATTTGACTCCCTCAAAAGTTTTAAGGACGGTTGTACTGACGTGACGTCTATATTGTGGTATTGACCTGATCTTCGTCCAACGTGGCCGTTAATGTGATATTTTTATAGCATTAGAATTATAAAATATATATGGGTCCCATTTATCATTCACACAAAAAAAATATTATGGGACGCACTGACATATAGAGTCCATAATCATACTCTCCTTCCCTTCTTCCTCCTCTCTCTCCTTCCCATAGAGGCATAGAGCTGAAGCTGTGCAACGGCGGCAAAGGGTGGAATGGTGACGGCGAGCAGCAAAGGCTCTTCTTGTCACTCCCACAGAGCAGAGCGGTGGATTCAAGCCGTGTTGCTATGAGAAGAGCTGTAGACCGTGGCTGGTGGTGGTGGCCACGGGCGAGAGCTTGGCGACGCTGCCTCTCCACCTCCCTTCTCCACCCCCGATGATAGCCTCGAATGGAGGCGATGCTTCAACAGGCAGCAGCGGAGGTATAGGAGTAGCTCGATGAGCTCGGCGGCGGCCGACGAGCAAGAGCTTGACGGCGTTGCGACTGGCCCTCGCCCAACCACCACTGGCACTCTCGTCTCCGATCTCCTTGGTCACAGCCACCGTCACCAACCACAGGACATGCCACCATCGCTCCAACCCTCACCCGCCACCACCGCTACTCCGCCCCTTTCCACTGTTGCTGCTGCTCTAGCTCTCCCCACAGATGCGCGAAGAGGGAGAGAAAGAGAAAGAGGGAAGTGAGGGAGAGAAAGAGAAAGAGGAAGTGAGAGGGAGGAGGAAGAAGGAAAGGTGATGATGATCGTGGACCCAACATGTCAGTGGATCCCATAATATTTTTTAATGATAAATAGGTCCCATATATATATATATATATATATATATATATATATATATATATATATATATATATATATATATATATATATATATATATATATTAATTCTAATGTTATAAACGTCACGTTGGACGAAAACTAGGTCAACACCGTTACGTAGGCGGCACGTTAGCGAAACTATCCTCTAAAACCACAGAGGGAGTCAAATCATACCGGTTCTAATGGTTGGGGATCGAGATATATGTTATCGTTCTTCAGGGATACGAATCATATTCGCCCACTAGTTAAGGGAGACAAAGTGGACTTATTCCTCGCGAAAATGCCCTTGGGCTGAATTGTGAAGTTGGATTCCATTTCGGTCCATTTTTTATGTTGCGAAATAAATATGTTTTTTACACTCAAAAGACTTAAAAAAAATCCACTGTTTGAAATAAGCCCTCAAATTCTTACTCCCCGGTACCAAAATATAACAATCTATAACATTCAAATTTTATCTTAAAAATAACAATTTATTCATCTATATTCCTTCTTCTTAGCCAAATACAACCTTCCACTTTTTAATTTCTTCACCTACCCCTCTACTCAACCAATGACAATATTTTTATATTTAGTTTCACATGCTCATTTCTTTCCAAAATATAATAATTTCTATGATTCAAATCATGTTACTTTTCTCATTAATTATTTCCCATTCAAAATTCATCTCATCCTACTCTCACCTACCCTTACACGTCTATTGAGGGACACCAAAGTCATTTCTTCTAAACTATAATATCTGCTAAACAACCTATAAATGTTTATATTTTAGAATGAATGAGTATTTTCTTTGATATTTGTGTCAAATCTGAAAACTTATGTTTTTGACAAATGGAGTACTACGAGGTATTATATTTTTACAGGGTGGTATATTTTAAATTAGTTGGAATATGGTTCATATTCAAAATTTTGAAGTACATTATACTGCAATAATCATTTTCAAATCTCTATTTTGAGTGTTGAAATCCTGGGAACGAAGCCCAGTATATATCAAGGCAGAAAATTAAAGTGATAGAGAAAAAAAAAGAACTACATAACAAAAGCAATTAAACCCTTTGTCCCATAAAAAAAATTCTAAAGATAAACCCATACAAACGCTTGTCCATATTCATTCTTAGAAGTTGTCTGTTTTTGGGACAGAGGGAGTACATAGCATACTCTTCCTATATATAGTCCTTCATGTGGTAATCCAAACAAGCAGTAGGAAAGTAGAGAGAGACATAAGCACCGGTAGGGAAGACCGCAATTCTAATACAGTAAAGAACTGTATCTAATAGCCCAGTTCGAATTTGGAGGAAAATTCCTGGGTTCTGAATCTAGAGTGGTCCAAGCTCTTGAATTTTCACTTTACGCTAGTTATTTTTACCTTGGTTATACTCTGGAACACCCTAACATTTTTGTCTAACCACATTCAACCTCTCTTCTGGTAAAACTCTAAAGATCTTCAATTTTTGATCCTGCATTGAATTGGAGTTCTGCAAACTTAACAATTCTTTTTTTAGGAGAACCAAACATAATAATTCTACATGCACTGAAGTTACATGCCTGCAATCCTTTCAGGATGAGGGATGAGCTACGATTTTTTTTTATTGAGTAAGCACCATGTCTATGGTGTGACCATGCGACAGCCTGGGGCATCATACCTGTTATTTCGTGTGAGAGAAGGTATTAAGCCGTGTTTAGTTCCAAAATAATTATTCAAACTTCCAATTTTTCCATCACATCAAAACTTTCCTACTCACATAAACTTTCAACTTTTCCATCACATCGTTCCAATTTCAATCAAACTTTTAATTTTGGTGTGAACTAAACACAGCCTTATGCAAAGCTTTGGAGATCAGTTTCTTCACGAAGAACCATTTTCACGAAAACATATGACGTGCAAGGCTTTGGAGATCAGCCAAATTTGTATGAAAAGTTTTGAAAAAGGTGTGTGACATATTTACGAAGGCATTGGTTCTTCACATTTTCTAAAACTAGCTGAACAATCTGATTTCAGAGGGTTGGGATTGAGAAAGAGACACCGTTGAGATATCAGATCTTAGTTCAGGTTCAGAAGATCAGCTTTGTGTATTCAGTTCAGACTTCAGAGCTTCACCAACTGCGTTTCCTGCGAGTTCCAATTTCTTCTCTCCCCAGTCCCTTTACCACTTGAATGTCCGATAAGAAACTTTGGTCAAAGTAGACGAAGCTCGACACGTTAATGACAGAAACACGCATCGCCGTTTTAATCTCCTTTTCACACAATCACACGGGACTAAGTTCACAGCAGAAGCATGTGTTTACAGCTACTAATGGCCTCCACGAACATTTAACTTGAAAAGAAAAATAACTTGACTGAAAGTTTTCGGTCCGAGCACACATGGCCATGTGCGAATCAAAATTTTAGAAAAAGAAAGAAAGAGAGAAATAAACGAATCATAGTCATATAAAACATTCTTTCGAAATGACGCATGCCGATTGACTTGCAAACTAAAAGCGGCACTAATAATTGGCACAAGCTAGTAATTGCTTTGTCGATAATATTTTCAGACAAAGAATCGTTTACTCGATATATACAAATCCATCGCATTCAACGCGGATTGGCTGTTTTCTTGTGTTGATAATTGAACGCGCATTTCATTTGGAAGCAGAAACAATTCTGGGTGTTGCTTAGCCCGGTGGATCATGGGGGGAAGTCGCGGCCGTTGCCGTTTCAGTCATTGCTTCCATAATTTGATTTCTCGTCTCGCGTCCAAATGCATCGCCTCGTCGAAACAGAAAACTGGTTCGGTTAATCAGTGCCAATCATGTGCACACGGCCTGCCGGGTGCAACACGCCTGAAGATTCAGTCTCCGGAGCAGAACAGACGGTAGTAGCTGTACGTAAACGTCATACTACCTGGTCTTTTCAAAATTGTCATTATGTTTGGGGGCTGTTTAGTTCCCCAAAAACTTTTCTCAAAAACATCACATCGAATCTTTAGACATATATACGGAGCATTAAATATAAATAAAAAGAAAGACTAATTACACAATTTGCATGTAAATCGCGAGACGAATTATTTGAGCCTAGTTAGTCCATGATTAGTCATAAGTGTTACAGTAACCCACGTATGCTAATGACGGATTAATTAGGCTCAACAGATTCGTCTCGCGGTTTACAGGCGAGTTATGAAATTAGTTTTTTCATTCGTGTCCGAAAACTCCTTCCGACATCCAGTCAAACGTCCGATGTGACACCCAAAAATTTTTATTTCACCAACTAAACAGGCCTTGAAGGTTTCAAAAGGAGATGATATTATCATCATTCGATCCACTCTACAACGTACTAAGTGCAATTGTCCTAGCGGAAGATTCTGCTACGGTTGGGAAATGGCTCATTTTCCCCTATGGATATAAGTGCAAACTTTTTTTTTAGATAATGATAAGTGCAAATACATTATGGATCAAATGCTCTCAACATCTTGTTCCTTGTGATCCATATACTTCAGTACATTAGCATGTGAAGAATACACTCGTGCAATGACCGAGGAAAGGTTAGATAGTTTTCAATTTCCTTTATGAATTGAATTATTTCCAGTTGATGCTATGTGCATTCTAAGTACAGTTCTATCACCTTAATGTACTTAATTGATTAAGTTTAATAAAAGGCTAAAAGCTTCCCATTATCTTTAAAAAAAATTCTTATAGAACTTGTGTGATCTCAGCGAAGCTAAAGCTTGCAAAATCAAATGTAGATTCCTAATCTGATATTAAGTTCAAACTTCTTGAATAACAAAAGTGGTCTAGCAAAGCTTAGGGTGTGTTTGGTTGGGCTGTGGCTTTTAAAAAGTAGCTGTGGGTTGTAGCTTTTCGAAAAGCAGATGTGAAATATGGGTTGTGGCCTTTGGAAAAGCTCGTTTGGTTCAACAGCTGTGGCGTTTGAAACAACTAGTCCCGCTTACAAGTGGGCCCCATATGTCACACACATATTGGATCTTCTTCCTCTCACCATCATGGGATGCCCGAGCTTGCTGGAGCTGCTCGGTCGTTGCGATGCGCCGGCCAGAGCGCTGGCGACGGGCGGAGGGGCGGCGATGCCCCAACCCTAGGGCAAAGCAGCGCGTGAGGAACGACACATTGAGAAGCGACGGGGAAGAAAAGAACGAACCGGTATACATCATAACCAATATCAGGTGGGTAAAAACTTAACCCAAAAACAGCTAAAAGCAGGGGGTGGAGGTGCTTTCAATTTGTACTAGAGCAAAAGCAGCTTTTGGGTAGAAGCAGCTATGGCTTTTGAGCCCTTTGGTTGCTTTTGGCTTTTGCAAAAACAAAAGCAAGTTCAAAATCCCAACCAAAGACACCCTTAGTTCAATGTTCATTCAGTCACCATCAGAGAGCACTGAGCAAGTATGCCAATCATCTCAAACTATTCTTTTATGCTCAGAGATGATGTAGATTCCATGGCGAAGTAAAAAAAAAAAAAAACCCTTAGGGTATATAGTATGAGGTCGTATGCGAAGTAATTTCCATACTATGCTTTGCATTTAAGCTTAGCTAGGGGTGTTTGTTCAGATTGGAGCAGCCTTGGCAAAATATAAACAAAGTAATCATAAATAATTTATCGGTAAAATATTTATATTTGTATTGTTTGCAGTAAAATGTTTATCTATGTATTATGTTTGCGGTTTAAAGACTCAAATTTTGCCTACAGGCTTTCAGCCAACCCAACAAGCAACACAACACACCCATACTGGGCCAAGAAATAGAAACATCTTAACAAAGCTAGTGCGACTCAGATAAATATTAAAGGATATCTTAAGCTGCTGTGTATTGAATCAATTAAAATCTCAGAGAAACTATCCATACCAACTAACCATGTACAGAGGCAAATAGTAGCCTTACAGTATGAGGTGAGTAGTAACTCGCCTTATTACATTAGAATCAAAGAATGAATTGAATCAGTTTACAGAAAGAATGGTGCTATGAATAAAAAGAATTGAATGTTGGAACCCCAGCAAAATAGTGCAAGCTCCTAAAATTTTGCTTGCCAAGTGACATACTATCTGAATACCCTCCTCTTCCACACTTCTTTACCACCGCTCTGTTAGTGCGCTAAGCTGGAGCGAGTTCAGTCTCCCTTCAACAAGTTAAAATTATGCTATCTGAATACCCTGCTCTTCCACACATTTTACCACCGCTGTGCTAATAAGCTGGAGTGTGAGTTCAGTCTCTCCCTCCAACGACAAGTTAAAATTATCTTGAGAATTGCTGCAGCTGTATGATCACAATGCTGATATCGTCAGTCGAGCCCCTAGTAACCGCAGTTTCGACGAGCCTCCTGCAAGCAGTCATGCGAGAAGCTTTGTCGTTGCTGATGTAAAGCGGCCTGGCAATGTCAACTGCCTCCTGGTTCTCCACCTTGTCCCACAAACCATCAGAGGCAAGAATCAAGAATTCGCACTGCGAATCAACACCCAGAGTTGTGGTGTCTGGATCAGACACCACCCACTGCTTGAGGTGTGCATCACCGATGCCTCTTGACACTGCTAAGGATCCCTGAACTCGCCATGTTCCTCGGTAATTCACCACGAATCCACCCTGAAATTGACAGAAGAAAAGCACATAAGTCTTCAACTCATGATAGCTCAGAACTCAGATTAAAACACTCTGCAACAAGCCAACATCATCAAAGGTCTACTTAGCTAGTGCAGGAAATGATGCAAGAAAGCGAGAATGGCAAGTGCAGGCACCACTTACCAGATTCTCAATTCTTTCCCTCTCATCCTCGCGCGAGGCCCGGTGATCAGAGGTGAGCGCCTCTGCCTTCCCGGCGCGGCTGAGCACGGCACGGCAATCTCCGGCATTAGACACAACGAGGCCACCTTTCTGCAGCAAAGCGGTGACGCAGCAGGCGCCCCCGCTCTCCTCCCTCTTGAGGAATTCCTCGTCCGTCTTCAGGTAGCACCGCTTCACTGCCTGTTCAGTCTCGCCACTGTCGCCGCCGTCCACCTTGCACATCTCCTCGGCCATGAACTTGGGCATGTTCTCGGCGACGAACTCCGCCGCGCTCTTCCCGCCGTGGCCATCGAATACACCAAAAAAGGCCTACACAATCGAAAATAAATTCCAGAAATTTTAGTACAGAAGAAGAAATCTACGAAGTCTCCCCAAAACCCTCTCCTGATCGAAGAGAAGTGTGAACTTATTTTACGCGAATCGAACGGAGAAGTCGTGTGGAGCTTACCACTTTGGGGTCTCCGCCGAGGGCGACCTTGGCCACATGCCGGTCCTCCATCTCCACCCTTCTCCTCCCCTTTCCCCTCCGGCAGTACACCGCGAACTCCTCGCCGTCCTCCTCCACCTCGTTCCTCGGATCCGATTCCACCGCGGCCACCGCCGCGGCGGCGGCGGCAGCGGCCGCCCCGCCGCACACCGGAACCACGAGAGGGGCCGGGCGCCGCCTCTTAAGCACGGACCCCGCAGGGGCGGAGACCGCCGCAGCCGCGGCGGCCGACGGCTGGGGCGACGGCGTGGCCTCCTCGCGCAGGTGGGCGCGCAGCGCGAAGGGGCGGAGCGGCGACCCGGCGGGGGGCGCGGCCTGCGCCGGCGAGGACGCGGCGACGGATACGGACTCCGGCGAGGCGGACGCGGACGCGGCCTTGCAGGAGAGCGGGCGGCGCGACGGCGAGAACACCGGCGAGCTCGGGATGGCGACCGTGCAGGACATCGCGACTCGCGAGGGCTCTATCTCTCTCTCGGAGACGCGGTCTTCTTCCTCCTCGCCGCTCGCGTGTTCCGCTTTTCCTCGGGTTGTGTTTCTGTTTTGGATGGGTTTGGCGAATTGCCCGTTGGAACGGGCGTTATATATGGGGAGGGTCAAGGACGCGTGCGGTGGGGAAACGGACCGATAAGCACGAAGACTTCACTGCCACTAGAAAGAAATGGGAGAAGAATAGATGCTTCGGTTTTACTGAAATGTTCTGTTGCAAGGTGTAAAACTTTTGTTTACCAACAAGAAATTACAAATACCTACAGTAGCTTTGCATAGAAAATGCACAGTTACTCCATTCAGAAAGTTTTTTTAATATCATTCAGAAAGTCTGGTCTAACCAGAAAATTCGTTGGTAATTTGTAAATATTTTTCAATAATATCTTCAGTGCTAGTAGAAAACATCATGTATGTTAGTTTTATTTAAAGAAAGAAAAATAAGCACAGATTTCTATTAATTGTTGCATTAATATTCATGTAGAATAATTTAAATTTACATGCTGTCAATACATTTAGCCAATCTGTCTTAAGGAAACGATTACGTTCATTTCGATCTTTAAACTGGAGACAGTGAAAGCTAAATAAAGTGACTAACTTGCCCAGCTATCATATCACTATACCAGAAATACGTTAATGGAGTAGTACTAGTAGTAAACAACAAGAAGGAAGATGCGTGTTAGCGAGGTAATTTCCGACGATAAAACGGATAAGTCCAAACACGGACGGCCACGGAATAGATTACTAGTACTACGTCGGTCGCTGCGGCGGATTAACGGAGGAGTGAGCGCGCGGGGGAGTCAAAGATACGTTAATCCCGTGTGATGTGAGAAACCAAGAGAGAAGCTTGTGACTCGCGAGGACGCGGTCAGTGGTAATTTAACTTTTGTTTTGCCGCTCCATTATTCAAGCCCCCGAATTAATTGATTGGCAGCGACCGTCCCGTCGCGATCCCGTCCTCGCGGGCACAACACCAGACACCGGATGGATGCACCGGGCGAAGGGGGCCGCGTGGCGTGGGGAGTCTCCCGGTTTGGGCGGCGGTTGCGTGTGTCGTGGTCGTGGTGCTGCGGCCGGAGAAGGGAGATCGCCATTCGCGAAGCTGCCTCGAAGCTACAGGCGTTATACGAGTAGTAGTTTACACGGTCTAGACCTGTTGGGATTTGGATGCGTCGTCGACGGTTGGGGTTGGGGAGGAGACGCTGACTGTGCCTCTGCACCGCAGTTGGACCTGACACGGTGGGGACGGGACGAACACTTCTCCGGGGCCCCATGTCAGTGACTCGCGTGCATGTGCTGGCCTGCTGGGTGAGAGCGAGAGTGTGAGAGGAGGGAGGCAATCCGACAAAAGACGGGAGCCGGGAGAAAATGTAGCCGTTGGCAATTGCCACGCTATGGGGTGCGGCGGAAAAAATGCGGGACTTCCTCCATCAAACGGGTTCAGGCTGTCCGCTGTCAGTGCAGTGAGCTCACGCAGTGTGGGGTGCTGAGATGGGTCATGGGTGGGTGTGTGTGGACTGTGGAGAGGTGGCACGTTCCGTTGGCTTGGCTTGGCCTGGCCTGGGCTGGCGTGACGTGTGGTCCGAGTCGGAGTGCACGCGCGGCTTTGGTCGGGTCCGGAATGCCAGGTCAGGGTGGCGCGTTTACAGTTTCGACCCATGGCGACGGCCCGGGACGGTGCTGACTGCTGAGCAGTTCAGAGTTCAGACGGTGCACGCATCCTCTGAAGAAACAAAATTACAGGTACCTTTCTTGAGACACAACATACGTTCCAGCAGCACGTTCCATTTAGCATCCTGAAGGACGATTTGGCCAAAGTAGTAAGGCCTGGTTTAGTTCTCAATTTTTTTTCCTAAAAACATCACATCGAATCTTTTGACACATGTATGAAGCATTAAATATAGATAAAAATAAAAATTAATTATACAGTTTGCATAAAAATCACGAAACGAATATTTTGAGCCTAATTAATCCCTGATTAACCATAAGTGTTACAGTAACCCATGTATAGGGGTGGATAACGAGCCAGCTCGGCTCGTTTGAGCTCGTTGTCTTAACGAGCCAGCTCAGCTCAGCTCGTTAATGTTAACGAGCTAAAAAGCTAACTTGGCTCGGCTCGCGAGATGGCTTGTTAAGCTCGTTAGGCTCGTTAACGAGCTATATCTCATTAATATCATATTAATAAATTCAAATTTAACATTTTATTATGTATTAACATAATAATAAACACTAACTAATATAATACTCACTGAATATGAATAATTTTGATATAATTAAAAGACTAAGCACTAGTCAAGAAACTCCTTAAGTTCGTGAAGATATGGTGATATTTTATACTAACGAGCTAAACGAGTAGCTCACGACCTAAAAGGTTAGCTCGACTCAACTAATTAAGACTACGACTTCGAATCGATCTGAGCCGAGCTTGCTACGAGCCGATCCAAGCCACGAGTTTCAAGCTTTTTATCCACCCCTACCCACATGTGCTAATGACGGCTTAATTAGGCTCAAAAGATTCGTCTCGCGGTTTTCGGTCGAGTTATGAAATTAGTTTTTTCATTCGTGTCCGAAAACCCCTTTCGATATCCAGTCAAACATCCGATGTGACATCCAAAAATTTTCTTTACGCGAACTAAGGGGGTGTTTGGATCCAGGGACTAAACTTTAGTCCCTGTCACATCGGATGTTTGGACACTAATTTAGAGTATTAAATATAGACTATTTACAAAACCAATTGCATAAGTGAGCACTAATTTGCGAGATAAATTTTTAAAGCCTAATTAATCCATAATTAGATAATGTTTAATGTAGCATCGCATAGGCTAATCATGGATTAATTATGCTTAAGAGATTCGTCTCACGAATTAGTCCAGGGTTTAATACCTGTAAATAGTATCAAAACATCTGATGTGACAGGGATTAAAAAGTTTTAGCCTCATCCAAAGAGGGCCTAATGCAACACAATAATCAATATATCATGTTTAAATACTAATGGTTTAATTTAAGTGATAATGATTTTCTTGTTTTACATAGCCGTATTTAATATTTTATCTTCAATGAATTTAAACGGCCTTAGCAGCACATCTCTGACAATGGCAGATCTACCGTTGGAGGCTTGTGCAAGCCCCACCTCCAATTGCTACTCCCTCCATCCTACTCCCTCCATTCCATATTATAAGGCACAACTATTTTTTTTGATGTTCCATAATATAAGGCATACATATATGTCTGTAATTAACTATGACATCTTCTTCATTAAATTACTACTTTTTTAAATCATTCACTCTCACATTCTCTAATTCTATTGGATGCATCCATTATATTTATTAGGATGATTTAAACTACAAGATGATAATAATTATTTCTTGGTCTTTGGGTTAAGGGTGGTTGTGCCTTATATTTTGGAATTGAGGGAGTATAATATAGCAACTTACTCCCTCCGTCCAAAAAAAAGACAAACCCTAGTTTCCGTGTCCAACGTTTGACCGTCCGTCTTATTTAAAAAAATTATGAAAAAAATTAAAAAGACAAGTCAGACATAAAATATTAATCATGTTTTATCATCTAACAACAATAAAAATACAAATTATGAAAAAAATTTATATAAGATGGACAGTCAAAGTTGGACACGGAAACGTAGAATTTGCCTTTTTTAGGACGGAGGGAGTAGGAGTGAACGAGACATTTCATAGGATGAGTAATAATGAGTGTAAAGTTGAGATCCCATGTCATTTGTTGAGGGGTGACCCTCTCTAGCGGGAGGCTGTGAGGCCTCCCTTTGAGAGTTCGGCCGGGGGCAGCGGGTGAGATTCGAAGATTTGGTGAGCAAAGCTGTGTGATCTTGAGGGGGTTCAATCCTCCAAAAACGATGAGACAAAAGAGGTTTATACAGGTTCGGGCCGCTAAGTAGCGTAATACCCTACTCCTGTGCTTAGAAAGTCCCTGAATCCCTGGTATGCAAGCTAGGGTTAGACAAGCTTTGGCTCAGGGATCCTCAGTCCGATCCCCCCTCCTCGCTAAGCATGGTCCTCCTTTTATACTCTAAGGGGATACTACATGTGCTGCGAGTGCTACCTAGGGAGAAGGGAAAATATTCTCTATATTAATTACATGTCTTGTGCCTTAGCCCAGAAGCTATCTGCACGTCGGTTGCTGCGCGGGGCCCATCAAATCATGCAGGGCGCCCTTGTCATTCGCCATTTAATGGATGAGGACTTCGGGGTTCTCGTTCACACCAGAAAACGGGAACCTGGGTTAGTTTAGAGGGGTTGGACCAGCTCTGACCGGGGTAAGAGGCTGTGAAGCCCCTCATCATTATGATGGGACGGGACGGAGCACGCCGCTCGTCGCCTGACACACTGATAGGGCGGGGGTATATAGTCGCCGTCCCATCGGTCATTCAACCGGTCACAGACCGGTCAGATGCGCAGCACGCCGCATTAAATGTGGCATGGCACGGTTGCATAGACCGCTTTAAATGCAGTTAGGTGGGCGTTAGGCGCGCCCACCTAACCCTGTACACGTGGGCTGATACGTGGAGGGGGTCGGGGCAGCTCGACTCCAAGCGAGGGCAGCCTCCTCCCTCTAGCTTGGAAGGGGCAGCCGCCGCGCCACCCCGGGCTCGACCCCTCTTGGGGGGAGCCACGTGGGTTTGGGGGCGGCCCAACCCCAAGCTGGGAGGGGGCAGCCGCCGCAACACCCCGGGCTCGACCCCCCTCGGGGAGAGCCACGTGAGTTTGAGGGCGACCTCCTCCCTCTAGCTGGGAGGGGGTAGCCGCCGCGCCACCCTGGGCTCGACCCCCCCTCGGGGGGAGCCACGTGGGTTTGGGGGCAGCCCGACCCCAAGCTGGGAGGGGGCAGCCGCCGCAACACCCCGGGCTCAACCCCCCTCGGGGAGAGCCACGTGGGTTTGAGGGCGTCCTCCTCCCTCTAGCTGGGAGAGGGTAGCCACCGCTCCACCCCAGGCTTGATCCCCCCTCGCGGGGAGCCACGTGGGTTGGGGGGCTGCCCGACCCCAAGCTGGGAGGGGGCAGCCGCCACAACACCCCGGGCTTGACCCCCCTCAGGGAGAGCCACGTGGGTTT